CTCCTGTCTTGTGGGACAGGAGGTCTTGATGGAATGACCTGTCTTTCGTAAGGGGATGTTTAGTATGAGCTGAGACAGGGGACGCAGCCTCTGCGAACTGGGTGGGAAGGACCTTGACAGAACGCTGTGTGGTTATCGGCTTTCCCTGCTTCCCATTCTTTCCGGGCCGAGGTGCCAGCATCACTCTGACATTATAGTCGATTCTGGCTGCATTGGGTGACTGGTCTTTGCCCTCCCAATAGCCCATTGAAGGCGGGAGACAGAGATGACGCTCATGAAGATCCTCGCATTCGGTGTGCTTGCATGCCTTACTGGGCAAATGGTACGGAACGGTAAACGTAAATGGGATGCTATATGTCTGATATGCCTCAAATATCTTTGATTCCGGAAGCACACTGCTTAATGAAGGCATGGGGAGCTTGAGGAAAATGTGTCGCGTGTGGCGAGGATCGCCGAATGACGTCTGGATGTTTGTCGACGTCTCCCCCATGAAATCGATGTTGAAAGTATCAAAAGCGAAGTCCTTGTCCGTGGTGACATCTACGCGTCCTGAGATAATCGACCCGGGAGTGTAAATCTTGGTCTCGACATGGTCGTCGAGATGGAGAGCGACAGATACTGGATCAAGTGCTTTTAAGTGATGAGCGAGCTTGGTCCACGTCTTGTTACTGGACAGTGGTGCCATGATAATCTTGAACGACGAGGAGCAAGAGGGTCTTGTCTTGTCTTGGCTTGTCTGTGTAACTCGGATCTGAAGAGAAGATCGATATGTTATTGATGCAGGAAACCTTAAGATCTGCCAATGTTTCCCCTTATCTACCCAAATTCCTCAGATGAGACCGGGGCCATGGTGCAAAGATCCCATGAGCAGAAAATCAAGACGAATGACACTCAAGCCGGGATCAACTGAGCGCCTTCATTGGCTCCCCTCGCCGAGAGGACTCTAGAATCCAACTCTGGAGAAAAGTTGGCTGACTGGCCGATTGGACACCGACTTTCCGCCGTCCTACGATTGGCCATAACTTCCGATGGATTATTCATGCTCCCATTCCCGAGCAGCTTCCGCCGGTGAGCCCTTCTTTTGACACCGTTCTCCTCCCGAACCCGCTGAAAATCTGGCAATTATGACTAAAGGGTGGAAATCGCGAGAATAATTGAATTCGGTTCGTCCAACAGGAGCGGCGCTTTGTCTCGTGATTATTCTTTCTAGAGAGGCTGGCAGTGGATGCAACGCGACGGGAGTAGCCGACATCGCTGGCCGGGAATTAATAATTGTGTCTGATTATTGATGAGATTGGAAATAATTATCTGAGGTTTCCGTTTAATTTATTACCGGTCTGTGTCTTCCCTTGAATGAACCGGAGCATACCGTCAATTTGCGCAAGGAAATGATGGATTTGTCAATTATTGACTTTTCGCTATCCAAATATACATTCGTCCGATACATAATTTCATAGTTTCAATTACCTTACCAACCACATCATCCTAAGATGCACGCCGAGGAGTGGATTTCCGGACGAATGCTAAGAAGCAGAGGTCTTTGGCACATCACTGGATCTAACCCTGGTCTCGAAACCAGAGAGTGATCCCGTCGTACTGATGCTCGCCTGACCAGCAGTCTTGGCAGCGCTTCCACTGGTGGTGCTCAGAACCGAACCAGTGGCAGTTGAGCTCGCAGAGATGGTCGCGTTTGCCGTGGTGGTCGCCGTCGATATCTTCTGTTCAACAAGACCTCCAATGTCGACGACACCAGGCCCCGGGATCCTATAACTGTGGAAGTTGCCATATACACTGACGAGAATACCGATGTCATCAGGCTTATAGAATTGCGTGGCAAACATCCCATCGGGAAGCTCTGTCCCCGAACCTTCGACCTTGATGTTGAAGCACTGCGGATAGTTCTGCGCGCCATTCATTTTCCCCGAACCATGCAGGGCAATGATCTCATGGCGGAGGACATAATCACCCGCCTTCAGCTTCTCTGGAATCCGAACGAGCCAGCCCTTGTTCTGCGCCAGGACGTCGGTGTAGAACTTGTTCGTTCCGTCGCGGAGCCCAGCATCTGCGATTTTGAAGAACTTCAGGCTGCTCTTGTCCACCTCCTCGCAGCCTTTGCTGCCACAGGGGGCCAGGTAATCCAGGATGGGGCCTACGTGACCGGTCGGCCAGCCGTTCCATTGCAGCCAGACGGAGTCGCCGGCCTTGACGGTGACGTAGCCGCCGGCATTCGCGGCGTCGCGGTGGCATATGATGTGCGGTGTGGTGTATTCATTTGGGGAGACGAAGCCGAGATTTGTTTGTTTCTCTGACCAGGCAGCGAGGGTTGGGGGTTTGGACATTGAAGGGTATTTGTTGGGGAGATAGCCGCCGTAGGCCACGCCGTTGACGATCATCTGGCGGACGAAGCCATGGGCAGCACCCGTGGTGGCTGTGGCCAAGAGAAATGTGAAAGAGATAGGCACCGAGAGCATGGTTGCAGGACCGATGGTCATCTACTTAGAAGAAGAGGCGAGGAAATGAATTGTTGATGTGAATGAAGTTCAATAAATCTCTAGTCAATAGAGGCAGGGACACTGATAGCTTGAAGCAGAAAGAGAGTAAAGATTAAGCATATAATTGCTAAGTTATAATGAACACAAATTGTATTGTCTTGGGCCTGGGGTCAACGGACTATTAATAAATCCATTTTGCTATGGTGAAATCGTTTGTTCTCGGTTTGCTTTATTTTTGATTAATAGGCGATGAATTAGACGATGAACTAGAAGCGACCAAGCAATAGGCGCTCGCTTTCTCCTTGCAGGTTTCAGAGAACAAAAGGCCGGCCTTCTGGAAGACCTGCTTGTTGCCGCTCTTCATTGTCGAATCAGTCGCACATGGAGTTTCAGAAAGCAACTAAGATGGTGGACGGAAGTTTTCCGCAATGGGGCAGCTGAAAACGACGGTTGGTAGTCCGTGTCTCGCGCAGATTCGTCTGCATGGCGATGCGTCTATTAGCCGCCGTGGACGGTGTAAGACTAATAATAGACCTTCGTGGTGGGGAGGCTACGGTTTCATGAGACGGCGAGATATTTCAACGTACATCATGCTCGAAGCGAGTCTCCTGTGTCTAGGGATTAGCCCAGAGGTTTCGCTACTTAATGAAGCATTTTTGTCGGGCCTTGGCGCCAATGTATCGTCTCGGAGGGCAGCGCTTGACAGGGGTGTCCTGAGCAGCAAGCTTGGTCCAGGCTATGCGTCTCTCCTTGCCTGTTGTGCGATGGGACAGATACTTGGATTTCCTAGTAGAAGATCATACTCACAAGACGCTATTTGTAAGTAACATACTCACAGTACAGTTGGCATAGCTAATATCTGTCGATCTGTATATATGTTGCGTAAACTGAAGATGAACGAGCATCATTCTTAACCTGATATCACGTTCATTGCTACTGGTAGTATTTTTCATCAAGTTTTGTCTGTAAGTCTTCCCACCCAAATCTTGTCTGGCAGTTGTCACGCATTTTTCTGTCCTTCGACCCCAGACTCTGCTAGCTCCCGAGATTGCACGTGCAAAGAGATACCTGGATATGGAAAGCTTGTGCATTTTCATCTACTCCTTCATTACTAATCTTTTACAGAGATGCAATGATAGGATTAGAAGGTTTCATGATCCGTGGATGACGACTAGAGCATTGATGAACACACGGCCAAACTCATCTACCCACCCACTCGATCCACGTCGACGGACCGTCAACTTCGGGCCGTGTTGCTAGTCCTAAAAGTGACTCTCGGATGTGCTTTTTTTTTTCTTTCCCCCCCTCTCCTTCTTCTTTAGGAAGTGAGCTCGTTGTTCCATTTCTATATTTCTGGTGAGTCAGTGTTGAAAAATAGATGCCCACTGGGCAACGTTTTAAGAATCTCCAGATCCCAGTTTTCTTGGCCCTCTTTAAGGGGAAAATTTCATGAGAAAAAGTCAGCAGACTTCATTCGTTGTAGGTATTTTCATACAATCCATTGTGATTGAGTCTTGCTCGTGGATGGATCCCCACACTTGCGCTTATTTCTTCCCTGGTTTTTCATTCTTCCTCATTCGAGATGATTTGGAAGCCAGTACTAGGTCCTACTCTTAGCTAAGAAAAAACCAATGCTCCTTTTTTTCTCTTTTTTTTGTAAGTCCAAAGGCTGTGCCCAAGCGGAGACGCCTGAAGTGAGGCTGATGGAAGTGAGGTGTTCCTTGTCTTGCTGTAGCCAGTTCGAGCAGTCCCTGCAGCTTGAGGGGATTTCAGGGTTCCAGCGGTTGTGGACGGACGTGGCGCCTCATGCACCTGTGGGTTCACGAGGGTGAAAAATCAGACATTGGCCTGGATGAATAGTTGCGTGGGAGACATGGCAGAGAGGGTAAAATTTGACAAGGCACGACGTCCATTGGAAATTCTTGCAATATCTTGAACTGGAGAAACTAAATGCCAGATTTAGGCTGTGAACGCCCTTCTATTCGTTTAGAGTCTGTAGGCAGGGCGGCTCATCCTAAGAATGGACGATGCCTCAACCTTGGCAACATCCTGCATGGGCCAAGGACGTTTTGCGCGGTTTTAAGTAGGTTTAGCTGCTTCCACAAGACACCTTGATGGTTCACCAATGGACAATCTGATAGGCTGGATGCCCGTTAGCTCAGATGCTACTCCGAATCGCAAAGACAGAATTTTTCGGAGCAGCGGGCCAGACCCCAATTGTTTCCCCCAATTGCATTAGAACGATTGCTGATGAGCAATATTGCCGCCTGGCATGTTTCCTATCTCATCTCTGCCTGCAGCAGATAACTACCTACTTATTGGGGCAAAGTGAAAGCCCAATTTCCCCTCTTGTTCATGTTGTATCTATCACTGAACCAGTCATTATTGTTCCTCATATTTTCAGTCCTCACCAGCGCCCAGCCGAGCCCTCATGGTTTAATTGCCTGCTCCTCTGCCTGAAGCGTGTTACGATACCCTCTCGGGATGGCTTGGGGTCAGACTCCCACCATGAGCGACAACGCCTCGATCCGCCAGACCGAAGCTAGCACCGGCCAAGCTTCTTCCGAGGATCGCGAACTAGCCCTGGCGCTCAAGAGCTATGAACCGGACACAGAAGATGAGAGGAGGCTGGTGCGAAAGATTGATTTCATCCTGCTACCGTGCCTGTGGTGGATGTACATTTTGGCGTATCTGGACAAGGGCAACATCGTAGGTTCCCCCCCTCAACTACTGGCTGGCAATGTCTCGCGCTGACAATTGCCTCGTGGAATGTAGGCAAACGCCAACGCTGCTGGCCTAAGCGAAGATCTGGGTCTATCTGACAATGGTAAATAGCCCCAACCCAGCAGAAGCTGAACCTGAGCTACCGAGGTCGTTTACTTACACCGAAATGGCTAGAATACTCCCTGTTCATCTCCGTCTTCTTCGTGGGGTACTTCCTCCTCGAGGTACCTTCCAACTTGGTCATGGTCAGGATAAGACCTTCTATCTACCTGTCCATTATCGTGTTTATATGGGGTTGCATCGTCACGGGCATGTCCCAGGCAAAATCACTGAAGGAGTTCCTCGTGGGACGATTCTTTTTGGGCTGCGCGGAAGCTGGAATGTTTCCTGGCGCCTTGTACGTCCTGACATGTTGGTACACTAAGAAGGAAGTCGGTACGTTACGAGAACCAACATGATGATCCCAAGGAGCTTTCTAACTTGACCTCTAGGCAAACGCTTTTGCATCTTTTACACTTCAGGATGCATAGCTCCTGCCCTCGGGGGAATCATGGCCGGCGCCATCATCAAGAGTCTCGACGGGGCTAGAGGCATGGCCGGATGGAGATGGCTCCTGTTAGTTGAAGGCCTCATCACCGTCTTTTGCTCCGGTTGTCTCTTCTTCCTCATCCCCGACTACCCCCACAATACGCGGCGGTTCAAGCCGGATGAGCGGCGTCTGGCCCATGTTCGCATGATGTACGATCAAAAGGTCAACGTAGTACTGGAGAACAGTACCCTGACCGCCTTCCAGGCGTTGAAAGCCGTGGTAGCCGACCCAAAGACGTGGCTGTTCTTGGTGCTGTACAACCTGAACGGGACCTGCACCACCATTTCCTACTTCATCCCTACCATTCTGAAGACTCTGGGGTACACCAAGGTGTCGGCACAATGGATGACAGTTCCCATCTACATTACGGGAGCTGTGTCGATGCTCATCTTCTCGTATACCTCAGACAAAATGCAGGACCGCCGCTGGCATCTGTCTCTTTTACACCTGGCCCCAGTGACGGCATGCTTGGTCTCCTTGTTCGTCACCAACGCTGTGGTCAAGTACATTATGATGTGCCTCTTCGTCGGCGGGTTGTATACCGCCCTTCCCCTCATCCTCAACTGGGCAAGTGAGTGCATCTCCTTCCCGAACAAGAAGCGGTCCGTGGCCATCGCCTTCATCAACACATTCTGCAACCTGTCGATGCTCTACGGGAGTTTTCTGTGGCCGAGTGCCGATGCACCCCGCCACGTCCTGGGGTTCGCCACCATGTGTGCGTTCACCGGTGCTGCATCCATCCTGGCGGCCGTGATGCCGCTCATTTTCCCGTATCTGCCCAAGCAGCCTAGGACTAAGGCGGAGAGAGATATTCTAGCTCTGGCGGCGAGCGAGAGCCAGACCTCTATTGACGAAGATAGAGGGATGATGGTGCCCCAAGTCATTGTGAAGAACTAAACCAAGACCGACCGTGACCAAGGAGGCGAACAACATCACCAACATCAAGCAACCTCCGTATGATTTTATGACAAGCTAAGCCTCAAGGACGCCGTGGAGGTATATCCGGCAGATGAAAACCTGTTCTTAGAATAGTAAATTGACCGGGGCGGCAATTGTCGTTGCTAAAATTCCGTACGCGCGTCCCCATTATTCCGTGATGTTGAATGACATGCTTCGAAGATCAAACGATGAGGCGTTCTAGCCTACAAATCTCAGTTATCATGCCGCTGGTGCCGTGCCAAGTGCGGAGCACGTGGGTTTCTGAGATGAGAAGATTCCCGTTCTGGGGTTTCGGCGGATGGTTCTCCGTGAGTCTAAGATGACGGATGGCCCAGACCACTCCACCGCTATTAGACTTGCTATGAGATGCTTCATGCCAGTGAGCCCATCATGTTCCGCCAGGTTAGCCGTGTTTGAGAATTCTTCCGGCCATTCGTGGGTTTAAAATGCCACAGGACCTCGCCGTGAGGTTGTCCCTCGCTCCTCTCCTCAGCTCAGTTCTGGCAGGACAGGACTGAATCTACGGCTACCACGATGAAGACCGCGCTCTTTGCCTCTCTCTTTACCGCCCTCGTGGGCTCAAGCGCCGCCGCTGGCGTCACCGGCGCGGCTGAGGGTTTCGCCAAGGGAGTCACCGGCGGAGGCAGTGCGAGCACCGTCACGCCCACGACCACGGCCGAGCTGGTCTCGTACCTCGGTGACAGCTCGGCCCGCGTGATCCTCCTGACCAAGACCTTTGACTTCACCGGATCCGAGGGTTCGGTCACGGCGACAGGGTGTGCTCCGTACGGAACGGGATCGGCGTGCCAAAAGGCCATCAACCAGAACAGCTGGTGCGACAACTACCAGCCCAACGCCGCCAAGGTCAGCGTCACCTATGACAAGGCCGGAGTGAGCGCAATCACGGTTGGCAGCAACAAGTCGCTTGTGGGTGTCGGTAGCGCGGGTGTCATAAAGGGCAAGGGCCTGAAGATTGTGAGCGGCGCGAAGAACGTCATCATCCAGAACGTCCACATCACGAACCTCAACCCCAGCTTGGTCTGGGGCGGTGATGCCATCACCATCAACAACGCTGATTTGGTCTGGATCGATCATGTCACCACCTCGCTGATTGGCCGTCAGCACATTGTGCTCGGCACCAGCGCCAGCAACCGTGTGACCATTTCCAACAGCAAGATTGACGGAAAGACCAGCTGGTCTGCCTACTGCGACACCTACCACTACTGGGGAGTCTACTTTGCTGGCTCTTCCGATGTAAGTCTACTCAGCTATAGAGCACGATATGTATCATAATGCTAACACGCCTTCCCCCCAGCTGGTCACCTTCAAGAACAACTACATCTACCACACCTCCGGCCGCAGCCCCAAGGTCAGTGGCAACACCCTCCTCCACGCCGTCAACAACTACTGGTACGACAACAACGGCCACGCGTTCGAGGTCGACTCTGGCGCCATGGTTGTCGCCGAGGGCAACGTGTTCCAGAACGTCGTCGCTGCCGTCGAGTCTGGAGGTGCCGGCAAGATGTTCTCCAGCCCCGACAGCGCCACCAACGCGGCCTGCTCCTCCTACCTCGGCCACACCTGCCAGGTCAACGGCTACGGAAGCTCTGGCAAGCTTTCTGGCACTGATACTAGCTTCTTCTCCAACTTCAACGGCAAGAATGTCGCGTCTGCCTCGAGCTATACCGATGCTAAGAACGTGGCTACCACTGCCGGCTTTGGCACCATCTAAAGCGTTGGTTTGATGCCAACATGCCAGGATAGTTGAATTCGGATAGGACGTGTTTATATACTACTTAAAATCAATAGAAAAAGGATGACTTTTTTCTCTAATGCATTTTACCTTTATGGTGTCTGTTGCGATTTTGATCTCACACGTGCCGATTGAAGCCGCTGCTTGTAATCCACCACTCACACTGTTGTTTGTGTTATTTATGCTTTGAGGCTTAAGAAAAGCGACTTGGCCACTGATATAGTTTTCATGTTATACTTTAAAGAAAATTAAAAGTCATCTCGAGAGCTTAATAGATTGAACGTCCGCGCCAATCTTCGCAGCTGCAGTCACGTCCTCTCCGTGGCTCACTTGCTGTAAACTTTATTGTTTTTGTTTATGTGGCTGCAGACGTGTCACAAAACTAATGGCTCAGAGGTTTGCATAAAGGAACTTACTTTTTCGTAAACAGAACTGGCTGCCTAACCACGTAAGCATTGATTGAACGGGTTATACGGCAGTGCCCCATCAGCAGCATGAATCGATGCCATGCTTGCTTGATTGACAACTTCAGCACATTCATGTTCATTCATGGACGCCGGAAGCTAGAGAAAAGCACTCTTTGGATTCTTTCTGCATTATCGTCCTCGACACAGATTTATGCCTGCATTCCCCTCTCAGCTGATCCAGTCCTGTTATTCTGACACCCACCTGCCCCCCCTTTTCAACTACTTATCATGGCTGCCATTCCATACGACGCGTAGGTTGAAATTCAGATCCGGAAAATCCCATGAGGTATATGACTAACGAGGTCCCAGTATTCTGTCCTCAGGTATGTTCAAGTGCCTGATAGGGCCCGACAAATCCGAGTTCATCATCCACAGCGCCCTCCTCGCCTCCCAGTCCAAGGTCCTCGATCGGCTGGTAAATGGCCAGATGAAGGAGGCCCTCGAGGGCGAGGTCTACTGGGCCGAGGTGGATACCGACACGTTCATCCGGTTCAGCCAGTTCGCGTACACTGGAGACTACTACGAAGCCAAGTTCCAACCGCGGCAGGGTTCCGAGTGTTCGGCCTCGGCTGGCCATACCTCGTCCCCTCCTTCATTACCTCTCCAGTCCCAAGCCGTGCCGCACACGAACGAGGAGCCAAACACCGCCAACCCGCATATCTCCGCGCGCTCGGTGGCGACCAGGGCTCCAGCTCCAAGATCGTGGTCTGGGAGAAAGAGGGTGGAGGAGACTGCGCTGAAGGAGAAGAAGAATCTTCTCTGGGCCAAGTTCAAGTCCCTGCATGCAGACACGGGGCTGGAAGGGCCGGTCCCGATGAACGCGTCAGGCGATGATACAACGGAGCTGCTGCTGAGCCACGCTCGAGTGTATGTCTTCGCCGAGTGCTACGACGTAGCGCCTCTGAGGCTGCTGTCGCTGCGAAAGCTGAGACAGACGTTGGAGCATTTTCAGATGTATGACGAGGCTGTGTATGATGTGATCCAGCTAATCAACTACTGCTATGAGAACACCATGGCCCGTGCTGATGGGGCGGAGGACATGAGATCGCTGTTGTGCATGTTTACGGCTTGTCATATGGAGAAGCTCTGGAGCAACAAGGAGTTTCAAGAACTGGTTCAGACTTGTGGGGAGTTCTCTCAAGGACTCATTACCCAGCTGCTGCATCGGTTGGATTGATTGGATCATGGCATCGGATGGAAAGGTCTCTTGATTGTGAGTAAGCGGGACTGACTTGCTCATGAGTGAATCAGTGCTTTCTGTGTTTGTTTCTTTGAGAATTAATGAAGCAGAGAGTAGCAACGATGATGATATTTTCAAAATAGTATTCTATGCTGAAGTACGACACCCTGCGCACTGAGTAAAAGGCCCAGTTGAACAAAACCTGAAGGTCCTAGCCCCTCGACGGCTCGCATCATTCTAGCACAGGCCCAGCTTGGTGGGCTCGCAGTCACCGTTGGCCTTGTCACATCCCTCATAAGCCTGGCACTGAACCTTGGGGTAGCAGTTGTTGGAGTAGGTAGCCTATGGGAAAGAATCTGTTAGCCATCATGGTTAGAGCGGTGAGAGTTTCATAGCTACATACCTTGTCGCCGAGGTTGGTGTTAATGCCCATGAGCTCACCGCCGTCAACGGCAGTGGTGCCCTCCATGTGGACGGTACGGGCGCAGTTGCCCTTGCAGTTACCGCAAGAGCGGTAGACCTTGCCGTAGTCGTTGGCGTAGAAGTTGACGATGTTGACGTGACCGCATCCGTTGTGCTGGATGACCTTGTCAGAGGCGTGGTAGGCACCGCCGCCGATAATGTTGGCGGTTCCGTCACCCTTGATCGAGATGGCATCCTCACAGACGTCCTCGAACCAAACAAACTCGAGGTTACAGCTGCCCAAGCAGTAGACACCCTCGCCCTGGTCGGCACCGATGATGACGTTCTTCAGAGTGGCGCCCTCACGGAGAACGAAGACAGTATCGGCCTCACCTGTGATGATTCCAGTTAGAATGGTTACCCAACAGAAGTCTGGGACAAGTTCTGTCCTTACCTCCCTCGGATTGACCTCCGCAGGCCACACCACGGTCATACTTGACCCAACCGGCATCGAAGGTCTCTCCAGCTCCGATGTAGTAAGGCTCACTGAGAGTCTTGGTGCCAGTGGGCGTGGGCAGACCACCTTCGTAACCCAGGCAGGCCATAGCTGCGGGCACGGCGGCGAGAACAGAGAGAAGAGCAACAGAGTGCATGATGAAGGCTGGATTTGATCGAGAAAGGTGAAATGAAGAGAAAAGGCTATCAGATACTGTTCTAGACACCAGGTCGTTGTTGAGAACAATGTAAATATCAAAATAGAGTGACACTCGCTCAGTATATATACACGATCCCGATTCCAATACCCAGTTCGTCATTAATAGGTCTGAAATAAGCTTTATTATGCTTCTTTCAGGGGTCAGATAAGGTACTGGTGCCCTGAAACAGCCGAAATGAAGTGCAAATGGCGCTGGATTCTGAAACTGTTCTGGCGGACGGTGACCTCCCGTCCGCCGTTTCCAGTCAATTCTGGGTCTTGAAACCCCCACTAGCGGCCATGCATGATCTCTAACTCCAGTGTTTTGGAGCCCTTTGCTGGGATGTTTACCGCGCCACTGTCCGTTGCGGAAAGTGGGCAGGGCCTCTCCAGTTGTTTGCTGTCATGTTGCATGATAGTCGTCACCGCTTCCAGTTTAGGTTTTGAACCGCCAACTTGTTAACCCCTTGGTCCTGGTTAGTCGACGGGAAAATAGGTGTGTATGTGGGCGGTGGCACACTCCCGAAACTCATTCGTTCTCCCACATTCAACTTCCTTGTTAACTTGTGGATATTTCCACTTATTTCATGAAGGGAGGATTCCTTGTTGCGCCATCAGTCCAGCGATGGATACGAGCACTGTCGAGTACGGAGAAATCAAACATCAGACCGGACGAAGAAATCGGATTCAAAGGAGGGATAGATCGTCCTAGAAGCAATTCATGATGTCATGACCTCTCTCAATCTACTTCTTGGATGGAATAAAGAGGCAAGTGGTAGCACATACCCGAGCGATGGGTGGTTGTACTGCAGATCTTCTAGATAGCCGCTTTGAACAGGGTGTACGTGGCCACCGCCTCTCACGAGCCCCCGAGAACTGCTCGGTGCGACGGCCCGATACAAAGCCAAGAATCTCTAGCCGCCTTGCATAGATGATGAATCTTTGTAGCTAATTCATCTTGCGGACGGAGCGTTCTTGCCCCTGTGACACTGACGATCAGTCTGTCGGAAAATTCTTTCATTCGTGTAATTCTCTCGCATGTTTGATCAGGTCACATAGTCATCCATAAAGGTAAGCAAATCTCTCTGAAACTGCCTCTCGAAGCTCGGTACCGAGGCATACCGACGGACTCTTTGATATTATCCGAAAAACGAAATTTAATGATAGACTCGCCGTCTCTTAGGACGATTCATCCACCAATGTTCCAAAGTTCACAACGATGCCAAGAAGGGATCATCGCCCTTGGCATGTCTCTTGCTACGGATTCTTCAGATGAACCCACAATATTTACCGTACCCAGCCTGCGGAGCCGACCAGCACATGCATTGACCACATCTTGAAATCTCTCATCCTCAGACAGGGATACAACAGGGACCTTGCGTAGACCTCAGCAGAGCAAGTTTTTAATGAAAGGTCCACAGATGGTGCCCCATCAGCTAACTTCCCAGTCAGAGCTGTGAGGCCTCCTTTGTGACCAGGTCAGCTGCCAACAGGAGAATCTAGTTTAGGAAACAGGCCACGGAGCTGACGACTTTGCTGATTATCTTGACATTGAGTCCAATGATGGCTCCTCATGGAGAAACGGCGTTTTGGCTGAGCCGGGGTGTATAGACGGACCATATTCCTCCGATCAAGAGACACTTTGATTTGATTCAACTCGCTACATCTTATCTGTGGTTTATTATCACTATAATTAGAACCATACGGAGACCTTCCGCTATCGAATACTGCACATATGTAACCTGCGGTAGTATCCGTGTTGTCAAAAAGAAACAATTTGGTAATGAGACAACCCGTTGCTTCAACTTCTCCATATATTTTACTGCATAATACCTATGTTAACTAGAAAGCCGGATCTTCCGGCCCAATGAAGAACCGGTTGGCATCCTGGAATCTCACCGCACCAATAGTGGGTATTCTTGATGTTGGGCAACCTAATGCTCAATCTCCGCGAGAAGATGTCCTCGGATTTGCAGGGCCAGACCTGCAGGACTGAAGTAGGAAGAAAGCCCATTGTGATGTGGCCTGTCAATGGGAACAAAGGTGGAGAAAGTAGTACTCTTGGGGACGTCGAAGAGTCTCTGGACAGCGAATAATCATCCTTGGACGCAAGTTTTCCTTTACCGCCAAACTAAAATGAACAAAATGCAAGCGATAAAATATTCCGAGGTTAGGAAGAATTGATACTCGACCGCTATGAAAGGTCAACGGTGAGACTTTCTCCCAAACTGGTGCCAAACCCGCTCTTTCTACTCAATCTTGCGGAAAAGATACGGTACACTACCAGTTCTGTCGGGGTTGTACCCTGAGATCACCTTGAATGGTGTCCATCTCGATGATTCTTCAATCTCGAATCTGTTACCTATGCCTATTAACAGTCCCTCAAGTAGCCCATTTTCTCTCACGACCGTAAAGTACAACACAGTTCATTTCCTGCCTTCACAACTCCTAGCAGACATTTCACCACGCCATCCCTCGGGGAATCTAGTACTAGAGGAGCCTCATCTCTAGGGCCCTGGTCTTTATTTTCTTGAACCCTTGCCAAGAAAGGGTTCTATGGTATTAGGGCTCCATCGCTACGATGCATAGTGAATGGGTTCTCTGTTGTTACTGCCAAGCATCACCAACGAGACATCACACCGACATTCTAGAGAATTCTTGACCGTACTATCATTGCCCCGGGCGCAGGAGAAACGGAATGGAGTCTTCCGGTCTAAATCATACACGCCGCAATTTGCTTTGTGCAAAAGGAGGACTCCCACCGCCAACTTGGGTTACCATGTTGAGGATGGGTGATCACTCCTATGATCAGCTGCGACAAATTAATTCGAAACTCAATTTCGCTATTCTCAACTAACCTCAGCACCTTCTAATACAATCAAAGTCAAGGGAGCCCTGAAAGCCAAGATACAATATTAGAATAGCCGTATCTCGTAGGTGTTTGCTTGCTCTAGCCATTTATTCTCCCACGACTTTGTCACCGTCAACCCGATTCGTCTGTAATCTTCCTGAGTGAGGGAGATTTTTTCTAGCCGTAGAAGCTGTGTTTCAATGTCATAATCTCCGGCTCTGTTTCTGTCTCTAGCACCAGGAATGAACCGATTCGTTTGAACGGGCATCAGCCATATATCTGAAGCTGTCGCATCCTCTTCATAATCATCATGTATCATCATATTGATGAATTCTTTCCCACCTCGATTCCGAGGAGGCCTATTGGGGAACTCTTGGACAATTATTTTCTCGCAATCCATGGCGCTCTCTTTTATAAGCTTGCAACGTAGAGTTACGTGTCCCTGAACACCGTGCGGTCCTTTATCGTGGATATCCCAAGCAGTGGCTTCAACAAAATATCTCACGTCGTGATACCAGACCCAGTCCTTGTTCGTTTTCCCCGACGGAATCTGTGTGTATTTCGATGGCCTGAAGACAGAAGCCCAACTCCATGAAGGGCATGGAAAGGGGCTCACAGCAGACTTCGTTTTTGGTTCGGAAACCTTCCAAAGGAGACTGGGTGCCAGAAATTGGCCTTTCCAAATACCAGCAACGGGGAAGTCATTCAAGACTCCCCCGATTGCCTCTTGGACACCCTGAATTGCAGCAAGCCTATCCCCAGGTTTTGATAGTTCTCGCTTCAGATAGTTCTCCACAATCTCCAGCCAGTTGTTGAGGACATCCTCCCGTGTCAACTTGTTCAGGTTACCATAGCCATCGATCCCTGTCACAATGACACGCCTCATGGCGTATTTCCATTTCCGTCGACCTCGTATGTCCTCTTGTTCAGGTATGCGCTCGGTACACCTGCCCTCCAAACAGGTCCAGCTCAGTTCACGGTCAGAACAGTGAAGCATCCGGCGTGACAGTATTTCCTCTTGTAAAGTCCAGCCTCGAGTTCTGAGAATCGACTTCTTGCCATTCTTTTCCATCCGATGTCGCGGCAGTACCATGAGTCTATTGACACAAGAGGTGCGTTTGTTCTCTACTTGTAGATGGATCTGGGAAGTCCTTTGCTCATTGTCTGGCGGTAATCTGATGTCCAGTGGAACTATGGCGCTTGTTTTCCACTGCCGTTCCCGGAAACAGCCGTCATTACAGCTCGAGGAATTCTTTGGGGCAATAGTGAGGCATGCATTGGCGTAAATCTCGCCCATGTAGGATAACTCATGTTGCAGGTCTTGTTCAGAATCCTGCAAGATACAAAGCGAATCGACCCAAAGATACTTGAAACCCAGCGCTTTCGTAATCTCGACGGCATCTGCGATGGTTCGTGGTATCGCATCAATGGGGATTCCCTCCATATAGGTTTCAACATTTGTTGAAAGGAGGCGAATATTTTGATCTGCTCCCCAGCAGTACGATAACGCCACGTACGGAATTTGCTCTCCAACGGAGATGTGTATTCTGGGAGGGTGTGAGTCACTGGAAATTTCTATCACCCGTGTTGGGAGCTTGCCAAGTTTGAGTCGACGGCATGTTTCATGCTCCGTTTCACATCTTTCCATCCACGCCTTTGCAACGGCCAGGCTTCTCTCTGACCCAGTCGTCGTGGTGTCGGTGGGGGCAGTCCGGGAGACTGCCTCGTTGATTTGTTCTATTTTAGTTAGAATAGTAATGTTGCCAGGCATAGGTATTGGAAAAACAAACTTTGAACATGGTTGAGATCCATGAATGAAATTTTCTCGCCACACACTACAATTAGTCGGTGGCTTCCAAATCTTGGTACCACTTCTTTATTCTCGAGAAGCAGTCGTACTTTGGGTTTGATTCCAAGCTCCTCGATCCAGTGTTTGTCAATTTGATGTAATAGACACCAATGGTTGTCTAAAGCCTCGAGGAGTAACTGGCAAAGGTCACAGCCATTTTCAGACGATGCTTTTAAGCTGGAAAGATCATGACTATGATCAAATGGAGTGAAAAGGATTTCTCCATTTCGGGTGTTAAATCTGACGCACGCTTTGCATAGGTTTCTCGCCCAAGTAATGAGACCGTTGATACCTGCTCCCAACCTCAGAAAGCCTTCCATGTGATCTACCAAGGCCTTTGCGAGGTCAGAAGTGGCCATATTGGGGCTCAGTAGATCTAATGAACGCGATAGGCCTGATCGATAATGGGCATAATGCTCCCGGTCCGATCCTCTGACTCCATGCTCTAGGAGGTGGGATGCAAGGAGAGATGTATTGCCATCAGCCTTCTCATCCGGGCTGAGGAGACATTGGTCGCCCTTGTCTGGGCTGCATACAGTTTCCAAGTTCATCTTGCTCAGCAAGACCTCGAGTACTGCGGCGTGATGATCCAGAATGGCAACGTCTGCTGGTGTCCAGCCTGATTCACACCTTACTTGGGGGTTGCAACCATGACTCAGGAGACTTCGGACTATATCCACCTGACCTACGCTCACTGCAAGATGGAGGGCCGTACCACCATGGAGAAACTCGGACTTCAACGGTGTCTCTGGGTTCGTCCCCCGCGCTAGGAGAAGCTCGATAATGGGCTTATGAGCACAGGGGATGGCTTCGTGGAGCGCCGTCCGGCCTCTTCCATTATGCTGAGTTGCATCTGCGCCAAATTTCAACAACAGGGTCGTCAATTGGACGTTCTCGTCCATGATTGCGCTGAACAATGGCGACGAGCGGATTGGACCACGACCGTCGCCCCATTCTTCGTTTGGATCGTGACCGCCTTCAAGAAGTTCCTGGTAACGCTCGTAAATATTTTCATACATCCGAGGATACTTTGAGGCAAACAAAAACAACGACTCCAGTTCATTCGAGGCCATTGTAGAAATGCTGATGAAGCAGAGAGTTGTTGATGTCAGATTTTCTCCGTCTCACTCAGGAAGAATGACATGCGGGGCAACAGTTTCATTGAGAAGGCCAGTGACCCAATTTTCTTGGAGCCTAGAGGAGGTTAGTGTAATCTTACAACGCAGAACATAATGTCAATATCAGGGCGTTGTCAACTAGGTATCTTCAGAGGATGGACAAGTTGGAGGCAATTAGCACGATGAACTGCACGTCGGTGGCTTTAAACTGGGTGGAATGACCGGCTCGTCATTTATCGTCTATACAACGGCTGATAGCGAATATTTCCGGATTTTCTGTTCCAGATACCTGTATTCGTAGATATCTTCTCGCCGGCTAGGTTTCAACATATTGAGATTGTGTGCAACCAGCGCGCCGGTTTGCGTGAGCCATCTGCAATTGATTTGAATTCTTACAATCCATAGCTACGGATCATTAATACGGGCGAGGATGTTCCCTGGGTTGGCAGTACAGGCTGCTGCCACGCTTCCCAAACTTGGCCGAATCGTATTCTTGACCCATGATCATCCTTTCGAGCATTCTCTCGTCCGCCTTTCGTCGCTCCTTTGCCAAGCCACACAACGGCCACGACACATATACGAGCAAAGCACGAAGCTGAGGTCCTGGGCGTTTCAGGGGGCTAAGTATGCGCTTGTATGCATCCAGCATAGCCTTCTCGGCTTTCACATCCCCATGGATGCGCGCACGACGAAATTCGAGATTTAGCTGATGCTGCTCCGGGTCCCTATCAACTAAGGATCGGTCTCCTTCCTGATCACTGAAGTGAATCTCAAGCTTCAAACGTGTCAAGTCCGCCAGCTGTACCAGAAGGTCAATAGACCATACCCATTCGTCCCAGCCAGACTGGCCCGGTGCGAGGTAGTCTGGTGTACATGGAGGAAAGATGATGCGGAGGCTTCTCAGGCTCGGGATATACTTGTGCGGGAGAAAGTGAAGAAACGACGGTAGGGCGAGCGGATAGATATGATCCTGACCAGTGGCAACAAGATCCAGAGTGGAACCACTGCATTCAAGGGAAAACGTATTTTCTGTGAAGAATACCGCATGTGCGGCCACTGAGAAGGCTTTGCTTACTAGGAAAAGTGCGTCCAGAGAGGTGCACTGGCATAGATTGCTGAAGGCAGCGGGATTCTCCAGAGAGCAAAATGCAGTTAAGCTAGCCAAGGGTTCAACGTCATCTAGGCCTTCATCCAGACGGACCACACCGTTGGGGTCCGTATAATACGAGCGTACATGTTCCCTGCCATAGCAGGCTTGCAAGGTGTTCCGGGGCCAATGAGGCCAAGATGCAAGCCAGTGCACGTGGTTATTTCTGTAGTGGGCCATTCTGGTTTGCTGTATAATCTTGATCTGTAGCTCAAGTGGCAAGTCCAAAAAAGGGAACTGCTTAGGCGGTATTGTATCCGTTAACTTTTGCACAAGCTGGCGTATCAAAGGCTTGGGCTCAAACTTCTGAAAGCCCTTGAGATGACGGCCGAGATTGATGCCCAAGTTTTTCAATATTGGCAAGCCGTCGAGCGGATCGAGGATGCGATTTGCAGTTTGTGGATCAGCAACATTGGCCGCCAAGTAGAGACTAAGCTGATGGGGTCGAGAGTTCGCTCTCAGGCGGGCACATATTTTTCCCCATTGACTTAAAGTTCGTTTGTCAGTCCAACTGATACAGCCAAGAGGTCTGCTATGAGGGGCATCGTCGACAAGGATTTGTGTAGACTCCCAGAACTCTCCGCGGTCTGGCCGGTAATCAAATTCATAACAGTCGTGGTCCGTATCCAGCCTATGGCAGTAGGGAGTAAGACACTTGCAAGGACATATGCTTATGTAGAGGACCCTGAGTTCTCTGAGAGCTGCGTCGCTGAGCATCTCCAATGGTCGCAGGCCCTGACTGCCCACTAAGCTCACTGCAAAGGTGTTCTCCGAGTACATTTTGGCCTGGACCTCATGATGGATGAGGCGAGAACCTGCCCATAGAAGTGCGACAGGAAAGGGTGTTAGGTTGTATGGACAACGCCATGGCCTTAAGGTTGGCCCACACCACTGAGGCTCCGTCCACTCGTCAATATTGGGCGGCTGCCCGTCATCGTCCTTCCAACGTACATTCCAGTCTCTGGCCGTCCAGAGATTCAGGTCGATAAACTCGTCACCACCAAAACCTGCTTCTTCATAGATCTTGTCACGGATATGTGGTGGCAGGTCTAGAAAGGACGTCCCGGAAATAGGACCGTGCTTTGGTGGGCGGTCAGGTTTGAAGAAATCAGGGATTCTGGTTCCCTTTCGAGCACGAATTGTACCACAGCTTGCCGTATGTGCTGACGCCGGGCGGCGCAAGGGGTCGTGGTCGGCAGTAGTTGCCATCTGATAATGATATGAATGACTACAAATCTAATTCATTTCAGTGGCCCGAGTTGATTAGGTGCGAGCTCTGGTTGTAAGGACAAAGAACTGCCTCCACAAGTAAAAGGCGAGGATTACTGCCTGAATTTCCACGTTGCCACGTCATCATTCAAGGGGTCCCTCTCTCGCCGTAAGCGTAGATCAAGGGGCCAATCAAAAATCGAGCTGGCTAGCATCTGAGTAAAACCTGCAAACGAATATCCAGAAAAAGCCATACCAACAAATATGCGTGGAAATAGCTTAAGTAAGGTATGCTGCCATTGAGCATGATTGTTGGATTTTTACATGATGGTTCTAAAGCGAGTTGTAATGGCAGACTTCCCTATGTAGTCTTGGAGCGAAGCAGTCGTCAAGTCTAATTTCTGCGAGGTTCTACCCTACGTTCAACTATTTGAGTCTTTATTACTCGGGGCGTGAGAGTTCGAGTAGCTTGGCTCACACAGTAATAACCAGCAATCGAAGATGCCAGACCCGACATCTCAACACAATGAATACGAAAGGCAAAAATAAGCTGAGCTGGCCCAAGACGAAACTTTATTGCTCTTTGCCACTGAGCATTGTTTAAAATGTGCGCGTTCATCTCCACCCATTGTCTTCTGTTGGGTCTCATCTTTTCATCTAGATTAATTGCCCTTGCGATCGCTATCCAAGCTAGCAACATGGATACGCCCCAGTCCGTCACCAACATGGAAATCAAGGATTCTGTTATGCCGCTCAAAGCAACTCAGCCTCGGGGCCTCATTCAAAATAAAAGAGACGACGACGACACTATGCAGGTCGTTCTTTAATACTATAAAGAGGGTGCCAACACTAACCTTGACTGTAGTGACAATGATAAAGATCTTGCCGTTACTTGTGATGATATCCCGTTCGGCGAACGCTGCCATGGCGACGATAGCGATATACTTGATAGTGTCCGGCATGACAAGACCGATGGTTGGAAGAAGATTTCAGCTTGCGCTTGGGACAACGACGACCCATGCGGACAGGCCATTACCGGCGGGGTTGTGTTCAATGAAAAGGACATGGACGGCACAGAGGATAGTCGCGGTCCGGGGAAGAAAAGACAAGAAGTTGATAAGGACAAGAAGCCAAGGCATAAGGAACATCGTGCATCTCTGTACACATTTCAACACAAAGATGGAACGTTCTATCATGTTCGCATGGAGTCTGAGCTTGGAGAAGAGTATCGTAAGCTTGCTACCAAAGCTGAGAAGAAGGCATTCATTCTCGCCAATGGGTTTCCGAAAGGAAACCTTTATGAAGCTAGAGCCCGTGGAAAGGTCCGACGGGAAGAGAAACGCCTCGAGGAAGAGTCAAGAGAGGAAATCCCAGAGGTTGATCCTGTGCGTTTAACTATTTCTGTTTTTTATTTAGAGGGGTAATAAATCTTTGTATCCCAACAAACTTTGAGCGGGATCAGGATAAGAGAATTCTAAGCAATATTATAGACCGAAGCCTTTTTTCTCATCACTACCCAATCATGGTGATTTATCGTGGATTCTCTTACAAGAACCGTTGAATTTTCAGCGTCTTCAGGTAATCTAGGCTTGTCATTTTTTCGCACATTACGATTTTGTCGCGGTGGCCTTAGCAGCACCCTCAGGATCATGAGCCTGCACCTCAGTTTCAACGTTCATATCTGGGCCTCTTCTAATCCTCCGGATCTTGACATAAGTCTATATCGCATGGGGTGTGGCCATGTACTTGTGAAAGTTGCGGAATATATGTTCCTAGACCTTATCACCGAGGTTAGGTTGGTAGGTACCTTAGATGTGAATACTTGCCCCCACTCTTACCACCACCGTCCCTGATAGTAGATTCAATATATGCGAATGCCTGATCAATTTGTTTGCTAGGATTTTAGTGAGCCACACTGGTACTAGTGTCCCAACGTCCTTATAAACTTAGTGACTATTGTGAGGGCAGTTGCCCCTGTGCCAACCGCCTTGCTTCTCGTAGGAGCATGTTTCGAGATATGATATAGCTGCACAATGATTACGGAATGAGGATATGGGTTCAAAACGTGCAAGGAACTTTCGATACAGAGTCCATTCAACAACTAAACATGCAAGGAGAAGGCAACAGCTCTATAGGCAGATATAAAAGCCTAAGTCGGTCCTTGACCCCTTATAGTTGCTGGCTAGCAGCAAAAGCTAAGTGACCTAAAGGCAAATTAGCCTGCCGATCTTGAGTGAACGCCAAGTACTTAGCTTGGGCGGAATGTAAATTCCACGCCAAGGCCCGGTCCGGCCATCGATCCATGATTGCAGAGCATCCTTTCCCCATGTGGATGCATAGGAAACTAAATTCCTCCTTGTCAAGCACACAATTTACTCGGCATTCTCTTGTCAAGCCACGGCAGTGATTGTGCCCAACAAGTCTACAAGGTTTAACAGTACCAGCAGGGAATAGCCCCCTGGACTCAGTTCCCACAACGGAGTCTGCGTACCGGTCACATCTTCCACGTCTTCATCCCGTCCTGGAAGGTCTAGAGTAAGAGTTAGAACAATGTACGCGACAAATGAATGAGATAGCAGTGTGAAGATATATTGACATATTACTAAGTGTTGGCTCATGCATGTTAGTGAATGCAGTTGAAACCAGTTCTCCACCCTCTTAACGGCTCAACACTATGAGCCTTCCAAGTCCCTCTACTCAATGCCTCATGCTCATGCCAAAGCGTTTCGATGGTGCAGACAACTACTAGGCTTTAGATAGGTCAGCGATGATAGATTCACGCCAGCTCCATAAACCCGCCCAAGCGGCGCCAGGGCCGACGACAAAGCTGCCAGAAATGGTACACAGAGAGGCCTTGATGGCTTGATCGGTCCTTATGTACCCAGCTCGCCGCAAATCCCACACGGCGTACAGGCAATACCCAAGGATGCTTAGGCTTGCTAGAACTATATCAGAGTTCAGCGGCCCTTTATTGAGGCCAAGGGCCGTGAAATCGATGCCGAATAGAGGTAAGCCTAGAGAATGGCCGTATGCAAGCGTCGCCAGATGAGCAGTGGCCTGGGTCGCAAAAGCATACTCATATGCCGATTTCAATACAGGAAGATCCCGGTTTTGGTAAGACTCTAGCTCGCGATTGATGGCCTCTTGACCTTCGACTGTTGAATGCTTGTTCAGCTGCCACAATCTCACAGCGAGAACCACAATAGCCGTTAGACTAGAGAAGAACAAAGGCGGGAATTTCCAGACTCCGTAAACCTCCCAGCCAGGAGAACTGATGGGAAGCAGAAACATCATAAGCGACGGGAGGATGTAACCAGCTGTGAGTAGAGGTACAAGTACCTTGGCAACACATAAGGGAACGAAGCGGTTAACTGGGGTCGTGTGTGAGTTCCAGGAACACAGTATAGCATGAACAGGAGCGATTCCGCTAATGCCGAAGACAAGCATGCCGCTAGTGAAGATGCTAGGGAACACCAGAGCACTGCCGAAGTTGCTGGATCGGTATCCCTCAATCGTGTAGATGAGCAATGGGGAGATGAGTTGAGACACTAGGTATATAGGCTGCAATTTCGCCATTGAGTCGCCTGTGGCTGCTTGGTACCCCTCAACGATCGTTCTTCTTCCTGACCAAGCTCGCTCTAGCAGAGAAAGCCTCGATTCCTTATCCGTAATACTGTTGAACATCACAGACGTGCCTTTGAACGATACCAGAAGGAGTAGAATGGCATAAATGGTCAAAATTGTGCTAAGCCGAACGGCGTGCTTCGTACCCTTAGGTTGTCCTGGAAGTTCGTGATCGAAAGGCATTGCTCGAGGTCGTGAAGGCACAGGAAGTTGCTTCAATTTGGTACTGCCGATAACAGGGCCAGCGAGTTGTTGCAACATACCATCATCCGGAGCGAGTCTGGACCCCATGTACTGGATGGCCAGTTTTGCTAATGTTGGCTTCTCCAATGCAAACAGGGATTGCATTTCATGAGCGTTCTTAATGGTTTCCTCAGACCGTTTCATGCGTGTCTCCTGTACTTTTGCAAAAAGCTGAGCAATTTCTTCGGTGGTCAAATTCTGAAGGCCGTGTTTGCGCGCATCTCGCAATTCAAGTAAAGAGTTCATGAAATCTGTGACAGTCTCAATGGCACCGTTGCCTCCCATCGCGCTAATAGGATTTGGCTAGAAGTTCATATCAGTATGAGGGCTTTCCGATCGTCCGACGTGAAAGATGGTGAAATTACCTTATGGACCGAGTCTCCCATCAGGAGAATTCGCTGGAAGAACCACTTCTGGAACACGAATTCGTGCAGCGGAGTCAAAGTGGATGAAATCTTTTTCGCGTAGAGATCCCCAAATGTCACCTTCTCCGTGATCGGTAGATGACAACTCTTTTTAACGAGCTTCGCCTCATCTTGCCTTGTGTATTTGGGGATCTCGTCACCATGCTTAGGCTCTGGTATCCTGTTGAAAAAGAACCAGTAAACCCGCTGTTCCGGACCCGACATCACCAGAAACGAGCGCCCTTCTCCAGTGACCAAACACTGCTCGTTATCGGGAAGGCCAACCACGTCTTTCGAGATCCCAAAAATGCATTGGTAATTGCAAGTCGCATTGTCCTCATCGGCTGGCGGGAAATATCCTGGTTGGACCTCGTTGGCAACACGCCGCATCTCTCGTCGTACGTTGCTGTACACCCCATCCACTCCAAGGACAATAGAACCGGAGAAGGTTTTACCGTTGTCTGTAGACACTTGAACACCTGAATTAGATACCTTAACTCGGGAGACTCGGTGTTCCACAAGCAATCGGTCCTTGTATTGAACACGGTTATGGAGAACTTGTAGTAACCATTGCCTGTCAAAAAACATCATTGGGTAACCATGACTAGGAATTGCTTGTTAGCGACGAGAACTGTAACATAGAAGGAATAAATCCTACCGTTTCAAGAGATGCGAGACCATGTATCTATTGCAAACCAAGGATTCGCCATTGGGGGCTCGAATATGCATGTCGTCAAATGAATAGCCTAGCGATTTCGCCTCAATGTCCTCATAACAGCCTAGTTGATCTAGGACGAGGAGACCATTTGGCATCATGCCGATACTAGCCCCGACCTGTGGAGCAAACTCCTTCCGAGCCTCCAGCAAGACGTAGTCGATGTCGAACTTCTCTAGCATAAGGGCTAGAGTAAGGCCCGCGACGCCACCGCCCACGACGATGACTTTAAAGTCTTTAGTATGCTCCATGACGAAACTTGGCGAAGTTTATTGATATTGGGAAGGGCAGGTGCTAGAGAAACAGTTTAGAAAAGTTTTGTTCTTAAACAGAAAGAGGCTTTGTTGGATTTTGTGTCTTTTTACGTTCCTTATATACTTGGTTTGGGCTTTATCGGGTTCGATGAGCGGCCCGGTTGATCTGCCGGTCGAGGTTGTAGCCATCTGGTAGACGAGCGAGTGAGTTAATAAATCCCGCTGAGTAAGTGCATGAGTGCCAGGCCGTGCTCTTGAAATGTGCCCGTGTGTCCAGGGTACCGCTGTAATGGATTCAGTATCATGTTTTTAAGACAAACTGTTTATTCCTTCAATGTTGGATCATAACATAATTCCTGTTTGCCATTTCTACGGCAGAAAAAGGTGCCTTACCGAGCCGAAGGGCTTTGCCATTTCCTACTGGGGTACTACAATGCCTTGTTTTAGGAGTTCTATAATTGATGAGTCCTGATTTCCATGCCTGAAGTGGCCTTTCGGTTCCAGTGGACCACTCAATTGTTGATTCATGCTGTGGATAAGATATCTAAACGGGTCATTTTGGAGTCCGTTTCGCCGCTGACTAAGAACGAACAGCCTTTTTGAACGTAGATCACCAGCGCCGATCGAGTGGTTAGTTTGATGAGCTTGTATCCATTGGCACCATGCAGGGGTCTCACAGAGTCGGCATCTGGAGAGTGGTTTCTGATGAATGTTGTCTGTCCCTAAGCTTATGACACCCAAGGTAACACCAACTTCTCGCTGGACTGCACCTTCTTCTTTCTGGTACCGTTTGCAGGCTTGACATTTTCCTGTTCCAATTTGGGTACCATGTAATGCAGTGCTGTGATATAGTGCCTACGACATTTGTCTTTTTGTCATAAATTCCCATTGCGGGATTCAGCCGTGTACCGTTCCAGGAGGTCAACTATTGAGATCTGTCAGATTTCCTCTTAGCGACATACGGTGTACATTTGGTAATGGGACTAAGCGATAAAGCATAGTTTTCAGATACGAACTAATGGAATAGAGTTCGGCAAGGAAGCCATGCCATCAAAGGAGCCATTGTACATGACTTAACCTTTTGTTTGCTGAGAACCTTGAATCCCGCTCGGTCTAGTGCTTGCTGTGCTTTTGGAGTACCAGGCGAGAACTCTGTACTTTCCGGCAGTCCTCTGATCTTGCACATAGAGCTCCCACAAAGCGCCGAAAACCCTGATGCACGCATCTGCGGCCAGCTGGAAGTGTGAAACCATCTGTCCATTTACTCTTATCACTACCTAGTCAGATCTTAGATGTAGAAAAGAGGCGGAGCTTAGTCGGATTTATTTAACCTTAGTACATGGATGAGGCTTCGATCATCTACATCTGTACTGCGGAACTAAGTTTAAAAGAGGGCGCCAAATTCGGTCATTCATGGCCCTGATCCTCTCTTGGGAGTCAAAGATGGACGTAGGTTCCAGCCACCACTACGCTTTGTTGCCACGTGTACCCAGCACGTAGTCGTGGATCTCGGTCTTGCTGTTCTGTTGGGCGTTCCAACCTTCCAATCCTCTTAGCCCCTACTCCCTCACTTCATTTTACCTATCCCAAAGACGATTTTTGAGGTAGCGAGCTTGCTCTTTGCGCCAGAACGCCGGACATAATGCAAAGGAGTACAAGACCAAAGACCATCCGACGCTCGCAGCCGGCTCCAGGAAACTCAAGTGTGTTTTGCTTTGGGAAGGAATGGAGCGAGATGCTAGATACTGCCCAGCCATCGCCAATCCCCAAAACGAACCAGCCAGTTCATTTTCACTCCGATGCAGTGTCCGAACAGAGCAGTAGCTCGTCTATTTTCAATACAGTGACGGGGAATTCTCATCCTACGTTCACTTTCGGGAGCTCTTCAGGGCATTCTTGGACATTTTCCCAATCTAAATCGGAGAGCTCTTCGTTCAAAGATATCCACCAGTCACCAAAGGAAAAAAGCAAGCTCGCTGGCGCAAGCCCATATTATGAGACGGTCAAGTCTTTCAACCAGCCCGAAGATCTTGCTGGTGGCCCTCAGCCAGATGCTGAAAGAAATGCTACTTCATACGATGTCCGCAGCGAGTCAACCCCCTCACACCCTTTCTTTAGCGAGTTGTTTCAGTCTCAGATACAGGCAGGAAGGGCCATCTCTCAACAAACTGCGGAGCTATTTGAAGATTCCAGTTTCTGGTCTCAGCAGTCGTCAGTTACAAAGCTCATTGACGACGCAAACCGACTTTCCACTTTCCATGTCTCCGATACAAGAACCATAGCCGTCCTGGGAGATTCGGGAGAAGGTAAGGAACTTTTTTGGTCACCCGAGACAACAGATCTACATGCTCATACACTTTGCAGGGAAGAGTAGCCTCATTAACTCATTTCTGCACTACCCTGGTATAGCCAAGACCGTAAGTTTTTCAATTTGACCTGATCTTGATAGAGTCCAAAGATTGACTATTATAATTACTAGAGTGACATGGGCTCAGCATGTACTTCAGTCGTGACCGAGTATAGGCTTAGGAAACCTCAACACATGGCGCCCATTACGCTAGAAGTCGAGTATATGTCCAAATCCGAGATGGCAGAGGTTTTAGTGGAACTCTTGTGGAGTTATCGCCAGCTTTACTTGCCAAATGTGCAGTCTGACAAGACGTCTACCAAAGATTATGAACGACACACCAGGGAGTCCGCCCAAGCTTGGTCCGCATTGGAAGCTGCCTTCAAACACAAGAGCGATTTCAGCGAAAGCTTCCTTCGTGATATGTCCGACGGAGCCATGGAGAGGATCAAATCACAGCTTATCACATGGTCTCAGGAGATCACCTGGCCTGCTGGAAGTGCGAACGGTATCTGGAGATCTAGAGCGGTTACGCCTGGAGAATGCTGTGAGAAAACCGCCATTTTCATGAGCAATAGGTATTGGCCGTTTACCAAAATTATCCGGTTAGTCGACTCGGACCTCACGGTATGGATATCGAAGAAATCACTAACAACTTCTGATAGGGTTTATCTTGAGTCACGAGTTCTTGAAGCGGGGCTGATACTTGCAGACTTGCCTGGTGCGTTGACAGCTTGCTTCAGAGATGCGCATATTCTGACTCTATGAAATAGGCTTACAAGATACGAACCTGGCAAGAATTCGGACAACGCAGGACTACCTAATGAAATGTAGCAACATCTTCATCGTCGCAAAAATCTCCCGCGCCATCACCGACCAATCTCTCAAGTCATCGCTATACTCGGTTCTTCCTCGCCATGTCCCCATAGAATGGGAGGGTCCGGCAGCCAAGGCCTTAAAGATTGCAATTGTGTGCACCAGATCCGAAGCATGTAACTCGTCTGGCTAACTTATAGATCAAATATGCTAACCTATGTAGGATATTAACGAGGAAGCTGCCAGGCAGGAGTTTGTTGAGACCAAGAAAAGAATTGAATGCTCTATTCTTGAAAGACTTGACAAGGATATCGAAAATGCCAAGGCCAGTGGAAACAGAGAGCTGAAAAAAACATTAAAGAGACGGTACGTGATTTCTTACATTTCATGATCGGGAAATTTACACTAACATACGCAGACGAGGGCTGCTGTTGATCGAAGCACGCAACAACCACGTCAAGGACGGCCTCCAAGCCGCATATTCTTCCAAGGTCCCTGGAAATAGATTGGATGTCTTCTGCGTCTCGAATAAGATGTACGACAAGTATTCAAGGAAAGGAAACAGCGAGTTCGTTGAAGCAAGCGGCGTCCCGGTCTTGCGCAAGTTCTGTTTCCAGATCACAGCCGACGCGCAGCATCGGGAGGCAAAACACTTCCTCCAATCCTCCCTTTTCAATCTGCTTACTTCCTTTGAAGTTTGTCTGAACAGTCTGGCCTCTTCGTCAAATGACAGTGTGGTTCTAACGAAGTCGAAAAAATCAGCGCATCATGCTATCTCTGCAACAGTACCTGGCTATTCCAACCCCAGCCCAACCAACACCCGTCTGTGCGGCTAACGATATATGCAGGAAAGGCTTTTAAGAGATGCAGTCACGGAGCTCCAAAGAGATTTCATGGCCTGTTTCGATGATCAAATAATGAAGCTGTCAAGTGAGTCCGAGTGCACTATTTGCTGAAGCAACTCCACTAACACCGTAGCAAAGACAACAGACACGCAGAATGGATGCTCGCTGCAGAGGACGAAGAACTTAAATGGGAAAGTGTAAGTAGAATATCGACTGCTGGACTAGTAGATTCGCCAACTGACCAAGATCTAGTGGCATTGGTGTATGATTGTGTGACGCCTTTACTCACCCAGTGTTAAAACTGACAAGCGGATACAGCCCAGTTCAATGCATGGTGTTTGCATGATGGCAACCATGAGACCGATGGCCGTGAGCGTGAAGACTGGAATGCCAAGATTATCTGGAAGATGCGTAGCGAACTCGAATACCAGTGGGAAGTGCTTGAACAGGAGATATCTGAAGTCTTCAGCACCCTTTTAGGGACAGTAAGCACTCTCTTGGTCTCACTCAAGGGGACTATTCAAAGTAAGAAGGAGTTTCTGGCGAGTCTGAGGATATGATCTGACATAGCATACCAGGTCTTGCTCCAGCAAGAGTTCAGAACTTGCTGGCGGACGGAATTGATTCGCATATTCGAGGTCTTGAGTACACGCTCAGTCTTTCCTCGGAAAAATTTGGCCGGGAAATAGGGTGAGATGAAAAAAGTCAACTTTTAATATAAGATTTATTGACATAGCAAAGATTTATCCGTCGCTCTGCTTCCGAAACAAACTCCACCTCAATCATCCTCAGCGAGATGATCCCGGCATATCGCGAGGCTTGTTATCAAGGAAGTAAGCTCATATAAGTTCTCAGATCCAACAAAATTATTATCTACAGAGGCTAATACCAATCTCGTCATAAAAACAGCCACGGGACCAGGCGCAGCCGCTCGCCAAAAAGCAGTCATCAGCCGTCGTATAACTGACGGTGTGTTATTCCCAAACATTGTCAATACGATTTCAACTCGAGTCACCGCCGCCGTCGCCAAGATTGTAAAAGATCTAGAAGGCCATATCGAACGCATGATGAAAGCCATCAAAGCAGATATTCATTTTGCCTTTGCATCCACGGCCAAATCTAGTATTCTTCTATGCCCAGTTCATCAAACGCTGATGAAGGTTAAAGATCTACGAAGGCAAGCTGAAGCGATTCATTCCAAGGTAGACGGAATGTGACTACTCAACAACAGACAAAACTGCGAGAATTGACCATGGGCACTCGCAAGTGTGGTTGAGGGTTTTATAAAGGTCTTAAGATGGAATAATTAGGTAGGAAAGCTTTCGGTTAAGGGGGGTGTTCGGTTGACAAGGGTGGTCAGTTGTTCACTGATCAATGCAGGCAGCTAATATCGGTGCCTACCCTATAGACATAAATAAGCGGCGTTGGGCAGATGATGATGCGGCAGTAATGATGAAGTGTACTGTTGGGCAGGAATGTAGGACAATGACAAGGTCTAAAATTGGCATCATTCTGTCTTCTAGAATTTATTGTAGCAAAATGTCATGGACTGTGACTATCTGTTCTGCCGGAGCATGTTGTAAGATCAACATGATTTGGCCATGCCTAAGCTTGAGTTTTGCCGTGGCGAGAAGTTTATGTATCTAAAAGGTTAGCCCGGTAAGCATGGAAGGTCGCGTGGCCCAGTGGAAAGGCGTTTGGTTTACAGCCACCAGTTGTATGCCCCCAAAAGATCGCAGGTTCGAACCCTGCCGCGATCATTCTTTTGGTCTTTTTTTTTTTATCATCCATATCCCCATTATTCCATGACTAAATCTTTATATTTTCTTGCTGCTTTAAGCCGCCAGCTTTACACTGAGAGCCCCCCCCTCCTTTTTTTTTTTTTTTTTTTTTTTTTTGAGCCGAGGAGTTGAGACCCAAGTACTGAACTAGAATCAACACGGCGAAGAATGCATCATGAACACCACAAACTAAACTTCCTCGATGCCACGGGATCCGGATCTGCGAAATCAATATTGGTTGCACAATATGAGAAATTTCAAGATGTTCCTTTGGCAGTGTATTACCGCGTGGTTGTCTTAGGCCTTCCTTCATCCTCCTCAACTAGGGCAGAGGTCTTGATGTCTTCGACATGCACTGCTGACCGAGCGACATCGAGACCATCCTTCCCATCGAATACTTTGAAAGATCATGAATTAGTTTAAAGCTTCATCTCGATTGACAGTTGTTCGATTCTTACTTGTAGCAATTTCTTCGAGGGACATGCCTTTTGTGTCCACGAAAGTGAAGTAGATGATCAACCAGATCAAAGATGTAAAGGCGATTGTGAGTAGGTAGTAGCGCCATGAGAGATTCTTGATTCCGATGGGGTTGATATAGTTCACAATGAACGTTGACATCGAGATCGAAAAGAAGTTCCATGAAAAGAACAGGCTTCTTTGCTTTGTCGTGCAAATTTCGAGTGGGTAGCTGACGGTTAGAGGAAGATACGAGGCCTAAGGGGCATAATGGTTAGTTGCTGGGTACTGTATGTGTAACCGGAACAAAGTGGCAGGTCAAAAGTTATAACTTACACCTGCAAAACAAAGTTAGACTGAAGCAAGTTCGGGTGAGATATGGGGAGATTACCTACCGTAGAAGAAATTGTAGACAAATATCATGGCTACGACACCAAGGCCAAAAGAGTTACTTCCCGTGACTTCATATCGAGCCGCCAGGGCAGTCCAAACGGAGAAGGCGATAATCATCCCTCCGGTTCCAAAAAGAAACATGAATCTTTTGTTGAAGCGATTGATGAAAATAGCGGCCGCGATGCCGATAAACCAACTCCAAATGTTGACAATGCCTGCAATAAGAGTCTGCTCTTGGGTCGTTTTCATGCCAATGTTGTTCAATACTTGTGGGAGGTATGCGCTGATCAGTCCGGAACCACAGGCTTGGGAACCTACAGCAGTGACAGTTGTGAGTAGGAGCCGGCGTTGGTTACCACGATGCGAGAGAAGGTCCACGATGTCCTTCTTGTTAAATCGGACTTGGGAAGCATCTGCCTCAATTCCAGCTCGGATTTCTTCCATCTCAGCTTGCACTAGCGGAGTCTCAACACCGCCACCGTGGTATTTTATAAGGATTTCTCTGGCTTTCTTTTCCTGGCCTTTGGAAACCAGCCACCGGGGAGATTCTGGACAGAAGAAGATTGTGAGGACTTGGTACGCTGGTAATGCCGCTTGCAGTACACATGGGATTTGCCACGACCTATCCCCAGGGATGTTTCGTGTCCCGAAAGCACTCCAAGATCCCAAGATGAAGCCCACATAAATGAGAGTGTTGTAGAGAGCTGTAATTCGAGATCGGTGTGTTGGATATGCCAGTTCGGTAATCAACACTGGGGCCGAGATTTGTACGGCGACGGACCCGAATCCAAGGAGAATCTTGCCGGCGATGAACATCTCAAGGCTGGTCGAGAATGTCTGCATGACCGCCATGGCGATGATCATCAGACATCCTCCAGCGATGGAGACTCTTCGGCCAAATCTTTGCACCAGCCAAGGACTGACGAAGATTGTAGCCATTCCGCCAATCTGAGTTGATGCGCCATAGAGACCAAGACGTGCACCCTCCGGATTACCAAACTTCTCGTTGAAGGCACCTAGGGATTGTAAGGCATTCGTCATAGCTATATCGAAACCCCAGGCGATGATTGTAAGCAGCGGTGATAACTGAGTTTGGTTGAGGGTTGTTAGAATAAGTCAAACTGGGTCCATGTTTCATCGGATTAGACGTACCATGAGAGCATTCAGTTGAAGAAGGTGAGGAGTACGCCACCAAGGTTTCGCATTGGCTTCACCATTCTGAAGTAAATCATGTACAGTATCAACCGAGGTTGGAACAGGATCGAGAGTTTCCTTTGGGTTTGATTGGGCAGTATCTGGTTGGCTTGGCGAGGCCATAGTTGCGAGTGGTAAACGGGTGCGTTGAAGAAGCAGGATGGCAAGAGAGGTTCGAGAAAGATAATTGGCAACAGAGGGTTCTTTGTCGAGTAACGATCAGCAGCACAAGGTGAGGTTGTGTTGATGCTTTAATAGAAATCACAGTAGACTTCGCACAACATGTTTGCTCGTTTGATCCAACCGATTTGCCACGCAATTGTCCATGGGGTAGTGGGTCTGGGGTTTGGGGAAGAGAGGCTAAGAGAAGGGGAAACTCATCCTTCACCACTCAACCAGAGAAAGCATCCACATATTGTGGACATGGTTCACTCAGCTGTTCATCTAAATGGCACTTTGTGGGACCTTAATGATCCATGGATTAAGAGTCTAACCCCATCCACATGACTCGTAAAAAGCCGACGGATGTGTCCATGGCCCATGTCCTCCTCGGTAACGAAGATCCGCCTACTCAATGGCGTTCTCCCCGCTCTTTGATCCATCGTATTCCCGACGGGTGAGCTGTGAAAGAAAGCCAATATTTGGTAAGGTGTTTCTGTAATAGCCGCACGGCTGCCGATATTCAAGCTTATATAGTCTATGAACGCTTTTGTGCCTGTTTCTGCGCCGAATCTTGGCCAGGACGCGACCACCAAACCCTGACCTTGGCATCAATTCTCCGTGCTAATCCCATTCTTTGAACCCCTCTCGCAAATACCCGACGTTTGGATGTGTAGATCCACATCGGGAGTTTCTCCGCCTCACTTAACTCCATCATGCAGCCTTGTCGGTCGCTATATCAGGGAAAGAGGTAGCCACCGCTTCAAGTGTATCATGTCCTACCCCAACCAGGCATTCATCCCATACCCCTGTTTTCTATCATTTCATAACCTCACGGCCTATCGGAACTTGGTTGTACTCACCAATGCCATCAATCATGGCAGCTGAAGAGGAGCACACCTTGTGGTACGGCCAACCCGCCGACCTCTGGGAAGAGGCGCTCCCAATCGGAAACGGACGGTTGGGTGCAATGGTTGCAGGAACCACCAACAAAGACAGACTTTGGATGAATGAAGATTCTGTCTGGTATGGTGGTCCGCAGGAGCGCGTCAATCCCTCCGCACGCAAAAACCTGTCTAAAGTCAGGGAGCTCATGGACAATGGTCGGTTAGAAGAAGCCGAGAAACTCATTTCCAGAACATTTACTGGGATGCCAGAGGCTCTGCGGCACTATGAGCCTCTTGGTGATGTTTTCCTTCACTTCGGTCATGGCGTGGATGCTGAAAGCACCAAAACTATGCCTGCTGGAATTCCGGATCTTCTGAGCAAGGGCACGAATAGAAGGGTCGGAACCATTACGAATTATCGGCGAGAGCTTGATTTGAAAACCGGAATGGTTACAGTTCAGTACGACTATGAAGATACAGCCTACAAGCGACAATATTTTGCCAGTACGACTGATCAAGTGCTCTGTGTGCGGATCAGCAGCTCCAGGCATGGATCTCTCAACTTCGCTGCTTCCATCAACCGTGGAGATCACGAAGATGTGGACCGAAGACTGAACAAAACCCTCGACAGGCTTGATCACATTCCAAACGGTCTTATTCTTTCCGCATCAATGGGGAAAACGGGCGTCAATGCTAGTATGGGAATCTCAGTGCACTTGGAGGGTACACGAGGAGAGATTGATCAAGATGGGATTGATATAGTGGTGTCTAATGCTGATGCTGCTGTCATTTTCATCTCTGGCGAAACTACCTTTCGGAATGACGATGACTGGAAAGCAGTTCAGGATAGACTTTCCCAAGCTGCTCAGAAAGACTGGCAGTCTCATCTGACCTCCCATCTGGAGCGATACTCCCGATTATACGACCGGGTGTCCTTGAGTTTGACCGACTCTTCAACGGCCACCCAGAGACTCAAACCCACGAATGTGAGGCTTCGTGAAGTCAAAAATGGTGCCACCGATGAGGGGCTAACGGCACTCATGTTTCATTATGGGCGTTATCTCCTAATTGCATGCTCGTTGCAAGGCCTTCCGGCAAACCTCCAAGGTATATGGAACAAAGATATCATGCCGACGTGGGGATCCAAGTACACGATAAACATCAATATTCAAATGAACTACTGGCCGGCAGAGGTGACCAACCTACCAGAGTGTCACGAGGCTCTATTTGAGCATCTGGAGCGCATGCAACAGCGTGGAGAAAAGACGGCCAGAGAGATGTATGGCTGTCGAGGCTGGGTGTCGCATCACAATACTGATATCTGGGCTGATACAGCACCTCAAGACCGCAACTTGACTGCTACGTACTGGAATCTGAGTGGTGCATGGTTTTGCCTTCACCTTTGGGAACATTATCTGTACAAACCTGACCTAGCTTTCCTCAAGCGAGCATTTCCGATCATGAAAGGAGCCGCCGAGTTCTTTATGGATTTCCTGGTTGAACGAAAAGGACATCTGGTGACTTATCCCAGCTCTTCAGCCGAAAATGCTTATTATCTCCCCGGCACTCGACAAGTTGCGACAATGTGCGCTGGACCAGCTTGGGATTCGCAAATCCTCCGAGAACTGTTCAGTGCCCTGGTTCAAGCTGGGTCTCAGCTTGACCAACCCACTGAAGAATTTGCCTCCGTACTCTCAAGATTACAGAAGCCTCAGATTGGTTCAAAGGGCCAGATTCTAGAATGGATGGAGGAGTACGAAGAGGTCGACCCGGGACATAGACATCTCTCGCATCTATGGGGGTTGTTCCCTGGGACGTCAATCAAGTCGCAAGAACTCCAGAGAGCTGCAAAAGTGAGTATTGACCGCCGGCTTGCCTCCGGGGGAGGCCACACGGGATGGAGCGTGGCCTGGATACTCTGCTTCTACGCTCGCCTCAAGCTGCCTGAACGTGCGCATCAGACTGTTCAAAAGATGATGAGACAGTCGGTGCTTCCCAACCTGTTCGATGACCACCCGCCGTTCCAGATCGATGGAAACTTTGGCCTGGTCGCTGCTTTGGCAGAAATGCTGCTTCAAAGTCACAAGGAGGGTGAGATTGAGCTTCTTCCATGTCTCATGCCCGCTTGGGAAGCCATGGGGTACGTTCGCGGGCTGAGAGCGAGGGGTGATGTGACGGTGGATATTGCGTGGGAGAATGGTAAACTGAAGCAAGCTCGCCTTGTCTCAGCCGCCGCACAGACTCGAACAATCAGAATTGCGAAAGATCGTCTAGTGAGCGGAGAAGAAACAATGGTAGTAACGTTCAATCCTGGCCAGGCAGTTGAGCTCAGTGGGAATTGGTGAGCAGCAGTGTCCCTATAAACCTCAGGACTGGGAGAGAAATTATGTTGGATATTATTATGTCTTCATTTTCAAGGCTCTGAACTATGATAATAAATGGTATGGAGAGAGCATGTATAATTTTGAAATACCAATGCCGGTTTATGCCTCTGCGCTTGAAAATTCTCAGATTCACGAGACAGGAGCACCCTCTGAGCAATCGAAGCTCTCGTTCTGCTCCTAAAGAATTGATGTTCCAATATATTTTTAGTCTATTTTACCGTCTTCTATGGTATCTATGTTTACACACCCACTGGGCGAAGACCCCGAAGAGTTTTGAGAGAGCTGGATGTGCCAAGGATACGCCTCAGTAGCTCTTTGTAGTCCCATCCAAGGCCGTTGGCAGCCATCAAGGTTAAACTTGCCTGATCGTCACGCCCTGGTCTTCCCGGGCCAGTCATGTTCTGTTTTCCAAATTAGTTCCGTGAACAAATTCGAGATGTCATCTTTATATACGACTTACAGGCTTCATGTTGACATCGAATAGCGCGAATGGAGAATCAGGAGAGTCCTTGAAACGCCGTACGTCGATCCGAATGGGCGCCGTCAAACCTAACAGAGACGCTGCTTTCTCACACTCCCTCGCCACGCGGTTATACAGAGGATCGGCGTCGCCATTTTCCACGACGCGAGAATTAGCTGTGACGGCCACCACGCCGTTGTATGGCGCAATGCCGTCCTGGTGATTAAATCGAGAGACCACGGGGAGAGCCCAATAACCCTTCCCTTTCTCCGTAGGAGGCATGACGGTAACGGTTGCCTCCTCGCCCTTGAGAAACTCTTCAATCATGAAGCTCATGTTGCCGTCGGAGAGCCCTGTGGCGTGGCTGATGAACTCATCTTTGTCGTGGCAGACTTTGACGCCATGGCTCCCACGGCCGCGGATGGGCTTCGCGACCACCGGGTACGACAGCTGCTCAGCGACAGCGGCGATATCCTTTGCGGACCGAGACGGGGCGGTGAAGACGCGAGGCATAGTGAAGCCTCCGACAGAGCGCAGGTAGTCGTTGACATATTCCTTGTCGTCGTACTTCTCTACCACCAGCGGCCCCTGCCCGATCACCCGGACCTTTTCCTCAAAGGGCGAAAGGCGAGCCGACGTCTGGAGGGGATGCGACGCGAAGACAATTGTGTTGGACCACAGGTAGTTGGCGCCCTTGTTGACAGCACTCAAGATGCCCTCCTCCGTGTCGGGGAAGCACCAATCGCCATCTTTCTCAGCTACGGGGCTCTGGGTGGGCGTGACGACGTTGACGTTGGCACACTGGGCCAGGTTGTAGGCAATGTCAGCTCCCGAGTCTTGGTAGCCGCCGGGCTTCTTGGGCTTCTGCACGCCGTTGATGATGGGAGGCTCGAGGGCTTGGTAGAGGACCGCGACACGAGGAGAGGCCAATGCCGAGTATCGGGCCAGGCGGTTCGCGTAACGCGGCGGGCACAGCAACTGGCGAGCTGGCTTGGTGGTGACGTGGAACATCATGAACACCAAGAGGAGCTGACCTCAAAGCGAATCACTTCAGCAGGATAAATGAATGTCATGGAATGGTTGATTGTGTAGCTCTTTTGAGACCGAGAAATACCCTCGGAAGCCCGGGACTATCCCGATGCTGTTCGTTTGTTTTGCTTCAGTTTGGAGCCTCAAAACCGGCGTAAACCCGAGAGTGGGTTTGCACCAAAACCTGAGTTTGGGCGGCCATTGACTCACGAGACCGGCCATATCCCGGCTATAACAACCTAGTTTGGTTTAGCCATTGGAGAGTGGCAAAGAAGTGAAGATAGGAAGGGCCAAGTCAAGTGAGCATACAGCAAGAAGTGAGCGGGATTAGAATTTACCATGCACGGTGCGTGTAAATCAATCTTATCAATCTCGGCCCCCTGCCTGGCCTTTGCGCTATTTCTTACCTTTTCATCTGGGCTCCGCTGTGCCGCCTTATTCTCCCTGGGAAGATGGTTATAAAATGGGTCCTTCTGCGTTAATAAAACCACATGGAGCTAATTTGAAGGTCATTCATCAGTTGTTGGGCGGAGCTTTTCAACTCTTGCAGAGAGTGAGAGGGAGCTTCGGTGGCGGGTGCAAGGCTGGGAGAATGAAATCACTTCAATAGCAGATTCAATTAAGGACTAGTTGCAGAATAGCATTGATCGGGGCTGGCGAGACTACAATTCCAGGTGGTGATGGATCCGACCAGCCTATGAGGCCTTATCAAGCAAAGTTGGGCAGGCTGCCAAACAACTCCCACGCGAATTTCAAGGGCCGTGACATCTATCTATATTCCTAGAGTATGAGCCAACTTGAGGGAGGATACAATGATAGCGTCCGCGGGCGATCCGTGACTGGAGATGGGTCTGAAAACTTCTGATGATCAATTAATGAATACCTTGTCATGATATAGGTGCAGGTCTGCTACGCTATACAACCTGCCTATGATGTCAAAGTGAGGCCTCCGAAATATCGGAAACTGTCGCCGTCCAATGATCATGATCAAATGACTCTCTGTGAGGCTTCCCTCTAGGAGGCCGGATCAACTGAGCATGCTGATAGTAGCCACTCATATATCCACTACCCTTTTCACCGCTCGCCTTGCAGCGGAGGTAGGGAGAAATCATCACGGATCCGGTGAAAACGAACACCCCGAAGCAAAGAATACTACCCAAGGTCTCTATTACAGATGGTTATCTAATGAATATGCGGAAGTATTGCGACATTTCATCACACTCATACCTTCCTCAATCATTAGCCAACCCGAGTCTGCCCCTGGTTTTCGTTACATCGGTCTACTATCGGACCCAACTTCTCCGCCAGCCAAGCTTCGCTAGGATCCAAGCCTTCCTCTTTAGGGGTCTTTCAACAATCTACGTCACATCGGATCGCCTGAGCAGTTTCCTCGAACCAAGGAGGATGCCAAATATCCGGATTTTTATCCTGAACCATCAGGCCATTTGTATAGCCATAAAGCCAGGCAGATAAGTCCAATCTACCAACTCATCTCTTGCAGAGCAGGTTGACTCAACTGTTCAAGAGTCTCATCATGATTTCCATATCGACACTTTTCCCGGCCTCGCTTCTTCTAGCGGGCGGCTTAGTGGCTGCCCAGACAGAGAACTTCGAAGCAGAGCTCTTCAAGCCGACAAGATACATTGTTGAATTTTCCGATGCTGGCTCGGCAAAGTTCAGGAAACGAGATGGAGAGAGTGTAAGTATCACATATAAATATCATGGTTGTTTGTCTCTCCTAACGATTTTAGGATACGGAGGCTTTTATTAGTATACTCCAGGACGGGGGCGTAAATGCGGAGCCAGCCATTACCTTCAACTCTGAACTGTTCCATGGAGCCTCATTTGAGGTCACCAGTGCTACGGAGCAGGCTGTAGCTGACATCCTGAACCTCCCTGAGGTAGGGAGACTGTGGCCGGCAGCATATATGACACTTGATGCCGAGTCCCAAGGTTTCCTCCAAGACTCAGAATTCCTCGCTGCTTGGGATCCTCATAAAGAAACCAATGTGTCCCAAGTTCACGCCCTGGGCCACAAGGGCGAAGGTGTCGTCGTCGGCATCGTGGACACCGGCGCCGATTACACCCACCCCGCTCTGGGGGGCGGCCTCGGCGCCGGCTTCAAGATCGATGGCGGTTGGGATTTCATAGGCGACTCGCCGGACGTCATGGACTGCAATGGCCATGGAACCCACGTCGCTGGTATCATTGGTGCCGATGATAAGTACGTTCAGGGCGTTGCGCCCAAGGCTACACTCCGACCATACAAAGTCTTTGATTGCTCGGGCGGTGCAACCGAGGATACTGCCATGGCGGCATTTATACGGGCGTATGAGGAGGGTGCAGATGTAATCAATGGCTCCTTGGGAGCAGACCGCGGATTTCCAGACGGGGCAATTGCTCTCTTGCTTTCAAGGATCCAAGAGCAAGGCGTTCTCATCGTTGTCGCGGCAGGGAACTCGGGTGCGCAAGGTATGTTGATCGAAGTCTAGCCAGGTGAAGAGGTGCAGTTCGCTAATTGACGTGATTGTCTTACAGGGCCTTTTTACACTACGAACCTAGGAAACAACTTTGGCGGACTCACCATTGGCAGTATTGAACATGAAACTCTGATTGCGCATCTGGTTACTGCCTACTCCTCGAGCGGGGAATCTAGAACTTTTGTAAGGCACAATCCAGATCTACACTCTATGTCACAATGAACTGACGTGGTTCTTCTGTAAGGCCTATACCAGCAATGATGGTCGACCATTCAACAGGACCGGAAACGTCACTGCCTCATGGCTGGCCGCGGATACACGGACATTTAACCCTTGCCTTCAATGGACAGCACCATCCCCAATTCCAAACGACAACCTCATCGTTTTACCGTCAGTAACCCTTCCTCGCTTTCTAACTTCTGCTAACATGTTTTAGACGCAACACTCTTTGCAGCTGGCAGAGCCATGATAACATCCTCAACAACAGAGCCGACTGGGCATTCTGGTACAATCTCAAGGGTGCTGAGTACGAAGTTCCTAGCCGCCTGATATATGATCCCTCAGTCCAGCCTGTAGGCAGTGAGTGAAGTTTCTACTCTTTTTGACGCAAACGACCCCGCTGATATATATGAATTCGATAGCGGCCTTGATTAGTTACGAGGATGGCGACTGGTTAGTCAGCCAACACGAGAACGGCTACGATGTCACCTACAGTTTCGACCCTGATAGCTCTCCGGTGGCTGCTGAGAGACCAAGCTGGGCAGGTGGTAGACTCGATAATTGGAGTTCATGGGGTCCTACCATCGATGGGCGAATGAAGCCCGAGGTTGTTACGCCAGGTGGGCTTTTGTTCATTCTCCTTTTTGGTACCCCCTTGCCATACTGATGATCATATATAGGCGGTACGATCTACAACACTGCTGCGGGCGGCGGCTGGGTCACGTATTCTGGAACCAGCATGGCTTCTCCATATGTAAGTTCTGATATCGCACCATTGAGGATTCGTGATAGGTACTGGCTGACTAAACTACTAATGGCAGGCTGCTGGCCTCGGTGCTCTCGTCCTTGGTGTGCACGGCACTCGCGCGGAGAGATCTGACGCAGCTGCTTCCGCTCGTCGCCGAATAATCGCCAGCACTAGATCAATCAAAAACCCAGACGGGTCTGGTGCACCCGCGTAAGAGACTATTTGCCGTAAAGCAAGGATCAGATTGCCAGAATAAAGATGCTGATTTAAATGGCATGTCTAGTTCGGTTGGCCAGCAGGGCGCGGGCCTGGTTGATGGAGTCAAGGCAGTGCTCTATTCGACGACTGTCAACCCGTCATACATCCAACTCAACGATACGGATAATTTCAAGTCTACCCATGAGATACAGATTACCAACAATGGAGACGAGCAGGTAACATATAAACTAAGCCACAGCACTGAGCCGACATATTTCCCCCGAAACGCTGAAACTGGCATTTTCATCCTATCGCCGCCCCATTCCACTGAAAGTGGCGACCTGGCCAGTGTCGAGCTCTCAGTTGAGGAGGTTACCATTGCCGCTGGTGAGACTGTAAGCGTTGAAGTTCAATTTACTGAGCCTTCCACAAGTGACAACAGCACGTTTCCCATATATGGAGGTGCCATTGTTGTATCCGGAAACAATGACGAGACCGTCCGCGTATCTTACTTGGGTAAGATCTTTCCACATCTTTTCCATGAGAGGCTTATCCATCGCGCTAACTTTAAGCTCCCGTCTAGGTCTCAAAGGTTCCATCAACAACTTTCCTCACTTTGGCGGTACTAACCCAACTTTTCTGGATCCTGACGGCCAGGCCATGACAGAAGGAATTATCTACTCTTTCAATGATCAAAACGTCCCTTACCTGCCATTTCTCATCGCATGGTCAACAAAGGAGTTCAGTTTTGATGTAAGTGACATTACCAGGACTCCTTGACTAAATCTTAGTTCGCCGAATCAATGCTGACTGTGTGTAGTTTGTCGGCAAGGACTGGTCACCCGAGGACTGGACCTGGCCACTTGTCCCTGGAGAGAAGAACTTCTTTGGCAGCTTCCGGACTGTTGGTGACGGGAATGACTTCGTGGTCGCTGACTTCCCCGTCGTGAACTTCCCACGGATAAGTAGACAATTCCACGCCAGGCCGACTGGTACATTCTCATGGGGCGGGGAGCTGGTGGATGGCGAGTATAGATATCTCAGAAGGTCGTTGAAGACTTTTGGGGACCCGAACAAGATCGAGAATTGGCAGTGGGATCTGTCGCCGTGGTTTGGCGTGCAGCGCGGCGCTTAAAGGGGTTATTTGTGCCGGGACAATACCGATATGGCCCTTTTGGAGAATGATACGTGTGTTGACCACGGAAGCTTTTGATAGCCAATCTATCTCGAACTTGTAGCCTAAATTGTGTGTGTGTCTTCTATACTTTGATTAAGTGGAATCTCCTTAGCGGTAGGATCCCTCCTCGTACTACGGAGTACCGGTTGTATGCTTCGTGGGGAAAACATATCATGGCTGTGGCGGATCGAATTAGATGAGATATGCAGCAAATGGAGCAAATGAGTGAGATTAACAATCGAATCACAACAAATCAAGCGATACGTAGGCTAAGCGGCAAAGTCAGCGTTGGTATCAGAGAGGTTGAATTGGTTGAGTCTCTCTAGCTATCTATTGATGGTTGCATCATTCGTGGCTAGCCTAATCGTGGGACACTCTGCGTGACACGTGACAATGGCAGATGCCTCCTGTTGTGTTTTGGTCTGCGTGGGTGAATGAATAGAAACAAGGCCAAGAGGGGAGGGTGAAGCAGTACGTATATTTTTTACCTGTTCGGGTAGATTTTTTTGAAAATCTACTCGAATAGGTAAAAAATATACGTACCTATAGGGCGGGATTTATAGTTGTCACCGAGTCCAGATTTCAGTTTGCTGTGCTGGGGCTATCGGCCCACTTCCGCGTCTATATTGTCCTAGTAACTGGCGCCATGGCTGTTGTCCTTGGGCTGGTGGCGGCGGAATAAGTATTGGATTTCTTCAGGGCCAGATGTGGTGCGTGATCAGTAGCTGTGCCTCCTCTCGTACATCCCATTACTCTTTGTATACAAGGAAGCCTGGGAAAGGGGCCAGTAAGGCTAGACAAGCCCAGTATCTGGTAACTCAGGATTGTGTGGTACGATGTTTAATCTGTTGTATTCACTGTGTTGAGATGTCGGGTCTGACATTTCTCATTGCTGTTTTTGATTTTATACTCGAACTCTCATCCGCCTGCGTGGTACGATGAAGATGGGTCTAGAGGACGAGTTGGTTCAGCTGGGTTGTCGTTTTAATCTAGAAGGGAGGAGCTGTAGGCAAGCAAGCTCACTGGCTCAAACAGTACGGTGAAAAGGCACGCCAAATCAAAAGGCACGCCAAATCAAAATGCACCGCAAATCAAAATGCACCGCAAATCAAAATGCACCGCAAATCAAAATGCACCGCAAATCAAAATGCACCGCAAATCAAAATGCACCGCAAATCAAAATGCACCGCAAATCAAAATGCACGCCAAATACGAATGCACGCCATTTCCAAATGTACGCCAGATAAAAAGGCACGCCAAATAAAAAGGCACGCCAAATGAAAATGGTGGACAACTAATGCATGAGACACGTTACCCGTTGGCGGTAGACCCCGAGAATAGCCAATCAGCACGAATGCAAGTACACCGTTGTGACATTGGCACCCCATCGGCTACAGGTAAGGGTTAGATGAGGATTGTCTTGCATAGGTCCATGCGTCCTACATTATCCTGCTGACCGCAGTGAGACTTTGGATTGAAAAACAAGTCATTCAACTTTAAATGTGAGGCTGCCATGGGGCTTAATCTATATAACCCTCATTTCACTTCCTTGCTTCAAATCTCAAAGTCACAAGGACAGCCGCATATCAGCTGTGAATTGGAGCTATCTCTGCAATCATCGATCTTGCTAGCCATCCCACAGAACGTTCCATGATTGCAGTCACCACTATCTTGACCAATATGTCAGAGCAAGATAGGGCGCTCGGCCAGCTGCGCGGGGAATATCAACTGTGTCCCAACACAGCCCATCTTCCTCATGAGTTGCGAAACCAGAATGTCCGTAGGTGCTTTCTCCCTTTCTTCCTTTGCTTTGCACAGTCAAGGCTTGCGCTTTGTTAGTTATTCCCGGCAACTGATTTCAGGCCAACTCTATTTCAGACGCCGGCGATCTATCATCCCAAGGGTCAAGGGAGACCACCTCCATCTCCAGTCCCAGAGCTTCCAATAGGCCATTGGCCTGTCCCTTTTATAAATTCAACCCCGCCCTTTGCGATGGGTGCAAAAAATTCCAATTCGTCCGAATTTCGGATATGAAGCAGCATCTGGTTCGCTTTCACTCATTGTCAGAACTTTCCGCGTTTTCCTGCACAGCGTGCCATAGCCCGTTCGTCGACGAACAATCCAAGATGCTCCATCTCCGCGGTGGCAATTGTTCCATCGTCGCTGCGCCGGAAAAGCTCTCTCCGCAAGAGGTCATCAAATTGAAAGAAACAAGATTTCCCCGAGGATCTAGTGCTGCGAGCCAATGGTTTGCTATGTGGAACCAGCTCTTTCCCGGACACACTGAGCCACAGACTCCCTACAAGGAGTCCAACAACATCAAGGAGGTCATTTCTCTCATCTCGCCCACCGTAGAGAGTTACTTCCATGCTGCCTTTCCTGTTCTGTCTCCGCAGCATCGCCAGAGCGATGTTTCACCCATCAAGATTATCATGGACAATGTCTGGCGTGATTTCTGCAACAACCTCCCCACCTCACGTCAAGGGCCCTCCATCGAGCGCCCAAGCCTGGATAATATTGGCCACAACCAGGGCAGCAGGGTTGCTCCCACCATTCTGTTATCACCATCCTTTACAAACTCACAACATGATGCTATAGCCGTGCTTGCGTCTCCCTCTCTTGGGAACAACCTGACAAGCATGGCCCCGACTATCGATTCAACATTGGGGTTCGGGCTGCCTGGAATTCCGGTGTCTATTAACACAGGACCACACAATGCCTTCTTCATAGCCGATCCATTCTCGCCCTATATCTATGATCACACCTTTGGGGATGCAGATGTAGATGAATCCGGGTTTGCCGAGTTTGGTGCAGACAATTAAACGCACATGATTATTCACAGCTGATATTAGGCTCCAGTAAGAACCATACATATTATGATTCTCTGCCTCATTTTCTGTCTTTCATTGCCTTTTTCTTTCATTTTTCCTACTTATCCTCCTCTTCTTTTTTCTCCTATCTCTTTCAGTTGATGGTCGGTTCTTACTATGAAAAGCAACGAGGTTTGGTTTTCCTCATGACAAGGCAAAAAACGAATCACGGTTACACGGAACCAGGGTGGTAAGGTATCGGTAAATATTCATTTATATTGCATCAAGTTGCATTTAAAATTGCGATGACTTTCGCGGGTCTTTGTCTCCGTTGCGATGTTGACGATTTCTGGTTGACCACTAATCATGTAAATTTCAAAAGATTTGCTTATTGCAGAACATTGGTACTTGCGAACGGCAGGACTGGCCTTAATGCCTGTCGGCCCAACCCATACTGATGACGGAAATCATATAGTGGATTAATCACGTCCGGTACCGATTATGTATGCATTTGCTCTCTGAGATTTTATTGGTGAGTTTGGATAAGTTGAGAGCATCCGTTTGTGGATCAATGGTAGCACAACGTCCCGAGACCATGCGAATGTATAATAGACGGATGGGCTCTTGATATTGGAGGTAAAACAACTTTAAGCAGCTCCGCACCGCCCACGAAAAGGAATATTAGGTGTCTCAACCCTTGTTCAACCGGTATTGCATTCTTAGGAATCATCCAAGGGGCGCTGGCCGTTTTCATTTAAAAAGAAAAATTATAGTACCATTTAAGGCGGAACATAAAAGAAGGTGGCGAGGAATACATCACGGAAGCTACGCCGTCCCTCTTGCTTTCCAGCCTCATTGCATGGCGGCGTTCTGAAGATGCTCGGCGTCACTTAGCTCCCATGGAGTGTCCACCTCCAGTTGATTAATCAAGTCGATATGTTGGCGGCTCCGGGGAGTTATCAAATACTGGAACTTGTTCGGATGTGTCAAGATCCCGGGCTGAGGTTCCAGACTGATGCTGACTTCCTGTCCGTCATCACCCACGGCATGTCTAAAATCGAACATGGATAGAGACTGCACAATGTTGATGTACAAGCTCGAATCCGCGAAGAACCGTCCGGGACAGATCCTCCGCCCATAGCCAAATACATCGGATGCGGGGTCGGGTTCGTTTCGTGGAGCCAGAAAGCGTTCAGGTTCAAAGGACTCTGGCTCATGATACACCTGGGGATCATGCAGAAATCCATAGACAGACGGGAGTATGGTTGCCCCTTTAGGGATCCGAAAGCCATTGTAGTCAAAATCGCTGTCGACAACATGCGGAAACCCCAGCGGGGTGATGGGCCACCACCTGGCAGCTTCCTTGATCAAGGCGTTGACGTATGGAAGCTTGTCGCGATCCTCAAATGTCGGCAGTTTACCGAAGCCTACCACTCGATCGATTTCACCTTGAGCTTTTCGCTGCACATCCGGATAGAGAATCATGGCAGCCGTAAATGCGGTGAGTGTTATCACCGTCGTGTCAGACGCGGCGCCATAAAGACTCATAGCGGTCCACATGATTGCATCCTCATCAGCTGAGCCCAGGCTTGGCGAGTCTCCATCGGATGGAGTAAAATAATCTATCAATTTCGAAACGTAGGAGGGTTGATAGTTCTTGGCTGTCATTTGGCGCTGGACAAATCGAAATGGCAGCTCCGCGGCAGTCTCAAGCCTTCTCCTCATTATACGAGCCTTGGTTATGAATTCTGCCCCGGGCATGCCTTTGGGTAAATACTGCAGAAAGGGTAGAATATCAACGAGCCAGGACATTGGTACCGCGGCTTGGGAAAATTCACTCAGCACGCGGTCAGCTAATTCTACCAGATAATCAGGCTTGTGTGGCTCAAGTGTATAACCATATGCCATTTTCAAGATGGTAGCGGCGGCGGATCTGCGTTCGTTAGAGATTCCATTTTTCCAGCGTACTGAAGATCAAGCTCTTACGTTCTGTAGTGGTCCAGCAATTTTTCTGGTGCTTTCAGCGTCCTAATAAGCTGTCGCTTCATTTCCAGTTCCTGAATACCGCGAAATTGGGCAGCTGAAGTTATTGTACCCAGTTCCTGGTGTAGAAGCTTGCGGTAGAACCTGAAAGTTTTGTTGTACCCCTTGCAAAGGATGATGGATTCATAGCCGCACATCTTGTTTGCAAAGATGGAGTCTGGCCGACCCGAGGTCTTGCTAGCTGTTTTGTCCAGTATTTCGTGGGCCATATCTTTGTCGTTCACTATTATGAGCGTCATCCCCATGATGGTCACAGAGCTAATCGGCCCATATTGGTCCTTATGCTTCATCCAGTGTCGGAATTCCGGCATGTCGGCTGGAGGTAGATCCCGGATGTTTCCCACTAGAGGGAGTCCTGGTGGCCCAGGAGGTAGCCTGTAGTGATCGTCTCGATGGAGGAAGATTCGATTGATAGCGTAGACAAGCAACGGTGCAGCAATTGCCCAGAGGGGCCAGAGTGATGATGAAAACATCGTGTTGGCGGCTGATTGCCCAAGACTCTCCTGGTGACTGCTCAATGGTGGTGGGAGGCTACCTACCTTATAAGATGGCCACAAGACAATCACACCCTCAGAGTTCAGCGATGACGCACCAATCGGCTTGGCGACACCTTTGACGAATAACGAGGTAGTGTAAAACTAGCTCGCTTACATCGCTACGCCAATCACTTGAAGCTTCCATGTGACTAAGTGACAATTTAAGGACTTTTGTAGTATGAATACTGGGGAGGGATGCGCGAGGGTTGCCTGTTAGACACATCTCCACCTCAAACGCGAATCATAGTAATCAGATTAATCAGGGACATATCACTGCTTTGGGCGAAGGCCTGCCATGAGGTTGCATCTCAGAACATCGGTGGAACAATCAAGCCAGGCTAGTTACCCACAGGGATATCGCCACCCGCAAAGGCCACCAAAAGTAGGGCAGAAACTGCGACGATGTCAGTGGCAACACCGGGTGGCGCATAAATCCAGGGGTGCACTGCCCTTTTCGTTTGCGTGTCTTCATCTCGCCTGTTGCTGTGTAGTTATTCCTCATTCTGGAAACAGGAGTCCTAAAGCAAGTGCATATGCTTGTAAAAGGAGCATGTATCAGATTTCTGAAACCATGTGTAGACTTTCTTATCTTTGGATTTTTCCCGACTAACATATATCCTTGTTTTATGAAATGCACAAATAAATACCGTGTTGAAAAAAACTGACGTGTGAACGGATATTTGATTTACTTACACCATCCTTGTGCCTAATTTCTTGAGTTCCACACACAAGATAGTCTTCCATTCAGAAATTCGTACAGAAAGATGCAAATGACTTAACTCGTTGCTGCTAGTGTATCTATCATACAGCACCCAACTTAGAAGGGTAAACAAAATCAACGAGGCGTATAAGAAGGAGATGTAGCGTGGTGCAGGAGTTCATGTGATAGGTCCAAGCACTTTCCCCCTTCTTTGACGCATTCAACACAGCTGTTGAACCCACCACTAACACATATCTTGCAGTTGTACCGAGGCTGATCGTTGCTCATTTTCCTAAGACAGATATCGCAATGCGCACCAGATCTAGGTTCGTAGTGAGTGACTTCATCAGTTGTCTCGTGAGGGCTGGTGCCCGCTTCGAGGTTTTGGAAAAGTCTCTGCATGCTGGGCGTCGCCGCGTTGTCGAGCCACCACCTGAGGCTTTTCCCAAGAAGTTCATCGGCGTCCAAGGAGGGCGGCGCGGCATTGAACAGTAATCGAGCGATGCCCTCCTTTCCGAGACGTACTGCCGTGCCGAGAGGAGTCGACCCGTACAAGTCTCGCAAGTGTGGTTGGTTTTCGTCCATCTCGATGAGAAGTTTTACTACATCCTGCCGGCCGTGGGATACCGCAAAAAACAAAAGAGATCTTCCAAATGGGTTAGCTGGCAGGTTATGAACCCCCACGGCGTCCAGAAGTTGGATCAAGATCTGAATGTCCCCAAAACATACTGCTCCATTCAGCGGCATCCATGCACACGAGCTGGGGCTTGCCCTGGATGGAAGAGTTGGGTTAGCTCCTCTATCAAGGAGGAGTCTCACAACCTCATCGTGGCCTCGTCCAGTAGCATTAGTTAACGGAGTGTAACCGAAAGAGTCCCCTGAATTAACTTCGGCCCCTCTTTCCAGCAATATTTCAGCTGCTTCGAGGTGGTCAAAACTAGCAGCAGCATGCAGGGGAGTCCGTCCCGCTGAGTCGGGGAACGACACGTCGGCACCAAGGTCTATTAAGAGCTCGACCATAGACGGCTGCCCCGTGGCCAAAACCAAGGGGGGACCTCTTCTGGGTTGAGCGATATTGGGATCAGCCCCGCATTCAATTAGTGTTTCGACAGCCTCCTCATGATTACACCGTATTGCGTCTGTAAGAGGGGTGGACTGAAGACTGCTGACGGCGCTTGGATCGGCCCAATACTCGAAGAGGACTCGGATGCAGCTGGGAGAGTTGCTTTCTGCAGCGAAATTCATAGGGGTCATTCCATAGGTATTCACATCGCCTGTATCGGCTCCTTTGTCCAGTAGGAGCCGTGCCAACTCAGGTTTGTTCTGTCTGCAGCATATATGCAGCGGCGAATACAGGAGTACTCGATGCTGAATCCTAGGATTAGCCCCCCGATCAAGTAGCAACCGCGCCAGTTCTATGTGTCCCTGCTCCATAGCGATGTGAAGAGCACTGCAGCCAGGGGAAAATAAGTGATCAGCATCGACCCCGGAGTCAAGAAGGAGCTCAATAAGGTAGTTATGGCCATGAACCGCCGCCTGATGAAATAGGCGGACCCGTTCATCTGCCATGCCTTCACCATCTATCCCTTGTTCGAGCATGAGTTTCACCATGTCCAGATGCCCATCGAATGCGGCGAGGATGAGGGGGGAAGCCCCCGCGGTGGTATGAGTTGCCGGGTTGGCACCTTTCTGGAGCAGGTACTCAACCATCATGTGCTGTCTGGCCAAGACCGCCGTACAGAACGGAGTCGTCTGCCTCTCTCCATCAACAGCGTCAAGGTCCGCTCCGTTTGCAAGTAGCAGTTCTGCGATGCCTACATGTCCTCCTACGGCCGCAACGTGTAAAGCCGTGGTGCCATTCGCACGCTCCCCCGCACTAACGCCCATTTCAAGGAGTAATCTGACGGCTTCCAGATTTCCTTGAACGGCGACATGATGGAGAATTATGCTGCCATTTTCGAACGCGGTTGCCTTCCATCCGTGTTCCAGGAGCAGTCTCAGGATCTCAGCCTCGCCGCAACGTATAGCTAGGGCAAGATGCATATGCCTGTATTGCAGTGAAGCTTCTTGGCTGGCCCCTAGCTCAAGAAGAAGGGCAACCATTTCGATGCTTTTCATGCAGATGGCCCTGGCTAGAGCCGTCTGGCCGTCTGAGCTCGCGGGCTGTACAAGGACTGCCCCGGAGCTAACAAGAAGCCTGACAAGTCCGAGGTCCCCCAATCGTACCGCACGATGCAGAATTGTGTCACCACCGGGGTAAATGTGGTGCAGACGCGCGCCAGCTTCACACAGAACGCGCATGGTAGCCGGGCGCCAGGCGAGCGTCGCCGCCTCAATGGCATCGCCCAGCCATGGGTCACGTTGATGGACATTGGCGCCGCGATCGAGAAGCAGCTTGACTATGTCGCTGTGGCCAAGATTTGCTGCCAGGGCAAGAGGCCAGTTGTCGGCTCCTTGCACAACAAAGCCCTCGTCGAGTAAGTGTCGGACCAGCTCGAGGTTGCCGAGGCGGACGGCCCGCGTGAGAGGCGGCTCGCCGCCACCCTGCGGGCCATCTTCCAAGACCTGCTTGATTAACTCTGTCAAATCTGTAGCATCGCTTCTATCGATTGATGGCGGGGTGGAAGCCATGTTGCTCTGCTACTGTGGTTTGCTGCTCTCAATCTGTGCCTGAACTAGGTGCGGGTATGTGGTGTGTATGAAAATGGAGGGATTTTTCTGTCGCCACGGCGCGACCCTTTCATTAGAACGCACATTCAGTTGATATAAGTGCCTAGACGACCAACGAGGCTAATTTTTCAAACTGTTGGTTGTGACTTGTTGGTCGGTTGTTGGTGACCAGGCGAATACGGTGAGTTGAGTTCATGTTGGTTCCAAGTCCCATGCAAAAGGTACCATGAAACAACCAGAATCCCTGCTTCTGACCTTCATCACTCCACCCCCGACCTAAAATTGACAGAACATCCTTGTATCAATCTGGTCATGTGCCAAACAACTCTCTATGGTTGGCCGTCGTATGTATTCATCTGCCTACCCTATACCACTAAGCCTGTCACTATCACCACTCTCACTTGGTTACCGCGACCTGCCATTTTCTGATAGGAACAAATCGAGTATTTCTTTCGTCTAAATGTCGAATGAACAGTCCCGTGATAATATCGACTTCACTGGCTTTTTGGTTCTGGGATATGCGGCTTGGGTAAATCTAACTAGAGGGGGTTTTGCATAACATCCTTTGGGAAATTTCATTGTGTGAACTCGGCCGAGAGACATGAATTAGTCCTGCCACTAAGATTTGTTGTCGTCCACTTATTCTACAGAATCCTGGTACCATTTGGAGGAAAATCTGGTGGAGAATGGTTGAGAAGATTTGCTGGCTGGGTTGTGTTTCATTGCATATACTCATTGCGATTGGGTGATTTCTATCCAAATGCCCTGGCTTCCGGTACGAGGGCCTCAGTCTACTGGGAAGACAACCCTTGTAAATGGTTTGATGGAAGAATTCCAAGCCCTGCGCGGTACCATACCTACCTTAGTCTGATCGTCGAAGTAGCTTCGCAACGGAGGACATCCGGAAATCACTAGATCTGAGCCTAATGCTTTAGCAACAAATACTGGCTGCACAAGGGAAGTAGAACACACTGCGCTGGGCAAAAGTCTCTGGTCTGCGAGTGACAGGTCCGCACTCGACCTGATCGTGTACGCACACACATATGCCGGCACAGACGCAGCCAAGAAGATAACCGAGTCGGGGACATGGCAGGCTATCCGGTAGAGGATGGCGGAGTCATGGTGATTGTGCGAGCCGGTAGTTGAGTGGCTGCAGGATGATGGTGTGCGGGTGTTGCCGAAGGATAATGAAGAGTGGATACAGATTCATTGCAGATTTTGTACCCTGCTGGAAGAGGAAGGGATTAATATACTATGCTGGGTTCTGATATACGGGAGTCTAGCGGAAGAGTAAATTTTGGTGTATCGAGATGGTGCCAGCGACTAAAAGAGGCAGCAATTCAGTCCGAACAGATGAGTGGCTGCATGGAGACAGACGACACAGTTCTACTGGTGATGAGCAAAGAAGACATCTTCTCACGATTGTTCCAATTGATTGAACTCTGGCAATTCGCCACAAAAGCTCCTCAGGACGGACCCAGACAAAGTGGGAATGGCAGGGATGTTTGGTTGCGGTGTACACCCACCCTCCTGCACCCAGAATCGGAGGAGCTCCATGAGGTAAAAGCAGCGGAGGGCACATTACTGATGCTTACCAACCTCAGCAACCGACATGAGAGACTTGGCAGACGGAGGCACAGAGAGCGAAGGATGGATTAAACAAGCTTACCCCCACCTCGGGAGCAGAAATTGACATGCGGGTCGGACTTGGGGCAATGAGGTTAATCCAGACAAAGTTTGCCGAGGGGAAAACGAAAGAAATTATCAATCTAATCTGATGGTGGTGGGACAGTGACACAGCTCCCGGTCTGCACTGTGGGCCTAATGCACCCGCTAGGCTGCGCCACTCATGTACTGTACTCTATCTTGCAGCGGAGGGAGGACTAGGATAGCCCCTCAACCACTGACTCACTGCACTGACACGCTGGATTCTGGCGGCTGCCGTGCTGTGCAGCCACTACAGTGGTCATTATAGGGGACAGCGCAGCAATGTAGCGCTGTTGGTGGAGCCCGACGAAGCCTCCAGTGAATTGATTCCTCTGAACAATCACTCCCCAGAACACCAACTTCATCCGTGAGGTTGCATGCGAAAGACAAAACATGGAACGCGGTGTGGTGCCTTGGCAGCGAATAATCAACCCGGCACAGATTCGCCCTCTTCTTGGCAGCGGACCTCGCCAGAATCTGCTACGTAAAGAAAAAAACAATGACAGCAATGTGCACCCTTAGCGCTCGGCCCTGGCCCTAGCAGATGACGATCATCCTGGTTATCAATCAGCGCACTGTATGCACACGGCCCGTTTCTCTCCCGAACCCACTCTTCCTCTCCTCCTCTCCTCCTCTCTGCATTTCGCTCGCCGGCCACATGCAACCATAATCCTTGGCGTCTCGCACTCTCTCCATCCACAATGCATCCCTCGCTGTCCGTTTGTCCCAACATGGGCGAATGTAGCGGCCTGATCGTCGGGCGGGTCTCGGTCCTATGGGGAGCCATTTCCTCGTTGAAAAGATCACGTCTGTCGCCTCGCATTTGACGTGTTTTCTCCTTCTCTTCTCCTCCCTGCCATTCCCCCAGACGCCCATTGTCGCAGTTGGTCGCATCCGACGCAGAACGAGATGGCCGCAGAGGACAAGACGGCCTCGAAAGAGGCAACCTCCACTCCGGTCGCAGTCCAAGAGAAGAAAGACGAGTCGCAGTCATCGTCGTTCGTGAGTCGGACCCTGTTCCGAGCTGTCGGCATTCGGTATTCAGCGCCTTCGTCTAGACTAACAATTGATTCTCCATCTCTAGAAGCTCACCGACTTCAAGCAATTCTTCATCTTCTTCCGCGTCCTGTTCGCCGCAGACCCAACATGGCTCGATTACTGCCTCATCGTCTTCGCCACCATCACGGCTGCGGCCGCTGGTGTGCCCTTCCCCCTCATGGGCATCGTCTTCGGCCAGCTTGTTGATGACATGAACGGTGCTACGTGCGCGGCCGAGGGCGAGTCCAACGCCGATCCCTTCTCGTACGAATCGTCCATCAATCAAAAGGTCCTCCTCAATGTCTACATTGGCATTGCGGCTCTGGTCCTGATCTACAGCTACATTGTCGCCTGGAGTGTCATCAGCCAGCGCCTGGCCCACCGTCTTCGCAGTCGCTACGTCGCTGCTCTCCTCCGGCAGCCTCCCTCCTTCTTCGACGTGCGGGCTGCTGCTGGCGAGGTGTCCAGCCGACTCCATGGTGACATTACTGCGGTGCAGGCGGGAACCTCCGAGAAGGTCGGTGTCTTCATCGTCTGCTGGAGTTTCTTCATCACCGTCTTCGTCATCGCCTTCCTCAAGCAGCCTCGGCTCGCTGGAATGCTCGTCTCCATGCTCCCCGTCTACCTGCTGTCGGTCGGGGTGGGCAGTGTCTTCATCCAGAAATTCGCCAAGCAGACTGAGACGGTCGCAGCCGCCTCCTCCATTGCCTCGGAGTCGCTCACCCACATTTCCGTGGTCCAGGCCTTTGGTGCTGCCGATCGACTCGAATCCAAGTTTGCAGCCTACATGCGCGACGCCCGAAACGCAGGGATGAAGCGATCCGCCGTCGTGGCGATCCAGTCTGGCATGCTGTACTTTGTGTCGTACGCTGGAATTGCTCTGGCTTTCTGGCAGGGTAGCAAGATGATTGCTGAATCAGTGAGCAACGCTGGGCAAAATGCGACAATTGGCGAGATCTACATGGTAGTATATCTATTGATTGACGGTAGGTCATTGACGAGAGCCAATTGTTTAGATGGCCCCAGAAGCTAACTATTAATTCCCATCTAGCTTGCGTGATGTTGGGCTCTCTTGCCCCCATCTTGCCCGTTCTTGGCGGCGCCACCGCGGCCTACAAACGTCTCATGGAAGATATTGAAGCACCTTCACCCATGGACGGAACCTCAGAGGAGGGCGACAAGCTGACTGTTGGGTCGGCTAAATCAATTCGCCTCCACGACGTCACCTTTGAATATCCAGCCAGACCGGGTCAACAGGTGCTGCGCAGCGTGAGCATGGAGTTCCCTGCTGGTAGCTACACTGCCATCGTCGGTCTTTCTGGTAGCGGCAAGTCTACCATCGCGGCTCTCCTTGACCGTCTGTATGATCCTGTCGAAGGAAAAGTTGAGATCGACGGACATGATCTACGAGACCTCAATGTTAAGAATCTGCGTAGCTTCATCAGTTTCGTTCAGCAGGAGCCATCGCTGCTTGACCGTTCCTTGTTGGAAAATATTGCTCTTGGCCTCGTCAACTCTCCCAACCCGGCCCACCAACACCTGAAGCCTCTCCTCTATGGCCCCGAACTATCCAAGTTGGCTGTCAAAGGAAGAGAAATCTCATCCTCGGCCGACAACGTCACATCCGACCCTAGCCTGAAAGAGCTTGTTGACCTTGTCATCAAGGCTGCCGAGCAGGCTGATGCAATGAGCTTCATTGAACGCCTTGAAGATGGTTTCGGAACAGTCGTTGGCCCTAGAGGCTCTCTATTGAGTGGAGGGCAGAGGCAGCGTATCGCGCTTGCCCGTGCTCTTATTCGTGATCCTGAAATTCTTGTCCTCGATGAGGCAACTTCCGCTCTTGATTCTGCAACTGAGAAGCGTATTCAGTTGGCTGTTGAGCGTGCAGCTACTGAGAACAGAACCATTGTCTCCATTGCTCATCGACTGTCAACTATCCGTAACGCCCACAACATCATTGTGATGGAAGCTGGAAAGGTAATTGAGCAGGGTACGTATGTGGACCTGATGGCCAAGGAGGATGGCGCATTCGCCGGCATGGCCAGACTTCAGTCTGTTGGAACCTTGGACAAAGACGCCACCTCGATCTCTGGGGATTCCATTGATGCATCCACTTTGAAGAGTGACAACCCAGGCCCTGAAAGACTTCTCTCGATGGACAAAGAAACCGAAGCGGACGAACCTGAAGTGGAGGAAGAAAAGGAGAAGAAGAAATCCAACAAGAAAAAGGAAGAACCTACTTCTAAGGACGGTGAGCTGGATGCCCCACAGCCTCTGGGACGGACTATGAGTAGAGTCTGGAAGATCATTCGCTCCTCTACTGGATGGATTGCTCTCGCTATCATCTCTGCCATCATTGTTGGTTGCACATTCTCTGGATCTGGTGTCATTTTCGGTTTCACTATCGGTGCTCTCAACCCTTGTGCCAATACTGCTGAGCGAATCCTTTCTCTTGGCCGCCTCTACTCCGGACTGATGTTCATGTTGGCTTGTGTGGAAGGCTTCGCCAACTTCTTTGCCTGGTCTGGATTTGGCGTTATCTCGGAGAAGCTCCTATACTCAGTTCGAGTACTTTCTTTCCGATCACTATTACGACAAGATGTCCAGTGGCACCAGTCGGAGAACCGAAGCCCGTCTGGCCTCCTTGCAATCATTACTAGAGATTGTACCGCTATTGGTGGTTTCAGCGGCTCTACAATTGGTACCCTCTTTGCTGTATGCGTCAACGTTCTGGTTGCCATTATCCTGTCCCACATCATTGCCTGGAAGATTGCTCTGGTGTGCTTGGTGGTCATTCCTATCATCCTTGGTGCCGGCTTCATGCAGCTGCACCAGCTTGCCCGATACCAGGAGCGTCACACTGAGGCGTTCTCCACCGCTACGTCAGTCGCTACAGAGGCTGTTCAATCGATCCGTACTGTGGCAGCCCTTTCTCTTGAAAACCAGTTCATGGATTCCTACAATCACCTCCTGTCGCAGCCAAGGAAGGAAATGGTGCGCGCTTCCGCTTCCGCCAATATTTGGCTCGCCATCAACCACACCACCAGCACCTTCTTGAACGCTCTCGCATACTGGTGGGGAACCCAGTTGATGATGAAGGGAGAATACACCCAGACCCAGTTCTTGATCATTTTTATTGCAATGTTAACTGCATCCAAGATCTGGGGCTCCATGTTCACGCTCGCTCCTGAGTTCTCCCGCGCCCAAATTGCCCTTACTCGCCTGATGACCGTCATCAGCATCGGTCCAGACCAAACCCTCAAGTCCACTGGCAAGGGACCCCAGAGTGACGTGGAGGCTACTGGAGAGGCCAAACCCCATACTGAGAAATCAGGACAACGTGGAGGAGCTAAAATTACTTTCAACAGTGTCTCCTTTTCCTACCCAAGTCGCCCTGATGTTCCGGTTCTTGACAATGTGTCATTCACCCTCCAGCCTAACCAGTTCTGCGGTCTGGTAGGTCCTTCAGGAGCTGGAAAGTCCACCATCATGAACCTCATCCAGCAGCTGTACACACCTACAAACGGTGTCATCTCGATGGATGATGCCGACATCGCCAAGGGCCCAGCCTCGTTCAGGGACAGCATTGCTTTGGTCCCTCAAGACCCATCGCTCTTCCAAGGTAGCATCCGCTTCAACGTTGGGTTGGGTGCTCCCCCCGGAACTGAAGCAACAGATGAAGAGATCGAAGAGGCGTGCCGTCTCGCCAATATCCACGACGTCATCATGGCCCTTCCTGACAAGTACGATTCCGACTGTGGGCCTTCCGCTTCACACCTCTCTGGTGGCCAGAGGCAGAGACTGGCAATCGCGCGTGCCCTGGTACGCCGACCACGTCTCCTGCTCCTGGACGAGAGTACCAGCGCCCTGGATGCCGCAAGCGAGGCAGCGTTGCAGGAAGGTCTGGAAAAGGCCGCCAGAGGCACAACTGTTCTTGCCATTACCCACCGTCTTCACACAGTACGCAAGGCGGATGTCATCTTCGTGGTTGAGGGTGGACAGATTGTAGACAAAGGACGTCACGGCGAGTTGATGGAGAGGAGGGAGAGTTACAGAATCAACGCGATGCAGCAGATGCTGCAATGAGATGATCGAAATGTGTGTAAAGTGTTAGTGTGCATATAGTTAATAGTGAAAAGTTATGATTAGATCGAAATAGAGTACCCGGCTTCCGGATTTATATATACATGTATGCAGTTAGACACCCAAATTGACAGGTAAAATGCACCTCACCGTCCTTAACCGCATGACCTCCAAAGTTAGGCGAGCAGGAGGCTATCGAGACTAGATCATCAACATGATCCTTACCAACACCAGGAACGATAGCGGAGCATCACCCAGGACGTCCGTCAAGGGAGCGAACCCTCATTCTCCGTCATCATCGGCCGTACAGACCGGTTGCCTCTTCGCATTCCATATTCGCAAAGCATTCAGGAGAAACGCCACAGCTCCACTAGTAAGAGCAGCCGCCTGGTCTAATTCAGCGATGGAAAACCCCGTCTCGGGCAGGTAGAATTGATAAGGGAAGATCGTGTAGAAATATGTGCCGCGATAGCATATTGGACCGATGATGACTACCACCGAACAAGCTACAATCGTGAGCAGGCCGAGGATTGAAAAATTCCCTCGATGTCTTGAAGCCTTGTTTTCGTTGACTGAAAGTCCAAGATATGAAGTAAGACTCCTGTACCATCGCCAGAGCATGTAATACCAGACTGGAAGACCAATTGCCCACATCATGAGACGCGACCACCGAGGTCCCATAGACCATGTGATCCGACTTACCTCCCTCTCGTGCCATATTAGGGACGCTAAGAGAATCTTGGAAACCCAAGACCAGAGGAGGCCGGCAATAGAGGAGTAAAGCACCAACCAGGGGGTTCGTCTCGGGTTGCGTGATTGCAGATGACGAACGAGAGCCCCGAGCGAGATCCTCAGGATGAAGAGCAAGCAGAGATCGCTGAAGATGTCGGCCACTCGCAAAGCCAGATTCATTGCAACAATGCGAGGATATAGCTGCTTGCGGAGCTCACTTGACGCGTCGATTTGGTACCAGGATTTCCTCCCTGGGGCGAGCGGCAAAACAGCCCCATCAAGTCCGCCCCAACGCTTGATCGCATTGGCGAGATTTGCAGCGAGGTAGTCAGAGTGTTCCGGGGGGAAGTGACGAATCTGGATGACGAGATGTCCAATGGCGACGACGGGGTAGAGCATCATCGCTGCGAAATCGGGAGTCGGGCAGCGCATACGCCGGGTTTCCTCGGGATTGAAGGCCCAGCTCACGGCAAATAAGGTGATGAGGTAGTACCAGCATCCTATTGCACCGGGGCCGTAGAATCCTGACACGAGTGCGAAGTCGTTAGAGTCGTTTCCGTTCTCAGTTCCTGTCGAGTCCATCTTGAGTTACGGAAGATCATACTGGAATGAGAGGTAGTCGGGAACTAAACTTATTTCTAATCTAGGGACAAATCAAGCGCCCCAAGTAACGTCTTTTATATGGCGGAGGCTCATGGTCAGCTCCGAACGGCTCAGCCACGACGCTATTGTACTCAGCCTCCGCCACCAACTTCTTCGTCGCCAACCACGTCACAAAGAGGCACCAGGCAGATTCAATCCTGCCCAAAAATGAATGTGCATTGGATAACGTACTGGGTGGAGTTGCTGATGGCAATCGGACTGTGGACGATTCCGACTAGAAGTGGATGACTTTAATCCATCGCCAAAACCCGACAAAGAGAAAAAGAAAAAGAAAAAAAGGACTGTTTTTCATTCAATGCTATCTTATCTCACTGATTATTGCGCCTCTTTGCATCTAAAACTACCTCAAGAACTTGAACTGAGCGAGCCCAGGATGGGGTTGTTCCAAAACTCGATTACGTCCATTTCGTTGGGAAGCTCCTGAGGCCAAACAACACCGTAAAGCAAGGCTTTTACCTCGGGCCAGTGTTCAGAGCCCTGCCTGATGACACCACGGCAATGTTCAGCGAGAGATAGGAATTCGGCACTCAACTCCCGGAACCGCTTGTCACAAGCATTTGGCTGGACGTGGGCTATGGTGAGCGCCCCAGCAAACCACTTCCAAATCCATAAGGCCTGCGACTCTTTGCTCCGGGCCTTGAAGTTAAGCCAGCTCGTTTGCAAATCCTGCTTTAGGATCAGGAGTACATGATGCAGAAGTGAGCTCTCCGCTGGGGATCCTTGATTCCAGATGCCGAGCACCGATGTGAGATACATGCCAATGGCGACACAGAAACCGGACCATGAAGAGACAAACCCCGGCTTCGCTTGAGAGGAGAGGGGTGGCTCATTTGAAATAGAGTCCATGTGAGCGCTTACCACGGCAGATAGCAGCCTCGAGGGGCCACCGCTGTCCCAGAGCTCATAGCGGGAATGAGCATCATATGTCGCCTCAGATCCCGCAAACCTTGCATCATGTTGTTTTGTTATCTGCGTAAGACAGGAGATAATGTCACTGACATCGATGTGGCGAGGGTATTTGGTCACAATTGCCGAGCTAAAGAAGTACGGGAACATTTTGATCGTCTTTAGTCTGAAGGCGAGACCGGTAGCTTCCTGTATATGCCAGCGATGTAAGACTCTTGCGAGACCTTTTGGGTCCGAGTCACGAGAAATGTTTTCCACTATAGCGTTGCTGGCTAGGAAATCGTCCAGGCGACTTTTCAGACTGTGAACAAAGTTGTAGGCCCTGTATAAGAAGCAATGGGCCTCATTAGATTAGGCACTGGTGCTTCCTGAAACGAGACTCAAGCTCCATCTGCATTCAACTTACAAAATAAGGTACCGGTCGGTAAGCTCTCTTTTAATAGTGTCCTCGGGGCTTGGGCTCTGTTCATTAGCTCTGTGGGCATCGATGAACCTCATGAGGCCGCTGAGGTGCGCTTCTGCAACTCGGAAGTTCCCAAGACAGCACTATCGGAAACACATTGTTAGCTCATAACACCGGACTGCAGATGGAATGACTCACCTCCGTGAAGCTCAACGTGATGATGTAATTAGCACAGGTCATATAATCCTTCCCGTTAGAGGGGCAGCTTAACCCTTCGTTGACCAGTCGGATAGCTTGGATCTTGTGTGATAGAAAAGTGGGTTCAAAAGTCTGGAGATCTCCGAGATTCCATGCATAATGTATGCCGGCAATTAGAAGCATATTACGGAGGGCGAATGGGTCTTGAACAGCCGAGCTCATACTAGCAAGGAGGGGTGAGCTCATTATCCATGGGCAAGGGCGTGTGGGGACTAACCAATCATGTAGTTGCTGTTCGGGTTGCTGTTCAGAGGGCACGCCGATTGCTTCACCTACTTGTCTAACTATCATGTTCTATCAGTCCATGTTGGCCTGAGATGAAGAAAGGCGCCATTCTCACAGTAGTGAAGAAGCTCCTTTGATCTAAGAGGCATCATGATGGGGAAGGAATCCAAAGTCTTCATCCTTTCCAACTCAGTCCATTGCCAAGTAGCTGGATTCCGTGTTTCTCCCGTTTTTGATACCTGTGTCGCTGCATTTGACCAATTTTGAGGACTCGAGTTCTGGACGATCCACGGGGCTTGATCTGTGGATCGTAGTTGTGCCCTGCGATCGCGGAGCGGAAGCTTGGCTGGGCCATAGGAGCAGGCCTTTGCCATGTTCGCGCAATTAGAGCTATCACGGCCCCAGGGTCAGTCATTAACTTGTATGGTCCGGGTTCCTCCGGCTTTTCACAAGCCTGGCGAAGATATAACCCCTCCCGATGAGGAGTGCGCGGAAATCAGGGGGGGGTGCCTTACCATCTTGGTCGCTTCTCATCGCATCGGATACGACGGTCTTTGCAGTTTGAACACCCCAACCTACTCCGCGTGACAAATTGCCTCCTGGTTGGCTCTACCTGGCGCTCTTCTCCACTCATGATGGTGATCAGGCTGTCGTTGTGAGATGGGGCTCGGCGAGCGTAAGCAGGAGAAGTTGTCAAGCTTCAGGATTTGACGCGACACACGGCGATATACCAAGCTCCACCCACCAGTCCCAGGTTAAACCCCTGTTATAGCCACCCTTGCAAAGGCGGTGAGAATTCTCAGCATATGCAGAGTGTAATCGGAGTACTTTATCTGACGCCGCAAATACTTGATATTTGATACCTAAAATGATGTTGTTTTCTGCCCCGAAGATTCCCCGCGCGGCTTCAAATCGCGTTCCTAGTTAGTAGGGGTGAGATTTGCCACAAGAGGTTTGGTTTGAGCTAACTTGCCTACTCGCTAAACTATCTTGGGACGAATAAGCGCTTTGGATCTTCATATGAATGTCAAGGATGTAGTATAGAACATTTACTCGAAACTCTTTAGTAGCTAAACTGACTTGAGACGAATAAGCGCTTTAGATCTTCAAAAAATAATAATAAACAGTTTTCACTAGGACATATACTCAACTAAGGGAAGAGAATATTACAACTTTTATAACTAGCTGGGTAGCCTTGAAAGGTATGCCTCCCGTCTCTTTTTCATCCGTTCTCTACTTCATTATTACAAGTTGCAACAGCTTCCAGCATCTGAATCAAAAAAAAAACCAAATTCCCTTACTAAGTAGTGATCTATAATGATTCCTGGGTCCAGACTCGACGGTATCGCCCTTGTTGTTGGGGTATGTATTTGTCTGATCCCAATTCATTGTAGCTATCTTTGACTAGAATACACAGTCAGGGCGTGGCATTGGACAGCAGGCTGCGTTCTCTTTAGCCCAGGCCGGGGCAGAAGTTATCGTGTTCGCGGATCTCGACGAGGAGAGCGCATCCCTGTCTGCGGAGGAGAGCAAAGGCTTCGCAACAAATTCAAAGTACAGAACTGCCACGGTCAAAGTTGATGTGCGGGAGCCTGCCGAGGTGCAACACATGGTTGACTTTGTTATCCGCGAATTTGGACGCCTTGACTATGCCGTCAACTCTGCGGGAGTGAGTCCGGATCACAAATTGCCATGTCACTGCGGAACCTCGCCAGCTGATCCATCGTTTTGCGTAGGTTGATAATGGAGTTCATGTGCCTGTTGCCGATACCGACATTGACAATTTCGACCGGGTGATGAACATCAACGCAAAAGGCATGATGCTTTGTCTTCGCGCAGAAACTGCTGCTATGAGGAAGCAAGAGTCGAGAAAATACACTGGGCGCACAGGAAACCGTGACATTGGTCGAGGAGTCATCGTGAACTGTGCCTCTGCGAATTCCTTCGCCGGACTCCCCGGGAAAATGTCATACACAGTTTCCAAGCATGCCGTCATGGCGTTGACAAAAATGACTGGTAAGTCCATCAAGTATCTTTCGTTTGCGGCACCTGAAATAGTGACCTCATGTCATATCTAACAATGGTTGATTGTCTACCTCAGGACTTGATCACGCGAGTGAAGGGATACGCTGCAATGCAGTTTGTCCGACTTGGGTTCGCACTCCCCTTCTCGACATTGAGCTGGAGAAAAATCCAGACGTCCGAAATGCAATTTCTGCCATTGTGCCTATCAAACGTGCCGCGGAATGTGAGGAGGTTTCTGATGCTATTGCTTTCCTTTGCAGCCCTGCAGCTAGCTATATCAACGGCACGAGCGTGGTGATTGATGCCGCTGTGACAACAACTGTCCGTCTGCACTAAGTTTATTCTCCATGGGGTTTCTATATTGCCAGGCGCTTATAGAATATAGCCGCATGGATATAAGGCGAGGAACGTGAGTTGAGGCTTTGCAGACAAGATCTCTTCATGTACCCTGGTAGAGCATGGCTAAAATAGAAAGAAGACAACGTCGACCAGAAATAGTGGAATAGTGCAAAAGTCTACCTAAAACCGGCCATTCTAGTTTGCAAAATTATTGTACTGCTCTGTTGCAAACCCCGGAAATTGCGTGTGCCTCCACCCCCTGCCTCAAGACGGCCTGGAGCAACCTCCTAGGAAATCGAGCTAAATGCCAGGTAGCCGATCCTGACAGTCCCGTTTAATATCTCGGTAGGGCTTCCCAAGGCCCGAATGCCGGTTTCAGGCTGGCCCTCGCTAAGATGGGGTTGGATTGGAAGAAGCTGTAATTTTGGGAACCTCGACCATAGCGATCACCAACGGGGATTTAGGGTTGACCGATGAGGCGGCCTCGTCTGAGAACGACGGCGAAAGATCAATCAGTTCAATACAATCAAATAGATTTGCCATCAGTATGAACTAGTATAGTAAATCGCTCAATAGCAATATGTACAACCACTGACTTTACCTCGCAAGGCGATGGCCAATAGGTTTTTCAGCCTCTATCTACATACTAGAGCCCTGTTCTTGAATATGCTTTTATCCGGCAAGAACAGGGGTTCTAGAATCTGGTGATCAAGTTTTGGACCCAGCTCTTGGAATGAACGCGGCTCCCCTGGGTCCCTTGATCAAGCTCTACTCGTATGCCAATCTTCGCCTTCCAAGTCCATCAGCCGACCTTCGCGCCATTCTTGCCGCCCTGCGTTCGTTGGTCGGATACCCTCCCCGTTCCCGTCTGTTCCTCGGACTTCTTGGAAGGACGGGCCCCTTCTTCTTCCGGGCAACCATCTTGCACACACCACTGGAGCATTCTGCAACGAAATTTCCGACCTTCGAAGCTCCGTCTTTGGTCACCTGCGCCGCGGCGCCGAGTTTCTCAGCCGATTTCTTCCAGGCTGCCTGGAACCCCTTGGATTCAGAAGCAGTGACACTCGCCGAGGCAGTGCTGCAGCAGAATCCAGCAGTACCGAGGGCATAGGCTCCAACCTTTATACCCTGGGAGTTGCAAATAAGGGCTCCGGCTGCACAGACGATTGCGCCATATTGATATCTGGGGAGTTTTAGCGTGAGTAGATATGAACGTGACTTAAGATTCTCACCCTGCGGAAGCGGCCTTGCTGTTCCATTTGGCTGCGGTTGCGAGTGGGGAGGCCGCGAGGGCGTAGAGCACAGCAATGTCGAGACGCATGATGATAGGTGGGAAAGAAGTCCGCGTTGACGAATAGTAATGAAGTCGATTTGGTAAAGAGATGAGTGGAATGTATTGTATGGTTCTGTTGTGGTTGTTGTTAGTGATATTGCTCGTACTTATATGTATTCCTGATCCCTTGATGTTCATCAACGTTGGTTTCACTTTTCGGTTGCGGTTCATACATAGCCATCAAGGTGGGAGCAAGGGTGTCCGTCGCCAAACCTATCCATGTTGCCGCCAATCATCCATTTTAGGGAGGTATCTCAGAACTATTGCCGTTTTGGTGAGAGAATCGTGTTGGTTTTGCCCGGCTGTGGTGCTATTCACTCAGACTACCGCCTTATCTCGGAATACTGGCAATCTTAGCATCCTAGTTTTGCTGCTGCCTGTTCAGTGGGTTATGTAACTACGAATAGATTTCGAGTATAGCTTGACTACTAGGCATCTATCTAGCGTTATAGAGCAAGGGAGGAAAACCATGCCGCCGCCGCCAAGGTCACACGTTTTTGAGATAGCGCGGTACTCAAATGCCGAGACGAACGTCCCACTGCGATCCTTCGGGTCTTGACATGGGATTTGGGGAAACTCCATGGTGACTACCGCTAGGCGGTGATTGGCCAAAAAGAGGGCTATTCCGACAAACGAAGTAACTCGTTTGCTGGCTATTTTGAGCGCTGGTTTTGACCAATGAGACGGGCCAGTAACCCGCAGTGATTTCCTCGTAGGATTGCTTCATGATAACATGGGTCAGGGTTCAAAAACACCTCATACAAACCAGAGCACGCGACGTTTTTCCCTACTTGGAAGTATTCCTTGATGCTGCCCTAAGCTCTAGTACTTGGCCAGCTTCTATTATTCCCACAATTCGGATAGCATTGAAGCTGTCACATTTTGACATACCTTCTCATTAACACGTCCCCGGCTCCCCTCGCTGCCTCTACGAGCTGTTCCTTCTTCTCCTTAGTATCCATCCGATGCAAACCATTGCTATGCTCGATGATACGGCTTGCGAGGTTTGCTTGGCCCGCGAGCGGCTTTGATTATCATCACGAAGATGCTCGCGATGAAACGAGGTCTTCATCCAGCTTAGATGGGTCTCCGGAAAGGCCTTCTGCATCTGAGATAGCTTCCATCCGTGCCTTCAAAGCTCGCAAATAGCATATTGTAATGGAGGTGTGGGCTGTTCTATTGCAGACGATGATCATGATGGAGTAATAACGGGTCATGGGGGCTAAAGGCGGCATCACAACAATAATTAGAACAGGATAGGGTCGGCTCCGCTTGAAATAAATTACACCCCACCGTACTCGGTATTTAGAGCCTGCTAACCGGAGGTACAACTCTCTCCATCAATTTCCACCACCTGCGTATACTCTCCCTGACAAGCTCTACTCTCTGAAAGCCATTATCTTTATCTTCTCGCCACCCAAGATGTCGTCTAATACCGATAACTTGCCTCCCTACCAGGAGAAACAGCCTTTCAACGAGGTCACGGCGCCTGTTGCCTCCCCACCTGCTGGGCGTATTGCTGGTTCGGTACAAACATGCTCGATCAGGGACAACCAAGTCGATTACCTTAAAATTACTCGTAATTCTGCAACCAGCTATGATATCTGTCTTACAATCGACCCTACACCGCTATATCGCATTCAGCTCGTCTCCTCATTTAACAAAATCGGCAACATCCAGATCTTCTCTTCATCCGATAGTACAGTTCCTATTGCTGCTGCACGCTTATCAGCCAATCCTAAGAGCAAAAGCGAGCCCATAGCGACAATATGTACTTCGTCTCCCGCAGTGCCGGATGCGCTCTGGCGTCCCATGGCTCGGAAAACAGGCACGTTTTCCATCCATGAATACCAGAGCGACATACCGATCGTCACTGTGCCCGGTCTAGCCGCAAAACCCCACCGGTTCTTGTGGATGTCGCGGCACCTCTCAGAGCCATTTTACAGACTGGAGTGGGATGGCCCACTTCCAATGACGCCAGCTTCACTGTCTGGGGATAGTAAGAGGGGAGATGAGTATGTGTTTGCCACGGTGGCAAGGAAGTCTGCTGAGGGAGAGGCCAATCTGGTGGAAATTAGGAGGGGAGGGGGCCTCGAGTTCGAGCTCACAGTGATTCTACAGTTGTTTGTAATTCTGCACTTTAGCCAGGTAGAGTTAATTTGAGGGTGTAGCTACTAGTTAGCTGGGATGTTACCACTAGCTAGCCTTGGCAAAGAAAGAATATGGTTGCCTATTGCCCCCTTGGAAAGGCCAGGATAATGAAAGGCTAGTACACCGTACAAACAAGTGCTATCCCATGTAGAAGGCCCTGACTACATGTAACACAAGACCAGCCCCTTATGGGTCCACCACTGCCTCTCGGAACGAGAAGCGGGCTTCCAGAATAATCCAGAATATAGAAAGAAAGGCTGGAAGGTGATGCTGTGGATACTACCCCCCTGCCTGTTTGCTTTATAGACGATCGTGATACTTTTGGCAGGTGGCCGTGCTGGTCCCCCTGTAATTGACAGCTTCGAGAAGGGAAGTAAGGAGAAGGGGGAGACTGAATACGGCCGCTAGAGCGCATTGGAGAAATAAATACCTGTCGTTCACATCTTTGCTTTAGCGAAGGAAAAAAGCAAGAAAGAAAAATATTTCTCATAGGTTTGCCTTTGAAGGTAACGCAGAAACCTTCTCAGCGGTGACTGGCAAATCGTGCAACATGGATGAGCTCGTGCCTGCTGGCATTTGCCCCTCATCCACTACCTACCCTACACCTGAACCACATCACCAGTTGAGATGTCGAACATAACCTGAGTAGTAGGTCTGTTTATTCCATTAAAAAGGCTCGGGACTATATGGCCGAAAGTAATTAATGAATCTTCCATGTGTTCCTCACACTTTTGTTTTGCACTTGATAGTCTCATGCTCCAAAACACAATCATAGGTAGCTAAGCGTTCCTGAGAACATACTGCATCTAGAAATAATAAGTTGTATTAAAGCTTAAGCTGATACGTCTAGCTGCTGCTAATAAGATCCAATTGGGTCTGGTAATCATTTAACCACCCAGAATAGTCAGCAGCCACTACCTGACTTGTTTCGCTAGTTTCTGAATCCATGTCTGGATCACGATCTGAACGGCTCGTTGGCTGAAGTAGATGAGCAACCTCTAGTGTGGATGAACTCGTAGCTTGCTCCAATACACTTTGTCCAAGCTCTAAAGGGCAGAATGGTGATTCGATAATCCCGTCAAAGCGACTAAAGAAGTGCGAGAAGGCCTTCTTGTTTAAGATAACACTTATCTCTGATGGCTGGGCGAGCGAATGAACCTGGTACAGTGACTCCACCCAGACATGAGCTGGGGCGTAGAACTCTCGCATTGCGCTCGGGATCATGAAAACAATCTTCAGGTTCTCAACGTGTTCGTCAAGAGCTTCTGGGATGGTCTTAGCATATAGTTGGCTTAGAAAGATTAGACTAGCTAGATAAAGGGTGTAGCCGAGAAATGGGGGCCACAATGGTGTCAGTCATCTGAAAGTTGCGAGTCGTCCTAGTAAGACAAGACTATTGAAGTAAGACGGGGAGAAGTGTACTTACGACCAGCATATCCTTGCTTATTATAGTCTCACAAATGTTGGTTATGCTTGTCGCACTTCGGACACATGCTTCGACTCGCTCTTCTAGAAAAAGACGTGGCACCTCTTGCCACGGTTCTGCGGTTGAGTTTGCTTCTCGAATCATGTTGCTGGATATCAGCCTCATCTGGCTCATGTTGGCGAGGCTTTTGGATACTGGAATCTGCCGCCTTTGTAGCAACACTAATTGGTAGAAAGACGCGGTGAAGTAGCATTTGTAGCGTATGCAACATGCCGATGTAGGAAAGATACTCACCAAGATCGCTACCCTCACTAGGAGGGCACTGTACCTTCTCGTGGTCAAAACAGAAATGTGTATAGTAAGCCACCGTATTCATTGTGTTGAGTTGTCGGGCTCTGGCAGCTTCCATTGCTGTTAACCTTTATTCTCTTTCTCTCAGGTATAGTAGGCCACAGGCAAGCCATCGAGGACTTGTTTTAGCGACCAAAATTCTGATGCTTTCCTTTCTTGGCAATATCCACATCGCTGTTGGCTGTTTTATGGATGAGATATTTGACGGGCTGATATACACCAACGGAGTTGTTGTTCACGATGTAGAAAATGATGCGTCGGGTGATAGCAAAGTGAATAGGGAAGAAAAGGAGGCCAAGATCACAAGCCGGACATGATTGTATGACAAGGTGAAGGCCATCAATCAGACTGTGACTTGAAAGATGTAGCTTTTATAGGGAAATGAGCTTTCAACGCGCAGATGGTTACACACACAGTCCTTTTTAACAAACGGAATTTGACACGTGTAATGCTTGCATGAACCGCTTTCTTGCTAATCCACACACACAGCCTTGGGATAATGTGGCTCTTGGCTCACTCACCATTTTGTGTGAGGTAACGAATGTGACAAACTTTCCATCTCTTCCGCACTGAACATAAAATAAGACGCAAAATGGTTAGAATTTTAGTGTTGCTTCGAAAGTGCCACTATTTCATCCAGCTCCTTCAAGTACAGGTCTAAAACTATCAGCACGTCTCTCACTCCTAGAATAAATCTAATGTGAAAACTTACCTCCAAGGCTCCAATGCTCTCGAAGCGCTAGCAGGCATGATTTGATCCTCCTCAAGTCGGTTTCTAGCGACTCGTGGTAGAAATATCGAATTAGATGCAGCACGCTTCGAAACATGGAACAAAGTACTAGGAGAGATATCCTGTTTATACCAGGACCCGTGACATAGTCAGGACCCATCCGGATCTCATCTAACTTCATCTTGAAAGTCGACCGTAGTTCTTCGGTGGCTCTACTGCTGATGAACCGCTCATCACCACTCATAGCACATCTGAGGCGTACAGCAGCAACGGCACTAGAAGCATGTTAGTATCTCCAAATAGATAAGCATAGCTGAGCCAGAAGTGGTCGTGGAGTACCTGATAGACAACGGAGCAACCTCACAAGTTAAAAGAGGAGCGATCTGGCTAATCTCAAGCAGCGCTGCGACGAGTGTGTCTGTTCTTGATTTGACCAAGTCCAGTCGGTGAGTCGGCACCCTCGAGCAATTCGGCGCAAAGGTGAGCGCCTCACCAATCATTTCCGCGGCTGCAGCTGTCGATTCAAAAGACCAGTGATTCTTTTCGTATTTCTTAGCCGCCGCTAGTCTGGTTTGCAAGCACTCCAGTGACGCTTCGAAGGAACTGTCTGGAGGTGGTGGGACTAGCAAGGGGAAAATGTCGTCAACACTGGCCAGAGCGATTAAACTAATTCCAGAGAGCGAGAGTCAGATAGAAAGCAAATCAAAGAGGCTCAGAAAAATCTCACCGGTCTATAATAACTATAGCACTCCAACACAGCAGTTTAGGATCAGGGGCATCCTCCGGGCCGACATTTAATTGAGAGGCAAGATCTTGGTCAATCCTCATCAGCCTGGCCATGGCTACGCACGAAGACAGAGTGAGATATGACTGTCTTGCTAGGCCATGGCCACATTCATATGTCGCGATTAAAATCCCGGCTTGCAGCAAACTAAGTGGCCATTGCTTCTCATCTTGGAAGCGTACAAACAGGCTTCTTGCTGTGAGGTAGAGGCTGCTTTGTCCGGCATCATGAAGGAAGGAGGGACAACGACCCTGGGAAACTAAACGCATGCTGAGAAAGAGCAGACAGGCATGGGCGTCAAGGTATGACACGTATTGGTCCTGAGGTTTCTTGACGGCATGCTCCAGTGCTTCCCTGCTGAGAATGGGAAGCCATCTTTGAATGGTATGGAGGTATCGATCTACGATACCCCTGAAGCCGTCAAATTCAGCATCTATCACTGACCTGAAAAGCCGCGTGACATATTCGCCGTGAAACTGTGCAGTCGATCTCTCTTTGCCGAGGCCACTACAACGCCCTGGGAGTCCAATCTCGCGCTCCTCCTCAATCTCAAGGCAACCGCAGGGTTCACGTGGGGTTACTATTGGCCCCCAAACTTGGTGCAGATTATGTGATGTGGTCTCACTTCGTGGTGAAAACTTGTTGAGCGAATAGTCGCACCGTCTCTTCTTCCTAGCAAGACAAGTTAGATGAGAGGAGAACGGTGGGGAGACAAACGTGTGGCTTACAAATCGCATCGCGAGCATTTTGGAAGGGATTTGTCGCATGATTGTTTCCGCTCACGGCAGAAGGTACAGGCGCGTTGTGACTTTAGGAGTAAGGGGATGGCGGTCGACATGATGGTCTGTCATCGATGAGTATCCGAGCTCAGAAGCGACGAGGACAAACGGCGAGTGAGGCAAGTTTGGGGTTTATGCACCGGCCGATGCATTGTGGAGGGGTCGGTCGGATTTGGTGTGAAAACAGGGGTGTTGCTGCATCGGCCGATGCATTAGTGGCATCCACATCTCCCTGCACTTGATCAGGCGAGGCAAGGTTGGAGTTGAATCAAGATGGTTGCCAACCGGGCACATGTTTTGATGAGTGTCCAGATGGAGTTTTGTAGGCAAATGATAGCTATATAAGAGGATTGCTCCGTCTATCTTGAGCACCATTCACAACATCGAAACATTCTCTATCGATTCCAATTACACTCACGATTCATTGCTCTCCCCCATAATGGCCAAAAGTGTCCTCGTTCTCGGTGCCAATGGCTATATTGGCGTTGCCGTATGCAGGGCGTTTGTTTCCGCTGGCTGGCGGGTGTACGGAATGCTGAGGAGAGCCGAATCAGTGCCAACTCTAGAATCCCAAGAAGTGATCCCTATCCTGGGATCCCCTTTAAATCTTGACGTTGTTGACAGCCTTGCCAAACATACTGTCACCTTTGAAGCCATTGTCGATTGCTCGAATCCAACCGAATATGAAAAATACTTCAACGAGAGCCTGGCTCTGATCCGACTTCTTTCCGGAAAGAGCAACGCCAGCGGCGTTCGACCGCTTGTTCTCTGGACCTCAGGCTGCAAGGACTATGGATCAACCGATGTTGACGGGGCAGTTGGACTCAGCCCCCATATCGAGTCATCCCCGCTCAACACGCCGTCTATACTCATCCCAAGGGCCCAATTTTCGCTCAAGATACTGGAACACACTGATCTGTTCGATGCTGCCGTCCTTAGACCAACCAATGTCTTCGGATATAGTAGCAGCATGTATGGTATCATCTTTGACTTTGCAGCGAGTGCTGCTGCAGATGGTGCGCAGTCGCTCACCCTGGTTGACGTGAGCCCAAAATCGATCATACACGCAAGTGAGTACTGAATTGAGCATTTGAATCGTGCCAGGCCATCACAGAGCGCATATTCTAACATGTGTTTACTAGTGCATATAGATGACTGCGCCGATGCATATGTGGCCCTCGCCGAGCATCCGGACAGAGGCTCGGTTGCCGGACAATGCTTCAATGTTTCTGCTCGAGAGTACGATACCGTGGAGGCGGTCATGAATGCCCTGACAAAAGAATACAATATTCCCAACCCTCCTCGTTTCGTGACTGGGTCGGAAGCCCCCAACATGAAACCTAAGGATCAGATGATGCAGCTACTTTTCGGGTTTAGCCAATGGGTCGGCAGTGACAAACTTCGAAAGGTGACTGGATATGAAGACAAGCGGATTATATTTTCCCAGAACATCGGAGTCTATCGGCGGTCGTACGAGGCTGCTGTTCATTCAGGCGACGAGGATATTGCAAGAATCCAGGGGCGGCAAAACTATTTCATCACCGCAGTCATCGAGGGTTTCAAAAATAACAAGTGATCTGGCGCTTGTTCACAAACCTTTGAAAGATGGTTATGCTTCTATCAGAGCTACGTTTTTCTCTCCACATAGGATAGCTCGTTCGACGGCGAGTTCTGAACAACATTTTATACCGAATCATCGTATACTATCACCGATAAGCATCTGAATGTAATATATGACATGAAGTATGCCCGCGTATTTTAATATAATATTGGATGCTAAGCATTGTTATAGGCGAGCTTTGGGAGGGTGTTCAGCTCCCGGGCTGACCAGTACAGTATTCCATATCAACGATTTATAGACTGGATCTCTTAGAGGTCATAGGCTCATTTTAATTCTTGTTTCTCCTGTTTTAGAGATCTTTAGTACCCTTGAGCTTGGGAACATAATATAAGGAGACGAAAGATGCTACCACGCTACACGTAGAGCCCCTGGAGCTTCAACACATATGATTCAGATTCTTTCTCCCGGAGCATATCTGACTCTTTTGGAGCCCTTTGAGAGACACATCCTTTCGGAAAATATACAGGGATGGCTTCGGTGTTATTAATTTAGATAACGGAATGCTGGGACATTCCCTGGAACCAGTGGAAGGATGAAATTTGTAATGGATGGGTGGGGATATACTGGCTACCTAGTTTGAAGGCTTATCTTGACATTGGATTTTGTCCGACTCTTGATTCTGTTGCATCAAAATTTCAGCTAACGCATTCATCTGCTCACATAGTGCTCGGAAAAGTCTCCGCTTAGCATTTTGGCACTCGGGAAACTGGTTGTTGAGGCTGGATTCCCGCCTGGGGTTATCAACTTCATAAGTGGCGGAGCCGAGGCAGGTCACGCGCTGGCCTCTCACATGAAGATTGGTAAAATCAACTTCACTGGATCCTCGGCCGCTGGTAGAAAGGTTCAAGTGGCTGCGGCGAACAGCAACCTCAAGCAATGAACTCTTGAACTTGGTGGGAAATCGGCGGCAATCGTGTTTGAAGATGCACCGTTGGACAACACTCTGGATGCTATGTCCATGGGCTTTCTTGTGAATTCAACGCAAGTGTGTGCCGCGACAACAAGGTTTTTGATTCATGAAACTATCGCGGAGCCGTTCGTGGAAAGCCTAAAGTCACGGTTTGAAGATATCATCCTTGGGGATCCAAAGGCACCATCCAGTTTCATGGGTCCGCTTGTGGATCAAACTCAGTTCGAACGTGTGAACAGCATCATTGAAAGTGGTGCCAAAGAACCTGGACTTCAGGTCATTACCGGCGGACCAAGTCCAAGGACGAAATCAGGCGGACTTTTTGTGAGGCCAACCATCTTTCTTAATCCTCCAATTTCAAGCTCGGTGTGGAGAGATGAAATCTTTGGTCCTGTTCTTTGTGTTCGCACACGTTTAAGGAATGAGGCGATCGAACTGGCAAATGACTCTAAATACGGGCTTGGAGGAAGTATATATACCAATGACATTTCTCGGGCTCTACACGTGGGGGCAGAGCTCAAAACAGGGACAGTGAGTATTAACCAGGGAGTTGTTCCAGATTACTGCATACCTTTCGGTGGCTGGAAAGAGAGCGGCACGGGCCGTGAAGGTGGGAAAGCAGGCATCATGGCGTATCTGCAAAGTAAAACAATTTCAGTCAAATTACTGTAATCAGTATTGATGCTCGAAGCGAGCAATAACTAGTTCCAACACACAATACAGGTGTTATGCTTTTATGCCCCAACTAAGACACTTGCACCTGTCTCTTGATATGGATCTTGTTCACAGGGATCGGGTCGAGTGGAATATCGTCTGACGCAGCGCTGTCGTTGTCGTGCGTGGCCCAACCTTTGGAGCTAGAGTGAAAGCGTCCATTGGAACCGTCATGCCATCTATCAACACTGGCGTTCGGACTGTTGGTTCTCTTGTATCCTGAGCCAGCACGTTGCCCCGAGTCCCCCCATGTTCTCGATTTAGATGATGGTTGGCTTCGGTTGCGAGTAAAGAGGGTGCCGAGCATCGGTAAACAGGCACATATGATGGCCATACCTGACTGGAGCGTTGACCATACAACCGTTCTCGAGGTGTCGACTGGATAAGGATTCTTTAGCGAGGGGCGTTTCGATAAGAATTGGTGCCATTGGATAGACTCACAGTCAAGCGCGACATTAGGCGGCCGCCAGATGTATGTCAACCGAACGACACTTGCAACACAAACGCTAGAGAAGATTTAGTCCTCCTCCTAGAGTTGACGAAATGCCCATGTGATACTCACGCTGCACCCATTAGGAACATGGCGATTAGTGACCACTTCCTGCTTGAGCTCAGCTGCAATTTAGAGACGACAAGCGTTGGAATACACAACATGATGACGTCGATGAATAAGTTGCTAAGTTCATATCCCAGTAGAACATGAGGTGTTGAGAGGCAATATCCTGCCTCAAAGACCTTTTCCCACATGGCGCTGATCGGAGTACACAGAAAAACGATGACGAAGAAGAAGGCGATCCACCAGGAGATAACGAGGCCGGTTGCGCCCATGATCAAATATCTCTGAGTATTGTTGACTGCGAATATGGTCCAATAGAAGGATATGATGCTCAACTTAACGATAGTGATGGTCGACGTAAATAGGAGCATTAGAACATAGCTATTCTGTACAAACTGTTAAATGCAAACATATCGAGGGAAGGTCGGACAAGCCTTTACCTTCATGAAGTCCATAGTCTCTTGCATAGAGACGCTATTTGCAGACGGCACAAACGCGCCTTCGAAAGCTCCCACTTCCGAGACATTGAAGATATCTACCTTTTCGTTAGCCTTAAATCAGCAACTGACCTAGGAACTCGCAATCTATCTCGTACAATTAATCAAAAGTCCACAGTATGTGCCGAATACCGCAAGTGACAGCACGCAGAGATAATCAGATAGGATGAGCTTCTGGCCGACATAGAATCGGGTGAAGAATCTAAGAGCCACAACCGCTGCGGAGATACTGATTGTCACGGCGCAGGTTAGGAAGTTCTCCCGAGCTTCCTTCCTCAATTCAATCATAGCCTCTTGGAGGGATCGATATCACGAAAAACATCGATCAGGAGGTTGTAAACGAGTCGATGATCAGCCTAAGTAGCCTAGCTTCACCTGGATATGGTTCACACCTAGCAAAAGGGTCTAATCAGGATGGAATGTGGTAGTAGCCAAGATGTCCATAGATGTGTAATTATCAAATTGGGCGAGACGCCAGCAGATATGAGCAGGTCGTTATGACCCATATTGCCAACCAAGGACGGCGGAATATGAAACTGCGTGCCTACGTAAAAGCACTGGATCGTTCGCCTTTCCCACCTTTTTTCTTTCCATCCTTGCAGTAAGTGAAAGTTTCCAATAAGGGAAAAAGGGTGCGACACAAACAGGGACTTGTTCATTTCCGACCTCTGTGCCCACTCTTGTGTGTAAGGGGCTACCCAAGCACATATCCTCAAGAGGCCACTTAATGTCAGCTGCCTCCACCAAGTTAGGCTTAGTGATTATGTTGTCCACTTGGGGAGTTCAGGGCCCGTATCTTGACATGCAAGCGAACTGGGAAGCAAGGGGTCTTGTGCGAACCCAGTGGATCCAAACAGGAAGCAAACGGGAGAGTGCAAACTAATACTATTAAATGCTTATGGAACTATTGACTAGTACTTTGGAATCACAAATTCTACATTAGTCGCTGATGAGAGGAAGACATGTCGCCTTCGAGCCAGTGTTAATGCTGTTCAAACCATGAGAATGATTCACAAGTTCAAAACTTTTAACTATGAGTCAGGTAAGGCAAGTACTAACTGCCGACATAAGTCAACAACCGGGTACGGCTGTCCACGGGGGGGTGGTGGGAATCACGATTTGCCGTGCCATTCGGAGGGTCGCCACTTGCCTGGGAATATTTATGGCTGGGGCAATCCTTTCCCATGCTTGCGTGATGTAGGGTATTAAATGCCGTGTGGATTGTCGCAATAGCTTCAGTGTGATAAAGAATCACACCACGCGGGATATTAATGAAATACCGACCACGTGGAGCTGAACAAGCCTTGACCCACATGAATGTAACCAGATACCAGGCTCAGAACTCAGGGACAAGGTCAAGGTATCATGAAAAGAGCTTTCATGTCAGCATTGACCTGGTTTCGGACCATAATCCTGGTAAAATACCGAGACCACGGCTTGAATCGTCAACGGTTTATCCACGCGGGTGGATGACGATGGAGCATCCGTTGGTCCACGTTCGATGATACAATCCATACAACGTAATTTGTTTTGTTATCTATCACCATTCTCCTCTGGTGTCCCTGCTCTGGAAAGCCGTGGGTGTCTGTCACTTTGTTGATATCGACTCTTCTTTCATTTTTATGAGTCTTAATGGGGTCCCTGCTATCCCACCAGCCATTCAAGGCTCTGGGATATCTCGGGTTTGCCCTTTTTGTCACACCTTGCTTTCTGCTGGCAAATTCGTCCCGTTTTCTTTCCAGCTCCCTCCGCCAAGATCCAGCATGGAGCATGAAAACTGCCTTGATATGCGCCTACGTGCGCCTCATTACCAGATTCGTGTCGCTGGTAAGGGATCAGCCGTATGAACAAGCAAAGGCTGCAACATTCAAGGAGCGTTGTGTGAAAATCGAACCTTCCAACTCGAAGCACTTCATCGGACCCATCGCCGAGGGCAGTGTGAAGCCCAAAACGACTACCGGTGTTTGGTTTCCCAGCCTACCAGAGGCCACCAAGCCCGACGAGAAGGTCGCCATTCATTATCCAGGAGGAGCATTCGTCCTTGCATTTGGGGTTGAAATGATTGGTGCGATGGTAGCTGATAATTTGGTGGGAAAGCTGGGCACTGACAAGATGCTCTACGCCCAGTACCGCCTCTCCCGTGACGAAGAGTCTCGCTTCCCTGCTGCTGTTCAGGATGCTGTTACATTCTACAGCTACGTTTTATCCCTAGGTTTCAAGCCGGAGAATATTATTATTTCCGGTGATTCTGCAGGGGGGAACGTCGCACTGGCTTTGCTTCGATATCTTGAGACGAACACGACCGATCTTCCACTGCCCAGTGCCGTCCTCACCTGGTCACCATGGGTCGAGGTGCCCTCGGATTCCGGGCCCATATTTGACTCGCAACCTAACTCTCACAAAGATATGCTATCTGGAACGATTCTACAGTGGGGTGCCGACTCATACAGACCAGCCTCGATGTTGGACGAAGAAGTTGAGGCAATGGTAAACCCATTGCATCACCCCTTCAAGACCCGAGTGCCAATATTCTTGCATGCGGGTGGTAATGAAGGATTTTGCGCAACAATCAAGGAGTTCTCGCAAGAGATGGCTGCGCTCAACGGACAGGAAAGGGTCAAATATCATGAAACGCCATTAGCACCGCATGACATCTTTCTCACGCATTCCGTTGTTGGAATGGGCGAGCAGAATATAGCCGCGATTGAAATGGCTGGTTCCTTTTTGGAGGAATGGAGCAGAAGTGCTGAACACCCCACGTTCGGACGCGAAATTTAATTGAGTAGACGGCAATAAGAGGGTGAATTTGTTAGATTTCATCAGTCTAATCACGCATAACTAAATTCTTATTATCACCCACTGAGGGAGAACTCGCGCGGAATAAAGAAAATGAGCATATAATTAAATTCAATAATCTTATTTGCCCCGGACATCAGAGTTGTTTCGTCAATCTATCTACCCGGACAACCGCGGTCTAGCCATGGGCGTGTTCAGTTTTGGGCCGTACATGGGCCCATTGTGGGAGGGTTCATGGGCGAGGCCGCAGGTTGGCGTTGGCCCTTGTGGTTCTACACTATCCTATGCGGCATCGTACGGATCTTGTGTGTTTCGTTGACACCTGAGACTTATGCTCCGGTTCTGCTAGAGCGACGAGCGGCCGCATTAACAGCAGGCATTGGCCGGTTGTATATCAGTGGCCTGCAGCACGGCACCAACACCAGGAAGTTGTCAACTCTGCTGAAGCAGGGGCCGTCTCGTCCTGAGGTTCTTCTCTTCTCCGAGCCCATCGTACTTCTGCTCAGTTTATTCATGGCAGTGGTGTATGCTACACTGTACATGCTCTTTGCCGCTTTCCCAATTGTGTTCAGAGAACAACACGAATGGTCAATCGGTGAATCTAGTGTTGTTTTCACAACCATGGCTGTTGGAATGTGCGCTGCGCTCGGTTTCATGGCCATAGAAAAGCAAAGGTATCGGAAGCGAGTTCAAAGATCCCCTTCAGGGGGCACCCCAGAAATGCGACTTCCTGTCTGTATCGTTGGGGGCATTTTCGTCCCGGCAGGACTGTTCATTTTGCCTGGACCAACAATCCGAACATTCATCGGAGCGTTTGCCTGTTGGGACTGCCCTCTTTGGCTTCGGTAACGTTCTGATCACCCTTGGCTACTTCAACTATCTCGTCAATTCATATCTAATCTATACCTCCTCATATATGGCCAGATCTTCCTTACTAAGATCCGTGCTTGGCGCAGCGTTTCCGTTGTCACATCTAATATGTATTATCGTCTTGGATCTAATTGGGCTTCATCTATTCCGGGTTTCCTCGCCCTAGCCTGTGCGCCTCTACCATTTATCTTTATGAAGTACGGTTTCTCCATTAGAAAACGTTGCAAATACTCTGCAAAGGCCCAAAAGCTACAGGAGAAGATGAAGGAATCGAGCGGGACTGAGAACAGCGAAGGGAACTCATGGCACGCAAAATTCTTGTAGAAAGCATTAACCATATTCTTCTTCTTTATCTGTTTTATTCCTAAAACTAAATGGACGAAAACAAGAAACTCCGGCATCTATGAATAAACAATCAATAATTTCCAATAACTCGTTATCGCCTCACCGATGCAAAGACTAGAAGCTCCCACTATCCCTTGACTGGTACACCTTTCAATGTCCTGGCAGTAGGCGTCTTCTAACACGGCTGGCAAGAGTATTTTTCCGAAAACTCGAATCGAGAACATTATTTCCACTAAAGCGGTCTACGCCCCTTCCGATGGGCATTCCATAACTTGCCCGGTATCCACCGGGCATGTGTATGTTTGCGATAAGCACCTGAAGGTTTCTCCGAGAGTCAAGTTGCCTGGGCCGGACGAAGACTCCGCTTACCGAAGACCATACTTTCTAATGATTCGAGGCCAAGCTAGAATTTATCTCCTCTATAAATAGGAAATGAGTCGGCTAGTCTGTACGTCCAAGAAAATTGAGGAGGAGGAGGCTAGGCAAAAAAGCCGCAACCCACCGACATGCCCTCGCCGAAGGACCAAGACGAGAATTCCACGATATTAAATACGACATGGAAACTCATAATACCATTGTTCTAAAGACACTATACCCCTAAGAGAAAGAGAATAAAGTTCAACAGCAATGGAAGCTGCCAGAGCCCGACAACTCAACACAATGAATACGATCTATCAGTACATTGGCAAAATCTTCACAGAGTAATTGTATGAAGATTCCTCATTCAAAGAAGACTAGGCGAAGTTCAGGGAGTGAGAGTGGGAGCTAGCGTTTAGCAAGGGACAACTCTGACACTTGCTCTGGAAGACCGCGGAAACTGCTAGATGTAAAGGGGCACACGTTTAATATTGAGACTATCATGATTGAATAGACCTGGTTAGAGGCTTGCGAGCAGATTTAGAGGTATATTTAAACCCTTGTAAGCAAATCCAACCTAAAATGGTGTAGTTGTAACGTAGCATCGAAGTCGACCCGGCATTTGCTTTATCAGTGATGAGGATCACCAGACACAAGTTGGACAAAATACGACGTCTTAGCGTTTCTATGACCCACCTCATTGATTGCTATTGATGCGATAACTTGTTAGAATACCCGGCAATGGATATGATATTCGCGAACCACGTACAGCGATCCTAGGCTGAATGATATAGAATCACATTTGCCTAAATTCCAACCCCAAAATCCTGGTATTTTAACATACGTTATTGGTAACGTTCCATGGCGCTTTTACGAGGTTGGAATGACTGTCGCACAATCCTATTGGCGGCCTTGCAATGTACAATAGTCATATATTATCCCACATCCCCTATCCTAGGGACCTGTACACATGTGAACTGTCAGGGAAATGATGGTCTCCTTGAAAGGTTTTCTAAATACCGTTGCCTATGGCCTTGCCATGGGGGCGGCAGAGGCTAACCCGACTCCATCCCAGACCACGTCGGCTGCTGTGCCAGCCTTCACATATAATGCTACCTCTTTTCTCCTCCATGGAAAACCCTATACCATAATCGGGGGCCAGATGGATCCTCAGCGTATCCCTCACCAGTACTGGAGGGATCGCCTCTCCAAGGCCCGAGCTATGGGTCTCAATACCATATTCAGCTACATCTTCTGGAATAATCTCGAGCCAGCTCAGGGTCTCTGGCTCTCTGAGGATCCGCAAAATGACGTGGCTAAATATTTTAGAATTGCACAGGAGGAAGGTCTGAACGTTGTCCTCCGACCAGGTCCGTATATATGTGGCGAGCACGATTGGGGAGGCTTTCCCGCCTGGCTGAGTGAAATCCCCGGCATGGTTGTGCGCACGAACAATACCCAATTCATGGAGCAAACCAAAAGGTATATCGCGAATCTGGCAGAGAAGTCAGGCCTCGCAGATCTACAGGCCTCGCGCGGCGGCCCAATACTTATGGTCCAAGTTGAAAACGAATATGGGTCGTTTGGCGAGAATCACAATTACACTGCCTCGGTGAGAGATATCCTCCTGGAGAGCTTTGATGTTCCACTTTACACAAACGACGGAGGTGACTCTTGGCCTCTTGAAGGAGGATATGTCCCGGGAGTGCTTGCGGCAGTTGACGGCGGGTCCTGGGCGCTGCCGGCCCGCGACCTGTACATCAAAGATCCTACATCGCTCGGGCCATTATTGAATGGAGGTAGGTTCTTCCTGAGAATCAAGCATGCGGGATGGAATAGTTAATCACTGATTTGTTGCATGTAGAATACTATACGTGGTCTCCAGATCAATGGGGATCCTACAATCCGCACAACACTACAGTTGGGAACGACGCCGCTGTTTCAGGAATCTTGGGCGACATTCCCTACCACTTGCACAACTACTCCGCATCTATCAGCTTTTACATGTTTCATGGGGGCACAAATTTTGGTTTCGAGAATGGGGCTTTGTGGCAGAATCGCACCACTGTCTTCACCAACTCTTACGACTACGGTTCGCCACTGGATGAGACGGGCCGCACGACTGATCTCTACTTCAAGATGCGCGACGCAATCATTCCGTTCCTAGACGGGGAAGCCATTCCAGAACCACCGGAAAACCTGCCGAGGACATCAATTCCCGAATTCTCACTCTGTCCTGCCACAAGTCTTTTTGAAGCCCGAGGCAAAAAGACAACTGCCTCCTCGCCTCTAACCATGGAAGCACTCGGTCAAGCCTACGGGTTCACGCTGTACGAGCACACCGCGGTCTCCAAAATTAAGGGCTCTATCCATGCCGGCGATCGCCCTCGCGATCGGATTTTAGTCTATGTGAACGAAAAGATCGCGGGGGTCATGGACAGCCAATACCAACACCCACTGAACGTGAGCGTGTCGCTGAAACCTGGCGACAAGTTGCAGTTACTCGTTGAAAATCTTGGACGTGTCAACTACTATTCGCGGGGTAACCCTTATAAGAACTATCTCCAAGATCCTTGGAAAGGTATCAAGGGAGACGTCTCCGTTGACGGGAACGTACTGAACGGCTGGGACATGTATTCGATGCAGTTGGACAAGTTGCCATCTGAAGAATGCAAACGTTCCCTCGAGAGAGATCACCGCTCAACCGACTCGCCGCTTATATACCGCGGTTCATTCGCTGGTCCACCAATGCAGCAAAACTCATCTATGACGCTAGATACTTTCATCACTGTTCCAAATGGCGTTAAGGGAAACGTGTGGGTAAACGACTTCCATCTGGGCAGATACTGGTTAGTTGGGCCTCAACAGTCATTATACCTTCCGGGAACCATCTTAAAACCTGGAGAAGTCAATGAGGTTGTCATTTTGGAACTGGAACCTTGGCAGATGAACACAACTTCAATGGTAGCATACAGTGAATCGGAGAGGTTCTGGGGCAACAACCCGGACCCGGACTGTCTGGTGTGTGTATAAAGCTGTCTCACCCTTGGAGGAGTGAACCCTACCAGATGTTCCTATTTTCTTGATCTTGGAGAGCTGTCATAGAAGATATAAGGACACATCAAAGTAGACTCCCAAGTCACATACTTGTGCAAATGTTGGAAGAAAGCTTCATTATTATGTGCAGCACTGTGAGGCACAGCTATAAGCGACATCTACCACTCTCGCATAAGGGAGTCATTGACCAACATATTTTCGCATCTCGTCGGGCTGGTTTAATAATCAACCGACCAGTCATTCCTTCCCCGCATTCGCATTCACACTCCTTCTATTCATCCGATGTCTTAATCTATGTTCGGGGTTCGCTAGCCGGAGTTCAATGAATCCATCAAGCCGAGGTACGGCGAATGGCATGAGAAATAAGCAATGGCATGGCATCTCAATGCTCAGACCAAGCCTTGGCTGCTGCGTGAGTCTGAGACAGCCAGTAATCAAGAAGAGAGCAGGGATCATGGCAGTGGAGCCTCGCACTCGCTTCCAAGTCTCTCGCATATGGACAAATGGAGACATTGCATCGGACAAATAGATCCCTGTCTATGCTGGCACTCCTACCTATTGTGATAAGTGCCGGGGAGCTGCTGCAGTGCCCCTGGGAAAGTGTGATTGATTCAAATACCGCCGGAGCTGCCACAACCCATCTGATAGCCAACATAAAACTGTGAATCATTCATCACAATGGCTCAAGAATGGGATGTCATTGTGGTCGGTTCGGGCATTGGCGGCATGTCCACGGCCTCTCTCCTCGCCAGAGTCGGTAACAAAAAGGTCCTTGTGCTCGAAAAGCACTTTGAACGAGGTGGCCTGACGCACGTCTTTCGACGCGATGGCGCGTCTTGGGACGTCGGTGTCCATTACGTGGGCAACTTGGGAGAGGGCTCGAGAACGCGCCTGTTTTACGATTTCATGTCAGGCGGCGCCCTCCAATGGAACCGCATGCCTGAAGAATTCGAGCGATTCATCTATCCTGATCTTGAGTTTTCTGTACCGTCCGATCCCGCCAAGTACCGGGAGCGTTTGATTGAGCAGTTTCCGGACGAAGCCGCGGCTGTGCGACGATACTTTGCTGATGTGAGAACGGCGGCCCAGTGGCATGGCAGGGGGTTTCTGCAGCCAATCCTCCCGTGGCCCCTGAGCTGGATCATGGCTGTATTGCGGTGGTGGACTCGGAGTAAAGCGACCCAGACGACCCAGGAATATCTTGATGAGAACTTCGAATCCCCCAAGCTCAAGGGACTCATTGCCTCGCAGTGGGCCGATTATGGCCTGCCACCCTTCGAAGGCACCTTTGCACTTCACTCTATTGTCGTCAACAGCTTCTTCCACGGTGGCTGGTTCCCAGATGGCGGCTCCAGTCGAATCGCACGCACATTTGAGACCGCCATTGAAGCCGCAGGCGGAGCAGTGAAGGTGTGCAAGGAGGTCACAAGTATCCTGACCAATAGCAGCGGCCGCGTAACCGGTGTCAGGGCTCTTGATCTCAGTGGCGATAGTCCGATTGAGATTGAATACCATGCGCCCGTGGTTGTGTCTGATGTCGGCGCTCACCTTACTTACAAGACGCTGTTGCCCACTGATGGCAGGATTGGACAGCTGACAGCTCCCATTCGGCGCCTTGTTGATCGTGTCGGCAGCAGCATCTCAGCCGTCACACTGTACATCCGTCTAGACAAGCCTGCTTCTTCGTTTGGTATTAGCGGAGAGAACTTCTGGGTCAACACGACATTCGACCACAATGACCTCGATGGCCATGCCAAGGCCACTCTTGCTGGGAAGCCACATCGATTATTCATGTCGTTTCCATCCGCGAAATCCGGCGACGAGCGTTTCCATACCGCCGAAATGATGACCTTTGTAAAGGGAGAGGCGTTCGCCGCCTGGCATGCGACCAAGCATGGCATGCGCGGCAACTCATACCTGGAACTCAAGGACCGTATCTCCCAGGGTCTCTTGGACCTCGCGGAGACCGCTGTGCCCGGACTGAAAGCCTCCATCCTGTACTCTGAGCTCTCGACGCCACTTTCGGTCGAGGATTACGTCTCTAGCCCCGGAGGAGGGATTTATGGTTTGAAGGGAACGCCCGAGAAGTACCTCAACTCGAGCCTCCTGTCCAAGCCAAGAATCCCAGGTCTCTTCCTCAGCGGATCAGACATGTCATGCCTGGGAGTCTCCGGCGCTATGATGGGTGGTGTCATGGCCGCAAGTCAGGTCCTCGGCCCCTTCGGCTTTTTCAAAATCATGAGGGCGATCCGGCTCTCGAAGAAGACGACCGCTACGCCAGCAGCCGTGCTGAAGTCTTCGGAAAAGAAGAGCGCCGTGGTCGTATCCAAAGCCGCGCTGACACCCTTTATCTGGCGGCTGGAGCTGGAACTTGATGAGAAGGTGGATTTTATTCCAGGCCAATTCGCATCACTTCTTGTGGCACCATTCGAGTGGCGTAGCTACTCAATCGCTTCTTCAGAGGAGAATCGCCTGTCGCTGCTCATCAGTACTCGTACCGGCGGCGAGGGATCCAAGTCGGTTGAGGAAATTGAGACGGGGGCAAGGACCGAGGTCGAGCTGCCATTTGGGTCTTTCCGTCTGCGACAGAACAATAACCGCAAGGTATTCGTCTCGACAGGCACGGGCATTGTTCCTTTCCTTCCCATGTTCGCAGCAATGGATGCAGCCGGTGACCTTGAGTCGGCTGAGCTCTATTTTGGATGCCGGTTTGAAAAGGAGGACATTACTGGTGGACTCTCGCCTCTGCCGACGACTACCGTCTGCGTGAGTGGTGAGAAATCAGCCAAAGATGTCTTCCAGGGACGGGTGACAGCGGCGCTCGGCGCTCTCACATTCGATCCTGAAGCAACGGATTTCTATCTCTGCGGTTCGCCGGCAATGGTAAATGACTGCCAGGGCCTTTTGACTAGGGCAGGGGCTAAACAGATATATACTGAGCCCTACTGAGGGTCTGAGAACTGCTAATGAGAAGCGTATTGTTGTTACATTTGAATAGACTCCTTGGCCCACTGCGTTTGTAACGTTAAATGTTTGTTCCAGAAACTTAAATTGTTGCAAATATCCTTATGTAATGAGACACGCTGAATTCCGCGTAGGGACTTGTCTCTCTTGTCCTGGGTTTGTTGACTGCCTGAGTGAGATGTGGGCTATGTCTGTAGGGTAGGGCCAGATTGTTGGTTAGTACGGAACAGAACGTAGATTTTAAGTGATTACTGATCTGGCTCAACTGCATCGGTTGAACATCAACGCCGACTATCTCCACTTCCTGGTCCAAGTTGCAACAAAATAGCGACGTTCGATGGCCTGATAAATCGAGCTTACAAATAGACCTCATTACTAAAAGATGTCGCCATAGACGGAACGGAATTATTTAAACTGCCCAGAGACTGCAATAATCGGCTGTGTTTAGCTCTCTACCTACCCAACAATACATATACACTTCCTCATATTGAAACCACCAACTTACAGTCGAAATGGCAACGGAGACACAAAATGCAATTTTCCTCGGCCCCGATGGAGAGGTCTCTATCAAGCAGGTCTCCCAGGACTACAAGCCAGCAGGAAATCAAGTCCTTGTAAAGGTCAAGTATTCCGCCATCAATCCCGCCGACCTTCGACATTCCTACATGGGCTTGCACGGTTCTGTGGCCGGATATGAATGGGTAGGAACTGCCATTGAGGTTGGAGATTCCTCGCCTTTCACGGCCGGCCAGGAACTTTTCGGCATGGTGGAGGTGGCAGCCAACAAACCGCAGTATTTGGGAGCTCACCAGAATTTCCTCATTGCTGATGGGTAAGCTGAGATTCATGTCTGGATTCAGTGGACGAAAAATAGAGAATAAATATGTTGACTCTGTACCCAGGACCCAGCATACATGGGCGCTACCCAAAGGTCTGAGCCCGGAGATAGCAGTAGGGATGCCCGTCGCTGTGCAAACAGTCGCTGATGCCCTGTTCAATGCGTTTGGCTTCGGTTTCCCTGAAGCTAAAATCTCGGGATCCGAGGCGGCTAATACCGCAATTCTCATTTGGGGAGGAGCATCTTCTGTGGGAGCGGCAGCAGTTCAAATCGCCAGGACGGTAGGATTCAACCCAGTCTTCGCCACGGCCTCGAAGCATAACCATGCAAGCCTCGAGAAGCTCGGGGCAACGCAGTGCTTCGACTACAGAAGCCCAGACGTAGTGCAGGAGATCAAAGCCGCTGTCGCCAAGTCTGGCAAGAAATTAAGGGTTGTCTTTGACGCCGTGTCTGCCAATATCCCCGTGTTGGGCACCGTCGTACCGGAAGGCGCGATAAGCACCGCCGACCTCGCCCGGCAGTCCTGCTCTGAGGATGTCCCAGAGAAAGATCTGCTGCTCTGTGGTGTCCTCCCCGTCCCTACTGACCCGACATGGAAGTTCTGTCTCGGCGTACGAAACTACGGCGATAAGCTGGAAGCTTTGGGAGGGATGGCCCAGGATCCGGAATTCCCAGTCCGTATGAACAAGTTTATAGTTTGGCTAGTGGCAAATCACGAGAAATACTGGCAGCAGGCGCTTCGTATTACGAAGGTTAAGGGTGCAGAGGAGGGAGTTCGGCAGATACGTCGTGTGTTTGGTGGCGGTGCCTCCATGGAGAAGGTTCTTATCGAGCGGCCCCTGTGAGCTTTCCAGGGGTAGAGCTGAGAAAGATCTCATACATCAACACCATCACTTCCATTCAACATCACTACTCTCTTTCATTCTCGTAAAGCAGGCTTGGAAATCTTGGTAGTCAAATTAATCTCAATTGCATTACGGACCACTGAACCCCAACCATCCAATGTGCACCACTAACAATAATACTCTCCATCACTCCTTAAAACTCATTTCTCTACTTAAGAAAAGCTGGCAGAACTGCGCACCGGGAATCCAGTCTCCCCTATTCTGTCTTGGGACTGTCATCTTTCTTGGGCTTGGGTTCTTCTGTCTTGGGCTTGGATTCTGTCTCGGGCTTGGATTTTGTCTCAGGCTTGGATTCTGTCTTAGGCTTGGATCCTGTCTCAGGCTTGGATTCTTTCTTGGGGGGCTGCTTAGCCCCCATCACCGTTACCAGCTGATCGATCTTGTTCTTGACCTCCTGGAAGGTGGGCCTGGGACTACCAATCTTGGACTCGATGTCTTCAACGAACTTCTTTGCGGGGCCATTCAGGCGGTTCTTGAGATCCTCATAATTCTCCCGCGAGAGCTCAATCTTATCCAGCGCGGGCTTCACATCCGGCCACGTCTTGATGATGCCAGGCGGGATGTAGGCCGGTGGCTGCGTCGAAGGGAACCCGCGCGGTTCAAGCTTGGCATTCAGGTCACCTAGAAGTCTCGCACCGAGGAAATACCCGTTGGCATAGGTACGGCATAGAGACTTCTTGTGCTTACGCTGCTTCTCGCACTGATGGTAGAGGCTTGAGAAGAAGAATTTGTTAGCATGCAGCTTGTGGGTATCAGGGGGGGAAAGGCATACTCTTCCTGGAAGATCGTGTCGATCTTGAGCCGTGCAACTTCGTTAAGGCGGTCCTGTTTCTTGTAGTTTGCGTAGGCAAAGTCGTGGCGATAGCAGGCGGGCTGTTGCCCAGTTGTTAATATGAGATGTATATCCATAATGAAAGGTCCTTGAAAGGAGAATCTTACCAAAAAATCAAACTCTAGAGGCTTGTCTGGCACACCTGTGCAGCCGTCACTGTCCCAGTCTAGAGTAGTAGGGTCCTGGTTATTGCGCCTGTTGATGAACTCTGGGAGGGCCGCCCTGAATACAAGGTCGTCGGTCTTCTTAATGCTGACCTTCTCTTTCACCTTCGGGTGAGTAGCGAGGGTGCCACCAGCTAGGATTAGGGCAAAAATGATGGGCTTCATCGTGGCTGCAGAAAATGAGCAATGAGCAAGGAGGTTAAAATAAGTGATAGTATTCTCTGACGAATGTCGTGCTGGGTGGAAGCAGACAGATCTGTTGGAATATATAGGTAGCGCGCGGGGCAGACGTAAATTAGAAGGGAGCATGAAGGCTTTGCTTGAGGGAAGTGCGGTCTATTTATATCTCGAGTACTGGTATCATCTATGTAAAAGACAAAGTATTTTACGCGTAAGTTTGCCGTGGCGTTGTTTTACCAGCATGTTGTGGCAAATGGGCACCCATCAAACCCTGAGCTTTTCAACTTAAAACACCGAAGATGAACTGTCCTTACAGCGGGGATTCAGCATTAGATAGAGTTGATATCCTTTAAGTGGTCGACTTTCACAATCCAATTATTCTTCTCCTTCATTCCCGTCACAAAGTTCAGTTCATCAATTTTATTGGTAAAAGTTCGGCCACGTAGCCTCCGACGGCGATCCCCGGCGATGTACAGGGAAAGAGAATATGAAGGTTTGGCCCTCTGCAGATTTTTTTCTCCCCTCAAAACAAACACACACTTAGAGCATATAGACTGGCGCGTGTGGAAGAACTTTATTAAAGCTTTTCGAGCTACTGCCGCGCCCGGATAGCACTGGCAATTTGTGTCTCTGGAATGCTAGGATTGTTCTTTTATCCTTCTTTATATTCATATGGACTGGGAGTTGTTAATTTTCTCTACAACTTCTTGTCTCAAGCAGACAGTTCTCCTGTTCAGACGAGAAGCTTTTTCCCCAATCATGATTTCTGCTAGCAAGTCGCGTCGTGACGGAATCAAACTTTCTGCAGAACTGAAACCCTGGAATACGAAAACTCTAGGAGCCCCGGAAGCCCTCGCGATGTGTAAAAGGTAAAACTAAGGGCCCGGTCGGATGGATAGCAAGGCAAGCTTTTTACACTGAAAGTAATGACGTATTTCGTTCTCATCCTATGCCACCATAGAATCTGCTTGCAACAGTCCAGGTGGCATTTATGCAAGCGCTCGACTTGATGCAAGCTGTCCACAGTGAAAATAGTTCGTGGCAAGGCCTATCCTTCCCCACAACGATATTCAGCGCGAGACGGATGGACTCGTCATCTTTCTTCGGAGGGTCCTTGAATTGGCTTTGGAATGCATATGTCTTGCCCTAAAATCCTGTGTACATCTTGACCTGCAGCTCATGAGTGATGGTAAAACACTGCTATGGGTTAGGGACCGGTGCCAAGCACGAGGAAGTCCATCATCACTGGCCCAGACCTAACAATGCGCATAGTTTTCGCTTTAGGCGTCCACTTGCCCGAGAATTGATTTACTAAATAGACCCGAAGTTATCTTCCGCTCGACAGGCAGAGCAGGGGTCCTCAACAGGCCAGCCATTGAAATCATTGATGCTTTGAAGGGGTGTAACGAAAATGAAGTTCAGCCTTCAAGTGGCAGTGTTTTACCATCAATCACCCTGGTCTTACGGTTAGCTCGCTTGGGTCAACAGGCTTAATAAGTAGGGTGAAAAAAACTGATGCTTGTCGGATTTGAACCCATGATTTTGCAGAAATACCTTCCGTAGCGGGAAAGCTTCCAATTTAATTTGCTTCAATTGCTCGGGTCAACTCTTGGCCGCGTTTGTAGGTGTGGCGCATGACTGCCTCTGTCAAGTACCTACTCTGCTGTGGCACATCAGTTGTCTTTTCTCCCAGCTCTTCTCCACATTGCTTCGTGTAAAGTACCTTCAGCCACAGGTAAAGACCTCAAGGCCTAAGCCACAGGTATCCACTCGCGTTTGCACAGTCAAAGAGACAAAGTAAAGACTTCTTGACAATAAAACACGACTGAAAGGTAAAGCAGGCAAATTTTACTTGGATAGTATCAGCCATTCATTCATGTAATACACCGCTAGCTTCTATACGTACTGAAGGTCAACATGATTTGACATTACTTACGTGAAGAGCCTGAGCAAGGTTGACATAGAGGCGGATGATCATATCGAGACCTGTCAGACAATGAAGAGACAGAAACACGTCGCTATTTTCACAGGTTGCGTTTATTGAAAATTAAACTTACTAGAATGTGCAGTGACAATGCATTATGCATTATACGAAGATTGTCCACCCATTCTACGGTGCGAGTCTGGGTTCATCTTGTGTCGACCAGGTCCAGGGTAGGCATAAAGATGGGTTGGTGGATCCCGTATGAAGCAAGCAAATATTCACAGCGCCCAATCACTGACCCAATCCACCAATGTACATTTGGACTTGCCACTGATGAAAGCGACGCCCAGCAGAAGCAAGATAAGGTTAAGGGAATAGCGAATTTGTAAAGCAACATAATAAGCCTTCTTGCATGTTTACTGTGACTTGCCCTGTTTTGATGTACAACTAAGCGCACGTGAGTGTTTTTTTATGAAACAGAATTTGACCAGTAATAGCGATCGCGGTGATGGTTTCCAAGTCTGGCAGCGGGATGCATCATGGATGAATTCATTATGACGTGAATTGTCTCCACTATCAAGTTGCCACCAGTAACTATAAAATGAAGACTCTGTTCCTAAAAGAAACAGTTGCCGAGCCTCAACAACCACTAAAGACTGTAATCCATAAATCAATTCATCAATTCTACTTGTAAATCTCAGAATGTCTTCATTTTTCTCTTCAACCACCAGCCAGAGCTACTACAGTAGCACCAACCGAGATGGCAAGACGGAGACGCACGCCTTCTCAGAGCAGACCCGCACAAACCCGCAAGGAACCACGATTCGCACTGCGTACAAGGATAACGAGAAGCCCGTCCAATATACTGAGGATCGTATCCCGGCCAGGAATACACACCTGGAGGGCTCAGCTGGCAGTGACACCTCTCGTCGCATCGAGGACGTAAGCCACGAAGAAGCCGATCAACGTTACACAGAGGCTATGGAGGATGAGTATGCGAAGAAAGAAGGCGGGGCTTGAATTGAATCTAGTGTACGGGATCTTGAGTTTATAAATGTTGCGTGGATAAAAATAACGAATTAATACATAAGATTATCTTGGTTACATTCTCTTCGCAGTCCGCCACTGTAGTAAAACTTCACCTTGTCGTTGACCCAACGTACCCTGCCTGACCTATCAATTGATACACCACAGTGTGTTGGATAGAATGGCACTTCTCCAGACAAGGGATCCGTCTGTAGAAAGACGTCTAGGTAAGATACCTGAATCCACTTCCAACGGTGTGTTGCCCAGCTGCCTCCTCTTCTGCTTCCTTGACCTCCAGCTTCCGATTGGCACGCTTGAGCACGAAATGGAGGAGAATGCTGGCGCAGATTGCAATGAAGGCCATAGCGGCGTTCACACTGAAGGCGAGAATAAACCGAGGCGCTGCGCCGTTGGGATAGAGAAAGGACCCGTATATGCTGCACACGGTCGCAAGAGCGTTGTTGAATGCTAAAGCTGCTGCTCGCTTGGACACGGGGCGGAAGTTTGTGTTCGCTGTCCACACCATAGACATGTTGAAACCGGAATAGATACCGGGGAGCATGATCATGGCACCGAAGTAGCGAGGTCCAATCTGAGTAGTCGAGGCCGAGATAATGAAGCCTGCAAGAGCAGTGGCGATGGACAGGGAAGTGTGCCAGAATCTCTCCTGCACGCGGTCTGCATTCCACGCCACCACAGCACATACAATACAGGCTAGAAGATAAGGTGGCGCGGTGAGTAACAAGGTGGTAATCTTGTCCTTGCCCATGCTGGCAACAATGGTCGGGAAGAAGCTGTTGATCGCGATAGCTGATGCCGCGCCATAGCAGACAACAACCAAGATCCAGTTCTTTGGGTCCTTGATAAGAAGCTTGAAGCCGTGGAACAGAGATTGCTTTGACCCTTCAGTCCAGTCTTCCTCGCCGGCGGCATCAAGTTCCATGCGCCACATGGCCATGGCTCGCTCCTCCTCGCTCAACCATGTTGTAGTAGCCGGAAAGTTGGGTAGAATGAAGAAGGTCGCAAAGGCAATTAGAACCGTAACCGAGCCCTCGATAATGAAGATCCATCTCCAAGCTAAAAGGCCACGGACGCCGTTCATGCCGTTGATAATGCCAGCACCGATAAGACCGGAGAAGGCCCCGGAGATCAAAGACCCAGAGTAGAAGATGGCCGTTCGGACACCCAATTCTTTGCGAACGTACCAGGCACTGAGAGTTGCCAATGCACCTGGATAGAATGCAGCTTCGACGAATCCGAGGAGAAAACGAGTTGCGACGAGGCTTGAGAAGCCTTGGGCGGCTCCAGTGCATGCACATAGAATTCCCTGATACTGTTAGATAATGATTGTGCTGGAGAACAATATAACTTACCCAAGCCATCATACAAGCTGAAAGGTATGATGCTGGCTTTCCGATCTTGTTGAGGATCATGTTCGAAGGAACTTGCATCAGGACATATCCCACAAACAGGATGGACACCGCAATCTGCAATTATTAACATCCATGTAGATCTGATGCCACTGAGATTTTTCTTACTTGGAATTCGTCGCCCTTCAAACCTAGATCAGCTTCTAAGCCTCCGAGTCGAGCAGCTCCGATGGCGTTTCTGATGAATGAGTGTAAGCATACTTTTCAAGGAGGGTTGCGGGCATAGTGTCATACCGATCAAGATAATTCATGATGTAGATCAGAATCATGCTAGGAAGCAAGCGTAGATCAATCTTGCGCCTCAGACGAGTTTCTAGCTGTTTAAGCTCATCGTCTGAGAGATGCTGCAAGGCAGCTGGCCTTGGAGATGCATATTGGAGTTGGCCATCATGTACACTGCTGTTGGCCTCGTCCGAGCTCAACTTTTTCTGAGTGTCTTTTTCCATATTTGAGGTGCTCCTAGGAATTCAGGTGAGGATGTGAGTTGATAGCCAGACTCTGGAAGTCATGAAGAAAGCTTCTTATACATCCTTGAGGCTCGACAAGTTTATCTCACAGTCTGGGGCTACTAACGTCCCCCAGAGTTCCTACCATACCCCAGAATGAGGAAGTGCCAAGTCTACGATCGTCCTGTACACCAAAATGAAGACTGGGCTTGAGGCGAACCTTTAGCCCTCGGCCCAGGAGGCATGTCGGCCGTAGTGTACGATTCGTAGAGGAACTAGACCTCATTAGTCCGGTACATATCTTTGATACCCTTAGCCTCTACCTCCCCCGCATTGCTACAACTTGCACTCTCCATCATGTGTCATGGCCAGGGCCGGTGATATTTCCAAAGACATGGGCAGATGATGGACATACAAGGCAAATTTCTCTGCAGATCTTATAACTCACGTATTCTCCAACACTGATCATGTAGACACCCTTTGGAGAGCGTGTGCGAGATGGCTAATCGATGTCCCAGGCAGGTCTCGGAGAATGATAAAGGCGTCCCAGAAAAGGTTTAGTCAAACAGCTTTGACTCGATACTTCTAACGATAAGATTCATTAGATAGGATGAAAACTTAGTTCCCATACTATGACCTCAGATAACGAGTCAGTACACTGTCGAGCCACTCGTACCCCCAAGAGTCTCCCAATCGAAATCATCAAGATCCTGGAGTATCAGGGTCAAAGATTCGTCATCCGTCCCGACAAATTACTCCAGGTATCGGCCGCTAATGCAAATGAGCCTATCTGCGCCCTTGCATATGAGCCGGAAATTGGAATGCATTGACGTAAACGTGGTTCGGCCGCTAACGCACACGAGCCGATCAAAGTCTCTGAGCATCCACTAGCTGGAAAATGGAGGGACAAGGGATCGCCCACATTGTGTTCACCGTTTCGCTGCTTTCTGTCACTCTTGCTTTCCATACCCTTTCTACACACAACCATGCAAGCTAGGCCTGTTATCTCCCCCAGCTAAAGCGTACCCCGGAGTCGTGGTTCAGGTCACTTGACTCAGCACTGGCTGGGTAAGTCAACTGCCACTGGAGAACGGCAACTCCGAGTAGCAAGGGACCGTCTCGCTTCTAGATCCCGGCTCTCGGTAGCATAGGTATGATTCGCTATTAGCCAGCAATGAAGACAACCACCATCAGTGCAATCATCGGCTGCTTTGTGGGTGAAAGCAGAGATCTCTCGGCAAGCAACCAGTCACCATTTATCAACTTCGGCTTCCTGGAGCCCAAACAAAAATGGGGAGATTCAAAGGCCGCAGCGCAGTTGCATGTACTGTATGCCATTCACAAAAAGTGAAATGTGACGGCGGTACGTACTCACGCACGGTAAACTTGCCTGTCTAACTCACAAGACAAGCCCAGCCATGCGGAAGATGCGCAACCCGCAACCAGGAATGCATCTACCCCGATAAAAAGACCTATGTGACTGTCCCTGAGACGTACTTGAGGAAACTGGAAAGCGCAGTTGCCAGCTCTCACACATCTCCATCTCTTGCCACCAATTTTAGCGATGCAAGACCTGAGTATTCGGCGAGCTCCCAAAGTCCCCAGGATCCAGGCCCCGAATCTGAGAACAGGGTAGCGGCCAGGGCTGCCATGCTGGATGACTGCAGTAACGAACGTTTCGTCCATGACCTGAGGCAGTTGACCATACCCGAGAGCCCGGGCAGACTGCGAGAATCGAGCGGATACACATATGTGGCCCTCAAGTTCGACTTTCTTGGTAAGACGTGTTTCCGCATTTTAATTAGAACTTGAGCCCTGATGATAATTAGAGCCGAGGATGGTTATTAAATTGCCGCCTCAACCATTGGCGGTACAATTGCTGAACACATTTGAGGAGATATTTTGTGATTATCACTGGTTCTTACGAAGAGACTTTCGGGAACGAGTAGCCCTAATATATTCCGATCCTGATAACCAATTAAAAGACAGATGTTGGCTAGCACGAGCATCTCTTGTCTTCGCCCTCGGTACGACATTCATCCATGGGCCCCAAGGGTTAACTGGCAACTCATCGTCAAGGCCATCTGACGTCCCATTACCCCCCGGATCAGACATGTTTGAACAGGCTGTTGCGCTGCTCAATGTTTCTTCAGAAGAGCCGACAACGGAAGATATCGAGGCACTAAACTTGATGGTAGGTTCGTGGACTACTAAACACTGATCTATCGCTAATAGTGAAAGGCGTTTTATTGCTATTGTCTGAATCGCCGCAGAATGGCCTATAAATATGCAACACAAAGTCTAGCCGTCGCCAAACTTCTTTATCTTGACAAAGCACCCGTCTCGTCGCCGAATACAGAACAGCAAGTGTTGCTAGAGCATAAAAAGCGACTCTGGTGGACTTCGTTTTGCATGGAGAGAATGGTTGTAGCAGAGTTAGGTATATCTCCAGCCCATGGACGAAGCAACCTGGGACTTGCACTGCCCACGGCAGAGAATATTCCTGAATCTGAGCTGAATCAGTTCTTTGATTCAAGAGTGCTGTCTCTGCAGACTGAGATGTGCGAGATTAAATGCCAGATAATCGAGGCAGTGAGCCACTTGCGGCAAGTTTCAGACTTGGAGACGATGCTCTTTGAGCTATGGCCATGCCTAAGTACTCTCCAGTCCTGGAGACAGCATGTTCCCTCATCAATCTCCTTTGACTTCACAAAAGGGGTGCCAGTAGAGATGATTTACCTCCCATGTGCTCGTGGACTCGCCTCCCTCTACCTTCGGTATCATCAGGTATGCACCGTGCCACCAGTAAACAAGAGGGCAAATGTTGATTCAACCTTAATTAGTGTTTCACTGTTATCTTACGACCTCTTTTCTCCAAAGAGCTATCTCTTATTCTGCAAGGTGCAGACCCGAAGCAGTTTGAGTCTGGACTGACGATGACACAACGTCAACGCATCCAGGTGTTGAAAAGAGAGGGCCTCCAAGCTGCGAGAAATAACTGCAGAATCTTGTTGGATCTTGTAGCTCGCGGGAAACTAGGTTCGAAGGGCCCATAAAATGACCGCTTCCCCTCTCCGCGTTCAGTGTTGCTAACTCGTTCCAGCCAAATTCGGATACTGGGACTCGGTCCACGCCTTCAGCAGCCTCTCCATCATGTCCATCTCGCGAGCCGTAGCGCCCGATCTCAGTGAAAGCCCACAATACAACGATGATGCATACTTGTATTCCCAGTGCCGCGTCATGCTGAAGGACATGGCCGAGGCGGGGAACCCTGCGTCAAAGGATCACCACCTTCTCCTCGCGGACGTTGAGAACATTGTGCAGAACCTGACAGGGAGCGCCGCCCAGGAGAAATCTGCAGAGAGGCCGGTGGAGGTGGAGACGATGACCCCCTCGCTCGACCTCGGAGAACATTTGTGGTCAGATGCGGATTGGGTCAATTTTTTGAATACATATTCAAATACAATGTGATGAGCTCTCGGATCTTGCGCAGGCTATGGGAAATCTTCAGTCCATAACCTGCATTCATGTTCCTTGCACCATCTAAATGATACGTTTATCTCGATTCATCAAGTAAAACACCATTCGACTCCAGTTGTAGAGTTAGTGATGGGTGCCCTCGTTCAGCATGAGACGACTTGACAAGTAGATCGGCTGCCAATGCCGGAAGATAACATGTAAGACTCAGTGCTTGACGAAGTCGTGTTCCTAATAGGCTACTACATGCCGTAGATACCAGGTATGGGGGAGATGAGCCAGGGTTTGAGACCGAGAGAGGGGTTAACGTGCATAATCCGTATCAACTCACCAAGTGCGGAGCCAACCTCTTTCGTACAGGCCTGCTAGTTCAGAAGATAATGACCATTAACATGGAAGATAGAGGAGGTTAATCATGTGGACATACCGGGTGAAACTGGAGTCCCAGTTCCCCATGTTAGTTGCCCCTCGGCCCTAGCGGCCGAGAAGGTTACAACTGGCAGCTAATGCACTCGCGGCCGACCCCTTAAATTAGAAACCAGGTGCAGGTCCCGTGTACCTCTGAATTCAATTATACCACCGCTCTTAGAGAGACTAATCGGTCTTGCCGCAGTACAGGTACTTGAGCGCACATAATCGAATATATGCCAAGGCAGGAATGCTGCCCATGCCGTCTCCCGCCCACTTCTCCACACCTGATGAAGACTATCGACCATTCTGTGTGGCCCGTATATATTATCTCGGCTTTGACTTATTTCCACCAGGCTTATCTATGTTTACAGGCCGCCCGTACCACAATCTTGAGATATTATACACCCCTGCAACACGATAGCACTCTACGACTTCGCCCGTGTTGAACTCTTGACCCCCATCGACCAGAAGCTTGATCATAGCTCAACAAACCATCTAGATCCACGGACTCGGGCCAACACATATCCCACAAGATGCTTCAAACTTCTCAGGTCGTGCTTTGCGAACAAGAAGACAAATCAGGTCCCAATCAATTCGTGACACTGACGAATAACCGGATTGAAAAGGACAGCCTCGGGGAGCTGGAAATTCCAGACGACGCTCTCTATGGCATTAACACTCTCCGAGCAGTCAATAACTTCCCTCTCTCAGGTCGGCCGCTTGCAACATGGCCCGACTTCATTCACTCATTTGCTGTGATCAAACACGCAGCAGCTCGTGCCAACAGTGAAGTCGGTAGTGTGACGACACTGCAAGCGGATGCCATCTCCGCAGCCTGCGAGGAGATAAAAACCGGCAAACATGACGCGCACTTTGTTGTTGATATCCTCGAGGGTTCCGGTGGCACCTCCACCAATATGAACGTGAATGAGGTGATCGCCAACCTCGCCACAAAGGCCTCAGGTCGGGCGCTATCTGACTACAGCTTCGTCCATCCCAATGACCACGTCAACATGGGTCAGTCTACCAATGATGTCGTTCCCACGGCCATGAAGCTGGGGGTGTATCGCGCGATGCAAGGCGCCCTGGAAACACTCGGACAGCTCGCCGACGCGTTCGCCGTGAAGCGTGAAGAATACGCTTCCCTGCTTCGCCTTGGGCGGACCTGCCTGCAAGACGCCCAGCCCATGACTCTTGGCCAGGCGCTTGGGGGGTACGAGTCTGTGATTCGGCGCCACGGGGAACAGCTCAGCGCCATCCGTGAGCAGTTCCTGACGCTCCCTCTCGGAGGCACCGCGATCGGAACAGGCTTCGGCTCGAGGCCTGGTTATAAGGCCGCCGTGTTCAAGCATCTTTCTGCTCTCCTTGGGGTTACAGTGCATCCTGCGAGCAACTCGTTTGATGGCATGCAGAACATGGACACCTGTGCCCGCCTGTCAGCTGAGCTGCGCAACACCGCAAACAGTCTGTGGAAGATATCCAATGATCTGATCTTACTCTCATCAGGGCCTAGCGGCGGCATTTGCGAGATCACCTTGCCGTCCGTTCAGGCTGGATCATCCATCATGCCTGGAAAGGTCAACCCCGTTATCCCTATTGCGGTCTGCCAGGTTGCCTTCGCCATCAGCGGCAATGACTCTGCCATATCTATGGCCTGCCAACAGGGCATGCTTGAAATCAATCATTTCGAGCTGCTAGTATGCGATCGTCTCTTCGAGAGCATCCGTCTGCTCAAAGGCGCCGCAGAAATATTCTCCAAACGATGCGTGCAGGGGCTGGTTGCTAATAAGGAGATATCTGAGCAGCATCTGCTTGCCGGCAGTGCTCTGGCCACTGCTCTGGTACCGAAGCTCGGCTACGCAAAAGTTTCGAAAATCGTCCGATCAGCTGTGGCAGAGGAGCGACGGTTTCTTGATGTTGCCGTTGAGGAAGGTCACCTTAGGATAGATGAAGTCAGAGCGGCGATTGAACAATCAGTTTTGGTTGATAATCCTTCAACAGCTTAGCACATGTTTGAATACTCTAGCCCATTTGAAAAAAACTTACCAAACTGTATGAAGTGTGCTAATTGGTGAGGGGTGAAGAGTTTTGTGTGCTACCCAACCAACCAAGGCTACGTGGAATTCGATTGATAACTCGAAACACTTTCTTAGCTCTCATATTAACTTAGTCTCTTCATCCTTTTGAAGCGTATACATCCCAGGTTGAATTGCTTCGTAGCAAATTAGACGCTTTGGAGTCCAGTCGTGTTAGAATGTCAAGCAAAACCGAAAAGTCAGCACGTGCCCTGGAGGCCAGAGGCGAGTTCTGATTACGGTGAATTATCGCCAACAAGCTAGCTCCAATGAGTCGAATCTTCTCAACCTTTGTAACCAGTTAAACAAATTGAAATTTACCAAGTCTGCGGCAGGGCAACTTACGTATGGCTCCCCATTTACTTGTAACGACCAAAATGGTGCCTCATGCATCACTCGTAGCATATCTCTTGCTATTTCAGTCTTTTTCAGGTCTGCCTGCTCAATGCTAGTACCAAAGCATGTTGGAAGATCCAGTTTCTCCGCGATTGCCATCTTGAGGCAGTGTAGCGAGACCTGCAGGTTGGCACACTGGATGATGAATTGCTTCGACTGCGTCGTGGTCTCCTTCCCCCCAGCCGCGATGGCGGCAAAGGTGTAGGATTGTAGATATGGTGGGAGGTCGTCTAGACATGTGATGAAGTTTACATACAGCGCGTCGAGGCGGCGACGCTGCTCGTTGGTCAACAGAGCTTGGGGCGGAGCAGAGGCCATTCCCAGGTTTTCCCTGTCATGGATGAGCCGGGCCTCCAACAGAACATCAGATGCTGCTTGCCAAAGCCGCAGGTTCGCATTGAAGCCTTCGATAAAGTTTCTGCGACCGCTACCAGGCGAAGGTGCCTCATTTCCCGGGGAAGGGCCAATAGAGGACTCGTCTTCGATGCCAGTTGGGTACGAGGTCGTGATGCCGGCTTCGAAAGAGTACTTGTGGATGGTGATGGGTCGGTTGTTCAGGATTGCGGCAGACTTGTCGCCCATGTACACAATCCAGAATGCCCTTCGTCTCAATTCAGCCTCAATGGGAAACAGACCCTCGAGCGACGACTCCTCGTGCAGCTGCATCACCTGCGCAAGTCTTGTGGCCTCGCCAAAGATATGCCATGAGTACTTTGGCTTCCCAGCTGCGTGAAGACAGTTGGAGTGAAAGTAGCGAATGGCAATAGAGTTGGCGTTGGGGTTCTCTAGGTCTGCCTCGAGGTACTGATTCAAACATGCGCGAGAGGCCTGGAGGAAGATATTGGCGACACTTTCTCCTTCTGCGAATAGGTCCCTGGGTAGCAGAAAGGCGGCCTCGGCGCATACAGCGGTGATGAGAGTGAAGGTTGAATCATGCCAAGGCTCTATCATCGAAAGACCGACTGGAGCACCGTGGGTGAAATCTGACCATGGTTCATCCGGTGGCCCGGGGGCAGCATCTACTCTTGATTGAGAAGAGGTGTTTAGCCTGGTAGCTGAATGAGCTAAAAAGAATACCAGCCCTTCCCGTAGGCTCGGCTCATGAACCAACGGCGTAAGAGGATAGAGATACTCGAAAAATAGATCAAAGCACCGAGTAACCATTTGGTTGATGTTCACATTGATGAGCGCCAGTGAGCGGGCGAGGCCATGCCACCTTTGGATAGCTGAAAGGTGATGTGCCCCTGAAGGATCAGACACAGAGCTCCGAATCGTTTGCGGGGAGAGTGCATGTTCGATATGAAGAGTCTCGCCATGCTCCCACGAGCCAGATGGAGACTCTCCAATGGGGCTCCCAAAGGACGGAACCCCAACCGCCCCATTTGGAGGAGATAGTGCCGAAGACGCGGTGATTTCTCTACTCTCATCGACGGTCGACCCAGTTATCCTTCTGATTTTGGGTCCTCGTCTCGCAGAAGGGACATCAAACGTGCACCGTTCTTCGGCCTCTAGGCATAAGGAGCAGGCATTGTTTGTGCTAGACGAGTCGCACTAAGGCAACCTGGTCAATAACCATCATCTCTCCGAGCCTGCGAGACATTTCAATGGAGATTAGCTCACCTTCGCTTTTCTCCGCCGGCACCGATCGCAAGCTCTGCTGCTGAGAAGCCGTCGCCGCTGCTGGCTGGGCTGTGGGGATGCTGGACACGGCGGTGAGCTTGGCATGTTGGTATATCCTGCTGTTGCCTCTGTTCGGAGAAAAGCAGTCGAGCAGAGGCACCTGTCGGCGTTTTATGACAACATTGTGAGCCGAGGCGCGTTGCCTGAATCCCCACAAGAACCGCAGCTGAGCGTTTCTCCGTTTCTCCGGGTGATCTTTGCCAGAAACAGGCTGAGCTTGCGGTCTGCCAACGCTGATCTGCGGGGAACAAACAAGAATCTGGGATTCTGGGGAAAAGTTGTCCCTGATCATTTGAGGTAAGGCGTATAACTTTCTCGCGGCAATTTCCAGGGGGGAGGCATGTTCCGAATTATAAGTTATGATCATCATCTATAAAATGAGAATGTGTTCCTCTATTCACATGACCACGGCACTTTTGACAACCTATTGATAGAGTCTTGAAAATGAAGCCCAACCACCCTCTATTGACCTTGACTGCTGGTGCATTGTTCGTCAATGCTCTTCCCTCCGGCTCCTCGAGCGAGTCTCGAGGTCACGATGCACCGCCGTGTAGATTCGCTCTGAAGTGGTCACAGGAGCAAGTCCTTGGGCATACGGATGACTTTATCTCGGACATGCTCTACTGGGAGGGGAAATTTCATCAAGATGGCATTGCTTACAATGCTGAAAACGGAATGTCGTATGATGGCTCTCAGATTGACTGGGTCACGGGCGAGAAGACCAAGAAGCATACTTTCAGTGCTGCTAGCAAGGAGGTCAGTTTCCATGAATGTTCTTATGGTGCTAAGCTAAAGACACCTGCAGGCTTTACAAATTATGCTTTACTCCCGCACCATTGACGGATCTCCAGAAGCGGCTAGGTTTATAAGCCCGGAGAATCCAAAAGGTGCTCCAAGCAAAGTGATCTCCATCATGGAGAAGAAACTCAAAACGTACCTCCGATTCAACGAAACTTATCCCGGGTTTGGAGGGGCTCTGCCATGGATGGCAACAAACACTGTGGACGTTTCACCACAGGACGGCTGGACCAATCGAGTGCCAGGTCTTGATAATGGGTAAGTGCAGCTAACCGTCTAAAGTTAATCTATTGAACTGAGAATGTCTCTAGTGAATTATGGTGGTCTGTCTATGCATGGATTCATGCCCTAGAAAAGCTTGACCAGCCTGCCTATCAAGATCTAACCAAGGGCTGGAAGGCATGGCTCGACTACACCTTGGAAACCATGGTCAAAATCTTTCATAGAGGCGACGGTGTTGTATGCGCTGTCACCGAGATTGGCGATCAAGCTCTGCCGGTCGACGACCCCGCCCAGACGTACAAGTGTGAGGGCGAAGGCGTGCTGAATGACCCGTATGAGGGCGAACTAGTTGCCTACATGTTCCACCTCTTTGGCAACCTGTCAGAAGAAGATAAGGATGCGCTGTGGGTGGCCAAGCGTCCGCAACTGGTCAGGGATAAATACGAAATGGGCGGCGTTGGCCCGATCACCGTGGAGAGAGGTAAGTTCCTAGGCGAGGTGTTTCGGATGTAGCTGACCTTTATAGGATATTGGTTTTCTGGCCATGAGCCATGGAAAGTCCTCGAACTTCCCTTTTATGACGTGGATATTATCCGGTAAGTCAAACGCCTCCCTGATAGTTCTCCGCAAAGTAAAGGCTGCATGTACTGACTTGTTGCAGACGCGTGTATCATAATGCTGAGAGAGCCCGCACATGCAACTCAGTGGTAACCAAGGTGCCGGGATTATTCGCATCCGTCAACAATATTACAGACATCGAGACCGACACTATAATTGGCTACATCTCTCCGGCCGGTATCCCCTCCATCGCCAACCAGACGGAGCAATACCTTGATGTCATTACACCTTATGCCTCTTGGCCAACGATTCTTTTTGACAAATCCGTCGGTCTCGCTTGGTGGAGAAATATGGTGGCCGGGAAGAAGATGCAGAGTATGTGCATGATGTATCGTTGAAAGATAAAGGACTAACATTTCTCCTAAGATCCCTATGGAAGTACAGAATCTACGAGAGTCGATGGTGAGGGTGTGTCTGCGCTCTTGACCTGGGACAGCAAAGTTCTCACTGTTGTTTCGATACTTGGGGGGGTTGGTGATCTTGCTCGTGAGAAAATGAAAGCCGATGGCGTGTACAACGACTTTACTCGTATTGCAGAGGTATGTACCCTTAAATTAACAAGCAACAGCTTTCAAGGAACAAGGCTAATAATTGGCGGCGTGAAGCGAGAGTATTCAATGGTTTTCGGTGATCTCAAAGGAGAGGATATTGAGCTCTGCTTGCCAAACGTAGAAATTCCGGACAGAGGACTAAAGGACTTTACGCATTGCGCGGCATAGAATGAAGGATGTGT